GTCTTGACAACCCAAGCTCATTACTCGTGCTTGTTCTCTTTTCTTCTCTTTATTGTTGTAAAGTTTAAAACTTAAGAAAGGATATTTGCATACAGCAAGCAGCTTTATAAATCGCCTCAATTCGGATAGCTGAGACAAATCTGTCATTTACATGCCACAGTTAATAAACATAGTCATATAAAAATTAACCGAGCTTAGAAGTGGGCAAGTGGAAGGTTGGGAACAACCTTCACCATTTCAGCTAAGCATTATGCACGGCATAGTGAAGGGCTTGGAGGGACTATTCGATATTAGATTCGAAAATATGCGGCCAGGCCACTTTTCGCTTTAAATTCGCTTTCAACTCAAAATCCCCTATTCGAACATTCCTACAGTATCGAAATAATACACTTATATGGCGATAATGCCCAGCTCTGGTCTCAAGTTGGTACGCGTTTTTTGTATACAGTTGCCCTATGATGACATATATACAGTCCATGCCCACTGCGGTTATTTTTATACTTTTCTTTAACTTTCAGTAATTATATTTACGCTTGCCTTTGGCGGCAGCGGTGGATAAGTTTAACAGGCGCTATTTCAACGTGATTTGAAAACAATTGCTGACTTAATGTTCTCGATGTAAAGCAGAGGTGTCTGCTGATCTGCGGGCCTACCGGCAGCGGGCAGCGGGCAGCGAGGCAGACTACGGCGTCGCAACCAGTGGCCGCGCATCAGCGTGTTTTCTCTCGGGTCGTCTATTATGATGATAAAAGCTGCGAGCCGAGCGTCGTTTCGAAGCGCAGGTCCGCATTGCAAGGACCTTGTGCTAGCTGCTCTCCGTGACTTCGCCACGACCGTCTAATCACACATTGAATGTTTTCCGCTCCTTTCAACTCGTTTGCGAAGTTTTGCGACGCGATTATAAGAATTAGCTGTTGCTGCAGGAGCACAACGCGTGTGTCCCTTTCTCGAGAAGGCCTACGTTATATACGCTCTCACAAATGATACGTTAAGCTTTCGCCACCGTACTTACGGCCGGTCTGCCAACCGCAGAGAATGATGGCGAGCGTCACGAGAGCGAGTGCTTTCCCGTTTCGTTTGTTCGTTTGTTTGCCGCTGAATAGGAGGAATGAAAAGAGCCGGGGTTTAACTGTCGGTGTCCAGCAGGATCTCGTGTTGTGGGCTTTCTTGAAATGAGTCCGGATATACGGGGTGTAACGACGCACAAAACGTATATGGACACTTTCAGAGCTCTTCAAATCAGAAGCGCCATTACTGTCTTTCCTATGCGTTATTTAGGGGCAGTGTTGAGTAAAATACATCTAAATCGTACTTCAAGTAAAGTACAAAGTAAATGAGACGTGATGTATTTTAAGTAAAGTATTAAGTACACTGGATGCAACGTACTTGAAGTAAAGTACAATAAATACAATGTACTTTCAAAGTAAAGTACAAGTATTTTAACACAATATTTCATGATGCCCTTTCATTCCCCTATATCTATACAGTAATTTTTTTAACTGGTGTGCATTGGTCCAGGGATACTAGGGTACATGACCTATTTTCAAAAAAACAGCGGCGAATATTTGATAAAGTGAAGTTGCCACAGCGAAGTTATTTTCAGGAATGGAGCCCAATTCAGTAGTCCCTCTTCTGAATTCGGCGCCCCTTGCACTGGATTGTTGCACACAATGGGGTTAAATGCATTAGGAGAGAGCATGACGTCAGCCCCGTAGCTTCCGCAAGCAATCCTCTTATACAGTAGTGTCCTCTCCTTAATAAAAAAAAACAAAAAAACAGTGAGTGTAGAAGCGAGCTGGTGGTAATTAATCACAATGTGACACCTGAGATTGGAGTGCAAAAAGTTAAGGAACTTTCAAATAGAAGGAAAAGACAAAAGAGAATGTCTCAAAACATTGTGACGTTCTCCTCCGTTGTCTTTTACTTCGACTTGAAAATTTAATTTTTCCAGACCACAGTCTCAGGTGCTACATTTGAGGAATGTACTTTGAAGTCGGGAATTGTACAAGTAAAGTACAAGTTTGCTAAACCTACTTGAAGTAGTACTTGAAGTACAATGTACTTCAAGCACTTCCCAACACTGCCCTAAGGGATACGGACAATATGGTTCCGGACAAAATTATCCCGAAATGAAAGTCTGGGCAAAATTGTCTCAGTCAAATTTTTGGACAGTAAGCTAAGCACGTTGCGAGGTCGAGACTATTTCTAAATTTCAGGCGTTGGGGTTCCCCGGATAATTCTTCGATGTGTGCGGGTCAAATGAACACATTCCCATTTTAGCTCTCCACTTCAGCATGCGTCGATCGTTTTTGGTCTGAGAAAGAAATCTTGACGTTTGTTTATCGCATTTTTCGCATGTAATCACTCGTGCTTTGCCACTGCTAGCTTTGCGCCTGGTGCACCTCCGAGTTTCCCACGAGCTTCAAGTCGTTCTAAAAATAGGTGATTTAGTGGTTTTAGATGACGCTCAATAAGTTTCAAATTGGAACCATATGTCTATTTTCACTAATTGAGAAGTTAATTCACGAATTTTAATTAATTAGCCGACTTATCGCAAAAATTAGCCACCCACGTAATGTTCCCCTGGCTGTGTAACTCACCTGCACAAACCGTTCAATATATCATTTATCCGTAACAAACTCGCCTCGCTTGCAAAAAAAAAAAAAAAATCCAACGAATAATTGTTATTTGTTTCCATTTATCTAGGGAAGAGATAGAGAACAAACCAGTCATTTACGAAGAGTGCGTAGTGAATAAGCCGAAGGTGAATACTCTCTAGACGTGACATTAGCATGTGACACTACAGGCATGACGTTTCACACTGACGTCAACATTCAGAGCAGCAATAAAGAAAAAAAAAAAGCTAAAATATCAAAGTCTTGCGCTTGGGACCATTTTGTCCCACGTACACCCCTCACCGAGCTGTCGTCACTGAAGCCCACACAAAGCATGCGTTTATGACAAGCCCACGCTGTTTATAAAGACCTGTCGTGCGAAAGCAGTGATGCAGGCCGACAGAATAGGGAGTTTTAGCAGAGCGATACTTCTGATAACGAAACCCGATAAAAACACGATGCATGCGCAAAGGCGTCGACGAAGTATCGGACATACCGTTATCGGAGTTATTGGAACAATCTACGAAAACTCACTAATGAAAACGAAGTGATGCCAGTGGCGGATTCAGAGGGGAGGGGGGGGGGGGGAGGGGGGGGGGGGGGCTGCTCGCGCGGATGTTTTGACCCCCCCCCCCCCCCCCCTGAATTTTAATGTGTAAAAATTTAGGGTGTGGAAACGGGGAAGTGGGGGAGGGAGTGTTATTATGCATATATATGATACGCTGACCTACAACTGAACCTCCCCCCCCCCCCCCCCCTCCCTCTGGAAATTTCTGCGTATGCCCCTGAGTGATGCTCAGTATGTGGTGCGCCAGTACACAACTTACTAAAGAAATATAGTCAAAAGAACGGTCAGACAACATTTGAAAAATTGTGCGATTTGTATATCTTGCCGAAGCAAAACAACACACACATTAGTCAGCAACATTCTCTTCCTCCTCCTAGGTGACATAATGTAAGAAGCATGGAGTAGTGCAATACTCGGTTCCTACTTGTTTATTCACCAGTCACACGACACGTGCGAGCAGCGGCTCGTGTCCATTGTTTCGAGGGACGCGACTGCTGACGTGGATGTTGCGACAAGCACATCTACGTTACCTGAGTACTGCTGACTAAATTTTTGAATGAACTATCGGAGTTGTTTCTTTATCTCTCTTGACACACGCACCATAAGTCCATAGCCTGCCTCCTAACCGACTACTTCTCGTGCACAAGCATTCGGCCATAAGTCGGGCTTTTGTTGTTGTCTTGTCATTTGGCCCTATAGTTTGAAGGGACGCACGCCGACGCCTGCTTCGAGACCAGGTCAATCGTATCTGCTTACTCACGGTGAACTAGAGTTTTTTCTACGAGAGCCACAGAATGGCAAAGCGTATTCAGCTACATATAAGTTGTTTATCTGCAAAGGTGAGGTGATCAACCTGCTGATTTGCTGTACTTACTTCGCGAAGATGTCAAGGAGGCAACGGGCTTAGGTGCCAGCCAAAACAGTTAAGGAGACAAAAAATAAGATGAAAATACAAACATAGATTATCCAAGTCGGAGTTGAAACCACGAAGATCGCCGAATCACTACGCTTGCTTCGCCGTTCTAGAAATCCGCCACTGCGTGTACCCATGTCCACACTCGTACACATATGGTTACCACAACGAGGAATGTTTCAACGATTGTTATACATCATATGAATAATTGTTCCATTTCCCATTCTTGACACATACAACCTCTACGTTTATCCCCAAGTACCGTTTAACCCCAAGATGTATACAGTTATTGCTTGCATTGTTTCATCTGAACTCGTATCTCACACGTATCTTGCCCATCGAATCGATAATCCCATCTAGAAATACGTTATCGCTACTAAAACACTCTTTCTTTGTTTATAGGAGGCGAAAATGGTGCAGCTTAGTTCTTACCGAAACGTATGATACTCTGATCATACCACAAGTAAACAGGGTTATCAGATGGCGCTACGATCAGTTGCGTAGTCAGGAATATTTTTCAGGGGCGCGCTGGGAGCAGTAAAAAGGGGGGGGGGGGGGGGGGGTACTCAGGCGAGGCTTATACCCCCCCCCCCCCTCCCCTTCTCTATGGCTGCGACCCTGGTTACAAACATATGTGATATAATCCTCTGTGTCTACCCGATTACTGCCGGAGAAGCTCGTAGAGCGTGCATTCACACCCTTGGCTTGAGGGCATCAAGAATGTAACTGATGCATGCAAAAGAGAAAAAGAAAGAAGCCCCATTGCGGCAAGTAGGGCAGATTGACGTCATGCGTGTCACGGTTCTCGCCCGAGAGAATGAGTTTGCGGAAGTGCTTCTGGCGTTCATCGGCGAAAGCGAGCCGAAAACGCGCGACTAATGCGTGTCCGTACATCGGCTTCCAGGAGACCGAGAGCGGAGGGACGAGGCTTCGATGCGTAGGACCAGGAGAGCCTGCTGAGCAAGAGACCCCCCTGCCATGCTGTGCGTCTCCCACCTCCTGGTGACACTGGCATTCGCGGCACCGCTAAACGCTGCGGGTAAGTCCTGGTTTCTTAATATTACTTCGATTATGTCAAATTTATATTTACGGAGTTATTTTTTTGATGAAATTCAGAGGGAGTTTTTCGGAGTTTAATTTTAACTAAGTATATCGAAGTTTTTTTTTTTCTTTTTTAATTCCCAATTTTTTTTTTAATCTGGAGTTTAATTTTATTGTATCCAATTTTTCAAGATCAAAAATAAAATCAATAATATTCGTACACAAACATACCCTAAATTCGTAAGAACTCATCTGTATCTAATTATGTTTCTCCAGCTGTGTTTGGCATTGGTTCCCTTGCTACTGGCTACATAAATCTTGCATACAAGTGTTGCTTCAATTAATGCCAACACTTCCAATGAATTAAACACTTGAACGTAATGTCGGCAGGAAGCATAGAAGTTCCAGCTGCCCTGCCCCTTCCTATGTAACATACAGGTTCATAGCTTTCACTGTTACAACCCCCCTCCCCTCCTCCTCCTCCCTCTAAGAAGCACAAATACTTAGTGTGTTCTTAACTGGAAATCGGAACAGTGGATTCTATCGTGACCCTGCAGTGTACAATGGCCCGTTGTTCTGAACGAACCTTTACGAGATAAACGCTAAACTTCAAAAGAAACTTAAGGGACCTCTCCTCAGGACCACGAACCCTGTGCTATCATAAAATTGATTCCTAAAACACCGTCGTTTTTGCTTTTTGTTGCTTTTTATTCTGCCATTGTAGCCTGAAATTCTGAGTTTTTCGAATCAATCCAATTTAATGAAAAATTTATCGGCGAGAGTTTTTTGGAGTTTCTCGGATTTATCTGAAAACACAATACCCTATTTATAAATATCTTTTTGGTAATTTAATTAATTGTTTTGAGAAATTAATTTTATTTATTTATTGATCCTTTGGGAGGGAGGATGGAACAGGGCCGCTGATTTGACTAATTCGCTAGAGTGTTCGCTACAATTATGCCGCTCATGCCTTGACATCTGCCGCGTCCGAGAATGCCATCCCGATGGGCAAAAAATATTTGAAATGTCACATCTTTAAAAAAAATATACCTATATTTATGAAAAAAAATATACGAAAAAAAAGCGCGTTATTTAAATGTAAATGCAATAACAAAACTAAAAAAAAAAAAGGTTGCAGAAAAAACGCGGAAAATTCCACGGCAAATTGAACAGGTTCAAGGAAGCGTCATAATCGGGAATTCTGACTGCCGTTTGTTTCCCATGACGTTATTTATACGGTTCCTGGTTTGCTGCATGAATGGTCTCGTTTCTACTGTGTGTCGTTTCCGCATCTGTAGGGTCGGTGTAGGCTCTAGTACCGTAGTACCACAAACGCCTGTGTTTCACTGGCTTTACATTGAAAAAAAAAAAAAAAAAAAAAAATCTTGGCAAGGGATGCACAATTTTAGCAGGGTGCAGTCAACGCAACAACTGCTCGGTCAACGGGCTCGAACCGCCTTCACTGCCGAGTTTAGCCTTAAACGTTTCGTGGAACGGCAACACTGTGATCACACGCTACGACGCTACTTCTTGAGCCATTGTAATCCAATCCAATCCGAGCGTTGTGTTTCTCGTGTTTCTGCGTGGTGCCACCAGCTATGTGCCGGAATAAGTTGTTTTTAGTTATGAGCTCTTTATTTTGAACGTAGGAACCTTTCTGGACGAGATACGGCATTCCTGCGTAAATTCTACCGAGCCGCCACAAGAAAGTGACCGTCCGTCTTGTGTGACCTCGAAACAACCACCTTCGCCTCCGTGCGTCGGGGCACGCCGCGGTCGCATTTGAAGCGACAAAGTGTTCCTTCTTTGGTGAAGCGGTTTTCCCAGGAATTCGACGCAATGTTCAGAAGATCCGTGAGTTTCGTCCGAAGCCACGTTCTGCGATCGTTTTCGAGCCAACCAGTTGTGCCCGTCACTCCCATCGTCAAGAACCCTGCTTCGCAAGGCGCGGGGACGATCAAGTTGGAACAGAGTACCGTGGAACTTCTGGAACGTCTGTCCCTCGTAGACTTCAGCAATGCGGAAGCCGTATCGCGCCTAGAAGAGGCTGTGAAATTCGCCAGCGTCATTATGAATGTGGACACTACTGGTGTTCGGCCGATGGTGACTCCGCTAGAGGACACGGTGCTGCGACTGAGAGACGATGTGGCCGAAAAGTGTTCTTCGGAAGACGTCCTCAAGAACGCCGCCGTAATCGAAGAGGACTACTTCGTAGCGCCTCCAGGCAACATCCCGTTGGAACCGAAGGCAAATTATGGTCTCGGGAACTCGTAACGCCGGTGATAGTCTGTAAATCAAAAGTTGTCATTGATGAACAATAAAACAAAAAGTCAAAACTTGGTAAAACTGACTTGATGTTCGTGTCTGCTTGTTGCCATGGGACCAGACCAAACGTTGCGAGTCTTCGTGCAGTCTGACGCCCTGTCTGTCGAGAGTGACAGGTCTAATTGCATGAAAAGAATGCCAGGTTAGACTGGTCTTCTGATTTCCGGTAGAACACCTGCACTATTTACGGTGTGTACTTCACTGTTTATAATATGTCACGTAAAAATAATGCCTCGTTGTCAAGGCACAAAGAGAAACTATGTTGGGGCCTGCCTTTGTAGTGTGGAGGCCAAGAATAGCTATACTAGGTCATGCTTCAATTTGCACTCTCTTACTTACAATTTCGTCGCTTATTGCATGTGTCTAGCAGTGGTGCCTTAAAAAAGGTAATGTTGGTGCCTGTGACAAACTCTAACTCGCTTTCTTGTTTTCCAGTTCCAAGTTTACAAGACACACCACTAGAGCCAGTGCTGGCAGTGAAAGGGGACGAGGCACTCATCGACTGCGTAGTAAAAGACCAAGCAAACTACACAGTGAGTGCTAGCGCTATCCCGGTACAACTTTCGTTCCATGCTACGTTCTGATTCTTCTTTTTGGTGACTGAATTCAGAGGCAGGGCCTCGCTTTGAATACGAAAGAACCAATGCATGAATATGCAACGAACGACACTTTTCATATCGACCCTCATAAACACACTGTGGTCAGCATGACAGTGCTTGTCCTTTTAAAAGCAGTGGTAACACAACTTTACGCAGGTGCTATGGAGGAGAGTGTCGGACCGAGACAGGGGTGCCGTGCTAACGGCGGGAAATGTTCGAGTCATCAGCGACGCCCGTGTATCAGTCCTCCATAATCCAGGTGAGATGGGGCGAATTTCGTTTTGCAGACCGGTTTGCAAGCTACCAAATGCAATCGGAATTTCATGCAAATGATTGCTGTTTTTTTTCTTCTTTTTCTTTGCAGAGCATAATAACTGGGTCTTAAAGATAACCGGGGTGCAGCCTTCAGACTCTGGTCGTTACAGTTGTGAGCTGAATACGTCTCCAAACCAAAGGATCACCAGGCTTCTCACAGGTGGGTTCAGAGAGTAATTGGGGTAACAAGAGAGAAACCCCCTTTGTGTGTATGAAGGTCATTAGTTTAGCCAATGAAAAGAATCTCATCTCACGAAATTTGGGGCTTAACTACCCCTGACCTCAAGAGCTAAGGTGCCTCTACCATACCCGAATAAATCTGCCTAGTTATTAAGCATTTTCAACGTTGTAATATTAAAGAAGCTACGGTAATGTTTGACATTTAGACTCGGCTATAAAAATGGTCACAATTTCTTCCCTTTCAGTGCTTGATGACGCAAAGCGGTCAATGCCTTTTCTTCTAACGCACAACTACACAGGTGAGCTCCTTGTTTTTCTGCATAAACAGAAACAGGGCAGTATAACATTTAAACTCTAGCACTACTATAGAACCTGACTAAATTAATTCCTTTTTCTTTTCTTTCTTTTTTTTTCAGAATGTTGCAATGAACGAGGAATCCCTCCAGAGTGCTTTGGCTACTGTACGCTGCAGGGCATCGTCACCGGCAGGCACAACAGCCCGAGGTCCTGTCTTGAGTACATTGGTGTTCTCACCCAGTGCCTAACCGGTACGTTGATTCGCCTACTATTTATGTGCGCTGAACTTCGCTTCGTTTATAGTGTATTGCATCTAGGGAAGCACGTGATACATCAATCTTTTCTTTTTCTTTCCTAGATGGCAGGAACCATATGCCCTGCTGTGAGGCACAAAACATTCCGGAGATCTGTAGGTCTGTCTGCATCGGTGACTATAGCTTATCAACAGTCACGGAACATTATACGTGCATGGACTACACCATGACCACTCTCGCCTGCATTGCCAATGGTGTCGGTGAGTGCTTTTCTTTTTCTCCCGGAGCTGTGTACGTTTAGGAAGCTTTGATGAGCAGTACTAAAGCTCTGCACACCTCTATCCATTGCACTTGTAAAACTTTTTAAAAGAATTACAAATTTCATTTGTTTAGCATGAGGCACAAAGCTTTTCGAAATGCCTAAGTAGAATGTTGCCTCTACAATCGGCTTGTCTTGCCAGGCAAACAAAAATTAACTGTTGAGTAGAAGGTGTTCTGAGCATATGCTTTACAACCAAAGTTTAAGCATCATTGACAAGGCGTGAAAAAGGTGTGCCAAGATCAGGTCTTAGGTTTGAATTAGCTTCACCTTGCCTTACCTCACTAGTATTTCTTTTTAAATGTAGGAGAGTTCAAAGCAGGCAAAGATGAATACTCAAGCACATTTCTGACATTTGTTTTTTATTTCGCAATTCATAGAGCTGTTACCTGGTGCTCCTAAGAACCTCCAGGTGGAGCCGGTGTCGCCCACGGAACTGTTGATTAAGTGGACGCCACCACACCAGGACATTGAGGTGACGCACTTCCGCATAAACGTCACCGAGCTGCAGAGCTTCGATCCTGACTCTGCAATGCCCAAAAACGAGGCAAGTCTCTCTTCCCAAACCACAGAACCCTTTGATGTGGCTTGCTCTGCCTCGAACATGTGGGGAGACCTGAGTCTCTTGTCCGATTATTTCAGACAGTCAAGGAAGTCTCCGCATCATCATCCTCAACACTTGAAACGACACAGGCATTTTCAGTCAAGGTATGTCTACAGCGCACCACATTGTGTCTGTCAAGGGGGAAAACAGCAAAAATCTGTTGTTGACAGGGAACTCTGCCAGCATCTGGCTAGAAGCAGTGAACTATGTGAAGTTGCTGCAATATTACTCTGCCAAATCCGAGGTTTTCTTGTGCTACAATCACGGTGGCTACGATCCAGGAGTCACTGATTCTTACATACAACTATTGTCCTTATAATAGTCTTTGGAATCCCAGTTTCACACCAAGTTAGCCTGGAAATTTTGTCATAATGAACTCTAGAGCCCTGCGCGGATAACGGTTTGATCATCTGCATCCGCAGACTTCGTATCCGGGTCCAAACTGCATCCGCAGTGTTCTTCAATGATTGTACTATCTGCATCCGATCCGCATCCGCATCCAAATCGCATCCGCGAAATTCGGGACCTCATCCGACCCTCAATCCTCACGTTCATTTTATATCATAAAATCAAGCATGAATAAAAATTTAAAAAAAAAAAAAGCATATGGATAGTATCCCCGTCTGCTTACCCTTGTGCAAAGAAAGAACTCTGTGTCAGAATACGGGGAAAGTAATTTTAGCATATTCTGTTTTATCATATTTATCAAATAAGCAATCTTCCTTCAAGAGATATAGTGCATTGCTGGAAAGATGATCGCAGTTATGAGCTTGTCTTGGAAGTCTGTGACACACTGCCCAGAAGATGCACTCAAAAAGAAGAAAATTTTAATATCTATTTTCCTTTTTGCTTTGTAAAACCCATTTCAAGCAGACACATATTTCATAAACATGAAAATTAACAAAGGACAGACTAATAACATTGTGTCATTTATTCAGGCCAAACAATAAAAAAGTAAGAGAGGAAAGGCGCTCACTCGCAGTAGCAAAGTACTCAGGTATATGTGGTAAGGTGCGAGTACACCACTTGGAAAATATCACAATATTTAATAATAGCAACATCTCCTATCGTTTTCAGTTTTAAACACGAACCCCCAACTGCATGCTCGCAACCATATACTTAAAAACAACTCAGTGCCAACTTTCGAGAAAAAGAAAACACACACACACACACAACATTTCACTTGTCAAGGTTGCTGTGTAGAAGAAACAGAATATCGTCAACATGGAGGGATTCAGACTGGTTTGCCTCTCTTAAATTAATACCCACTAATGAAAAGTCTCTCGCCGTCGGTAGACTTGATGCTGGGATGGCACGCATGAATTGCACTACAAGAATGAGATGCGGAAGTTCGTGCTGGCGTAAGTTCCACCACTCCAAAGGATTGAAATTAGTCTCCTCAATCTATTTGTAGGCGAAAAAGTCACTTGCAGGCTTCCACTTTCTTTTGACTTGTTTGTTTTGGGTTTTCTTTGCCCCAAGAATGTCTTCTGCTCTTTCCCTGCCAAACGAGAACACGCTTTCTCGGGATGACTGGTACTCCTGCATTCTTTACTTTTTCTAGAGACGGCATTTTTGGTGAGATAGAACATTCTAAAGCGGTCTTTGGTGAGAATCAAGTATTTCTTGATGTAAAGAACAATTTTCTCCCCTATTGGCACCCTTTTATCTGAGAGAGTAGTTCGCTCCTGCAATGTATTCGATGATGCACTTCATAGTATCACTCACTTATTCATTCTACATTGTGCGGTTGCACACGTTTATGGGCCGCCTCGGCAAAAATGTAGATCCGGATCTGTGGATATCCAATCCGCATCTGCAGCCACTGGCATCTGTATCCGATACACAATCTGCCAAATCTAATTAATTTTTATCCGCATCCACCGGTTTGCTGTGGACATCTGCGGATAATCTGCGGATATGCAGGGCTTTAGGGATCTGAATACCCTGGAGAGGTGCATAAATGATTCATACCCTACCATGTATCTAGATTGCAAAAATTTAAACTTTCAAGCATCTGCCAACACGAGGAGTAAACATTCTCTTCTTGCATCCAGGATGACACTAGAGCTCTGGATTCTAGCTGACTCGGTAGAATCATTGGAATCAGGAATTTACTGGTACTTGCTTAATTACAGGAAATGCTGCAGCTGTGAAGCATCTAGCAGCTTTATTTTCAACATTTGGTTTGCCATTTATGGCTTCGTGGATGCTTTATTCACAGTGGGGATTTCTTTTTTTTGTCTAATGGTTTGCCAGCTTTTTCTCTTCATTTTGATGGCTGGAGGTGTTTTTGGGCATTTTTTATGTTGCACCTATGTATATTGTTTGAAGTTGCGAAGCCAGGAATTTTTTTCGGTAGGTGGGGAAGGGGGGCTGAAGTGGCTGGGATGTCCACGACTTGGGAGGGGGTGGGGAGTTTGAAGGGTTCAAACTGTATGTGTATTTTATAGGGTCGGGCTGGGGATTTCTAGGGGGGTGGGGCGGGACTGGGTTGAAGCCCTATAAGGCCCTCCCCTGGCTATACTACAGACTGCTTGCATCCTAGCATCTCTATAAAATCGAGCCCAGACCCTCGAGTTGTTGTTCACTACTGTGTAGTGCATGCTAAAGTCTCCAAGCTATAGCTCGCAGTCATACTGCACCAACTAAATTTCTCGTCTACGGTGGAGGCACGAGACGCCCCCTGAAGAAGACTGACATTCTGCCATTTAAACGTACATGAAGCACAATTACTCATGGTCATTGTGCGCAGGTGGATGGGAACCAGACGACGTTCCACCTCCGCAACCTCAAGCCCGTCACGATGTACGAGGTGACCGTGACGTCGGAAAACATGCACGGCACCAGCCTGCCGACGTACGCTCTGCGCACGCTGACACTAAGCTCCGAGCCCAGCTACGACCTGCCGCCCCCCGCCGAGAATGTGACGAGCAGCGGCAACGAGAGCTCGCCCGCCATTCCCGACGTGCGGGGCTGCTGCGTTCAGAAGGGCGTCAAGCAGGAGCGGTGTCTGCGCACCATGTGCGACCCCAGCAGAGCCGATGAGACCACGTGAGTGGTGCCCGGTGCCCGCGAGTCGATGGCCACTTCAAGGTCACTTGTGGGGCAATGAGTTTGACATTGCCCATCATAACATCCATTTTTTGTAGAATGCAGTCATAATATAAGCAATGAAGGTTCCAAAAGCATGATACGAAAGCAATCACATTTGCCGCGTATTCGTGACAGCAACATATTTTGCAGCAAAGTGTGCGACAAATTTATAGGCTTAGCAAGAAATTGGCTAATCAGTAGGTGACTGCCTGCTAGGAACTAATACTTCTTATGGCCGGCAGATAGTGATACATCCTGGTGATTCTGAAAAGCATCCTCCATTTTCAAGATTTCGTTCTGGCCGTCTCGTTTCTAGTAGGTACCTGATGGCACAGTTTCTGAGACGAAGTATGGTGGCATAGATGGGCTTCTTTATAGATATTATGAAGTTTTATTTGTTTTTTCCATCTATACATATATTTCCACAGATTTGATCACTAATCTTGTCCTTGTTAGGTATATTCAATTTACAGTTAGTTACAGTTGAGCATGTGAATCATGGTTAGTAATCACCACATTGATTTGCAACTTTTTAATGAGCACACTGAAATTTTATTGGGGCGTCAAAGACCCACAAAGTACCATTGGATAGAAATTGTGGTTACAAACCCTTTCATTGTAAGTTCAGGTTTTTTAGAATTGTACTGAATGAGCAATGTTCTATACATCTCAACTTTGTTCTGCCTTCCAGAGCAGATGAAATGATAGCTACCGCAGCATACTGCAACCTCAGAGGCAGAGCTGGCCCTTTTAGTGACTGCAGACAGCTTTGGCCAGTGCCTGCTGAAATGAGGCCGGTGACGTCTCCTGGGGGCATAACAATATATGACTGCCATACAACCTACCCTAGTTGGCTGTCACTCTGTTGTAAAAATATCAGGTTCCCATCTCTCATCTTCTACATTCGAAGAGTCGAAGCTTGATAGTCTATTGCAATACCATCTCCCTTTGTAAAGCACATCTATGAGAGACATTATAAAGTGCTACAATCTGCCGTTGCTTCTTCCCGATGGTTTGAACATTCTTTTAGTGGCAAGGATTGGCTTAATATTTACATAGCCATAACTCAGGCCAACATATCTCCTCGCAGGTTGACCGACGTCATGATCTGTGCCCCGTGGGCAAACGTGACCTTCGCCTGCATGGCGGACGGCGTGGACCACACGGGATGCTGCCGCCGGCGCGGCCTTCCGGAAGCCTGTCTGGGCTTCTGCAAGGGAACCGTTATGAGGGTGGACTATCGCCACTTCCGCTGCCTCGAATACATGCCCTTCTACGGCAGCTGCCTCCTGGAGCATTACGGGGTCTTACCTGGAAACCCGAGGGACTTGTCCGTCACGGCCCTCAGCAAGAATTGGGCGGTGCTCAAGTGGAGCCCACCTGCGTGAGTGGCCTTTCTTGGTTCTTCTTAATTTCAACAATAGCAAGTAATTACAAGATCGGAAATTCTCTGCACCCCTTGTAGTCTTCCTGAACAGGCTTTCTTTGACCTGAACAAGGGAAGCCTCACCTCAAAACGTTTTTCCAGTAGAGCCTCTGCCGAAGTTTGAGCTTTACTTTACATTTATGACTTTTTTAGGGAAGAATTCTTATCGGTGCATTTATCTCCCTAGAAGAGGACAAGTGTAGTCGATCTGTGCACGAGGCAGTTTTGTGAAATTGAAGAAAACAGCCCTGTTGTGTAGCTGAATTAATGCGTGTGTGGCATCTCCACGAAGGCTATCATTTATTAAAAAAGTTGTATGTTGCCAACGAAGGACACTGCACTACATGAAAAAAAAAATTATAGAAACTCCTGTATTTCTTTATTCAGGTAGCGAATTAGGCTGAAACTTTTGCATTCGCCTGCCATCGCTGGCGCTGCTAGCGAGTTTCAGAGTTCTGCGACTTGGTTCCTTTACACACTACAACAAAACATTAAACATTTTCTCATACCGATCCTGTATATCCGAAAGAGTTTGCTTGAAGCAAGCGTAAAATGAACGCAGCATTGGGCAGCACCTTCATTGTTAATAGGCTTGCGTGCTAGCATTTTGTACACTCCTGATGGGAATTAATACGAGCAAGTAAGACCAACTCTGTAATCATCTTATGCATTGCAAGCAAGCTGGTGATATGTTTTTCTCAATGGTATACTTGTAAAAAGGGTGACCTTAACTAGCTTTGCACCAAGGCATTAGCAGTGCAGTACGACCTGCTTGTAGCAAACTACTGGCACAAAAAATACACTTTATGTAACAAAGTTGTTTTGTTTTAAATGAGAGTAGTGATACAGGGATGTTTTTTTTTCCTCATTGCTAATTCTCTTTAAGGAACGCTCATGAGTTTCTGCTTACTTTTGTCATTCTAGTAAACTGCCAGAAACAGTGACACGGTACGGGCTGTACTGGAGAAGATTGGGCGATGACTTTGAGCCATACTTTGCCGTGTCGAATGTCAAATCCCCCTACCTGCTGGACAGGATAGAACCCTCAAGCGAGTGAGTATTTCCTCTAACCGTGTAGAAAAGCAATGCACAAATTGAAATAACGAGTGGTATATTACATATTAAAATTTGTATTTTATTGTTTTGTATAGATGTGGACAGAAGGGAACAGAATGCATGACAACTTGTCGTCCGACCCGTGGTAGAACTTGACCACTGGCAGCTGCACGAGAGTTGTTTTAGATGTCTCTAAAGGCACATATAAATACATTTGTTTACTTTTTTTAAGTGGCATGAGCATAGTAGATGAAGAGTGCCTTCTACTCCACCTCCAACTATATGTTGGTTATTCTTTATCTTGCTGTATATATATTTTGTTATCCTATTCTCGTTAATGGAGCATGCTACCTGTCTTCACGGCTTGTTCTCTGTACTATTAGCATTGCCACTTGGTTAATTGCTGAGGCGCTATGATGTGTTATGAGTAAGTAAGTCCTCTGTCACAATATTTTTGTCCAGCTACGAGGTGTTTGTGGTGGCCGAAAACAAGTACGGGTCCAGCGAAGGATCCGACAGAATAGTACTAAGGACACAAGATCCTGTACCTGACAAAGTGGAAACAACTACAGGCTACAATGAAACTGCCTGCTGTGTCAACGCACGTGTCAAGGACATCTGCATGCCACTGTGCTCTTACAAGGTTTGTGATGAAAATATATTTAATGGTAGAAATCAGATTGCCCCTGAGAGCCAAGGAAGTAAGAGAATTGGTGCAGTGATGACCATCCTTACCAAGGTTATGCTCTGTGGATGATACAAAAGTATTGATTCGAATATCCCATAATGTACCTGGCTCAAACTGCAATACCATGGGTGGTTTCGAAATTTTAATACCATTTTGGAATTTGTGGTTAAAATTTATGCTAACAATTTTAATTTTATCGCGCATGTTTTTCAAGATGGCATGGATGCTAATAATGCAAAACTATCGATAGTACTATCGATAGTATCGATAGTTGCCAAAAAAATCTGACTATCGATAGTAAACAAAAACTATCAATAGTACTATCGAAAAACTATTGAAAATCTATGGATAGTACTATTGATAGTCGACTATCGGAAAATTATCGTTAATCGATTATCGGAAAGCTCGCAATAGTCGACTATCAGAAAACTAGTGATAGTCGACTACAGTAAACTTTCGTTTATTCAACATTGAAAGGAACTTGAAATTTGGTTGAATTATTTGAATGATCGTATTAAAAGAAAGGACAGAAAAAGGGTTAAAATTAAACTTCCTTTTATTGTCCAAAGCACTCACGGGTGGTCTGCTGCCGTCTGCACTTAAAACGCATGTCCTAAAGCATGCTCCAGAGGGCAAAGTAACTAAACATCACGTCCCCAAAAAATAACGCACCACAAAAAAAATAAACAACGAAAAACAAAAGTTTTACGAGCAGACCTTGGCGCCGGACAGCCAGACCGTCGGCAACCGAGAAAAAGAAAAAAAAGAAAGCCATTTACAGCTCCCTGTAACGCCAGATTAGAGCGCAGCTCTTGAGGAGAAGGATGGAAGGGTACTGAGGAATAGGTGACTTCCTGAGGTCACGTGGCCTCAGGGGAGGTGACGTGAGGGTAACTCTCATAACCCTCGTGAGGGTAACCCTTTTGAGGGTAACTAACCCTCGTGATCCTTGTGAGAGTAACCCTCGTAACCCTCACGAGGTAACCCTCGTGACGTCATTATAGAAAACTTCTGATAATGCAACGCACAGTTACGCCGACGCTGACGGCGATGCCGCTCAAGCCGGAAACAAGCGCCTAAGAGCTGTGCTCTAATAAAAAAAAAGAAAAGAGAACCCGCGCTTTCCGGCATGCAAGATGGACCGCACATGATGCTACAGAAAAGTGCTTTGAGAGCGCACGCTGTCTTCACGCCTCACCACGTGCTATGTTCTCTGCGCTACTTCACGCCAGATTGGTTGCGCTAGCTCGTGTCATTCAGTACGGTCCATCTCAGCGGCGTAGAGGAGCAGGCACATATTTGTGCACGTTTGGCTTTGAAGCAAAGGGCCCATGTTTCGCCGTACATTGGTGGTTTTTCTGCCGTAGAGCTGTGCAATGTAAGCCCGCGCGCATTCGCTCGAGACGAATTATCCGATGTGGAGTCTTCCCGAGTTCGAACTGTCAAACTTTTCGTCCCATAGAAATGTATGGGCGCTCACCGGGACTTTTGAACACGATTGAATTAAACGAAAGGTCGAACTAACCGAGGTCGAACTAACGAAAGTTTACTGTATCATAAACCTATCGATAGTGCTGTCGACAGTTTACTATTGATAGTTTTGCAGCACTAGTAGTTTGTGTCGCTCCCTCTTCTCTTTTTCTCGCTTTATTTTTTAAAATGGGACACCAACTAGCCCAAACACTTACCATCCCAACTTTGGTTCAGCTTTCAGTGATGACATAGACCCCCCGTCTTTGTCTTTGGGCGAAGAGAGGAGGAAGGGAGGCGAGAGGCGGTGCGGCAACTGTGTTCGCTCTAGTGGTGCAAAACTATCGATAGTAAAAAAATTATCGAAAGTACTATCAATAGTCAACTATCGAAAAACTATCGATAGTACTATCGAAGTCGACTATTGTAAAACGATCGATAGTACTATTGATAGTCAACTATCGAAAAACTATTGATAGTCGACTATCGAAAAACTATTGATAGCACTAGCGAAATCGACTATCAAAAAACTATCGATAGTACTATCGATAGTCGACTATCGATAGTTCTTCGACACTATCAATAGTTTTGGAAAAACTATTGATAGTCGATTTATCAATATTTCTGCATCACTAATGGGTGCACTACGGTGAAGTGACACCCTCGGCTATCGTTTAGCAGAGTGGCTCTTAAACGAGGGATCGCAGACCCTTAGAGTTCACAAAACCTTCGCTTGTCAATCAAGCGAAGCTATAGAACTTTTCTTTTAATGCGAAAGCATTAACTGTCCCATGGAGCGAGCCGACGTCATCAGCTTTGAAGCCGCACCAAACGGTACCTTAAATATTTTCTCCAAGTGAAGCCAGCTCCCAGCTATGAAACCACGCGAAAAGCCTAGCCAAACAGCACCTAGTTCTCCCGATCCTAAAGGAGAGGAGTAAAGCTGGCGGATTTCGGCTTCAGTCCCATTGGCTGGCACACGTCGACGAGGCTCCTATTGGCCGCTGCGCGTCAGTTTTAACGACTGCCACCCCATGGCGCTGCATCTCCGCGAGGCAGCGGCTCTACCGCACTACACCCAAGATCAGCACGCTGAAGACAGCGCACGCGCTCGACCATCGACGCAATTACGCCACAGACGAAAAAAGGGAACAGAAGAGTGGCGCGCATGCTTTCGGCATTTACAACTCCTAAGAAGTGCTTTGGTGTACCTCGAGCCTTTTTTGTCATGCATTACAATTTCGTGTGATGCATGACAATTAACACTTTTGCACCCTTAGTTGGCCACCAGTCACCTAGAGGGTGTGAGTTGCACTCTACTTCAGGTGAAAGAGTATCTCTAATAATTAAAACAGCTGATCTGATTCCTGCGGTATATATGATTGAGACCCGTGGCAACTGTTTATCCGTTTGCTCTACTGACTGGTTAGCTCTGTGGGTAGAGCGCTCCCCTAGTCTCGGAGAGGTCCTGAAATCGATCCCCGGACCAGGAGAATTTTTTTCAGTGGGCTCCAGTTGCTGAGAGAACATGAGCTGCATTCCACTCTAGATAGAAGTCACTCTATTCTTGCATATTTGTTCACCACCTTGGGGACTTTGCCTAAATTACTACTGTAAACTATACCTTCTTTTCATAAGCTCAACATTTCTCAAATGTTACAAAGTGAGGGTTTTGGGAATATTTTGCGGGCATATTATTTCGTGGTTTGGAGTAAGATTCGCTACCACAGATTTGCATGATTAATTTTTTGCAATATTTTACAAGTTGTGAAATTTTGAAAAATTAGGTTCTCGCAAAAATTAAAGAGGGGGTACAACGATTTCCGGACTTCGGTCAAAGATTTCTGGAATTTGCCCTCTGACATTTCTGAAGTAAAGAACAGAAAACTGATTTAGCCTGCGTGTTCTAGTTGTTGCGTAAAAAAAAGATAAATATTGGCATTTCGGGCACGCCTCATCTCAGTCCCAGCCTTCACGGTCACACCTGGTCCCCCTCCTAGTGACGTCATTCGGAGTGCCGTGTAGGTTCCCATGTGCTATCTGGGAGGACGCTTCCTCTCTCTCTCTCTCTGCTGACATTAGCGGGCGTTATGCTGCAGCTTAGAGCCGAGCGAGGTCACGCAATATTTTCGCCGTAGTTCCTTCGGCTGCCACTTGGGGCTGCAGGTGGGGGAAAAGCTAGACTTTTGCTTTGCGATTACGCGGCGGAATCGCGACATTTTTAATGAAAGGTGTTTTTTCTATCCTCCGGGACACGATAAACAATGTAAAAATTACGAGATGCAAATTCTTTTAATTATAAAATCGTTGCACCACCCCTTTAAGTCATTTACAGTACATATAAGGACATCTTGTGCCTTGTAATGAGGGTTTCGCGTTTTGCGATAAATGTTTAAAGATACAAGAAACACTCACTGACAGTACAGATATTCTTAAAATTGTCACGACGAAACGATCGTACGTTGGAGAGGAAGGTCCCCCGGTTTCTCTTGGGTACAACGTCTGCCTCCCAACAGATGAAGCTGGCGGACCTGCAGTACTTGAGCCCCCTGTGCCTGGACGAGATGCACACCCTGCTGCGCTGCGGGGCCGGCGGCCGGGACCACAAGCCATGCTGCCAGCGTTACGGCGTCAGGGACGAGTGCCTCTCCATCTGTGCAGGGGAGATCGCCCTCAGCAAGTACGACGTCACCGCCCTCATCTGTTCCCGGGACGTGGGGGCAGTCCTCAAGGTAAGAGCCAGCGTTCATGGAGGTAGGAAGCTTCTGGAGGTGACATGACACCACCAGAGGCCAGAGGTGTGGAGGGACATGTCCCCGACGATGACCAAAACCAAGAGACGCTATTGGACGAAAATGAGAGCTGTTGTCGCCAAGTCAGCTCTCTTTTTCGTCCAATAGCGTCTCTTGGTTTTGGTCATCAATGGGGGCATGTCCCTTTACACTTCTGGCTTCACATCTGGTGGCGTCATGCCGGCGTTGTTGGACGCAAGAGTGTATGGCTGCAGACCGAGGGATGCTCAATGTACTGGTGTCGGCTCTTCGGCAGATTACAGCGAAAATGCTCTTTCTAATTTGTGCACATCTGGCCCTGTGTGGTGAGGCTGTTGTGGCATTGAGTTTCGTCATTTCTCAATATGACGACGACGAAAGTGCTGGTGCTTCCTCATTGAACACCTTTGTGTATTTATTTGAGGTGATATCGGGAATTCGAGTTAGCACCAAAGTATAATGAGTTTTTTTTTAGTGCGGAAAGAAGACCAATAGCCAGGGCATCTCGTGAATAATATTCAAGTGCTTTTGTTCAAGAGGTACAGTATTTACCCGATTCCGACGCACCCTAAATTCTAACGTGCACCCAGGCTTTACGATAATAATAATAATATTTATTTGCATGAAAGCGTTAGTGAACATGCTGGGTGGCATGCATGTGAGGCTGGACAGAAAGGTTAGAACCTGTGCGCAAATGTGCCTGCCATCCCAAGAATATTGATTCTAACCTGCCCCCAGTTTCGATTTTGTATCCAATCCTAACGTGCAGGCAGTTCGTAGGTATATTTAAAAAAAGATGGTGTGCGTTAGAATTGTGTAAGTACAGTGTATATCGTCTCATCTATCATTTATTCTATAATCATATTTTTATCTAAACCTATTCTGGTTCTCCAAATGCAATACTAGCTTGCTTGTTGTCTTGCACTTGCAAACAGTGTTGGTGAGATAAATTTGTGCATCAGTTGAGTAGCTCTCAAGGGTACATTATCAGTGCAGTGCTTACGATTATAGGTAAATAGCCTGAGCGTGTTTGACAAACCCCATTTTTCCGAGTTTAATCTATTAACCTCGTTCAACACATTACCCTCAATACCTTTTACTCACTACACTAGTAAGGTGACACACTCATTTGTTTTTTTCTCTATCCGCGTGGTAATTTTCTGGCCAGATTTTGTTGTTTACACAATCATTTTTGGTTTTAAAAAGGACATAGCGTGAACTTTGAAGACAACCAGTATACATCCGGAAAGATTAATTGCGAAGTAAACCGCAGAGTGTGAACAAGGTCTACAGATGGTTTCTGGCATGCTGATCTTGCCCCATTGCAATTCAGTTAAATTTAACACCTTTATCTTTATATATATGCATCTTGCATATAAATCTTAGATAAAGGGTAAGGGTTTTTATATGCATCTTGCTTTTCCTCTTCATATTTGACTTTATTGTACTTTTTTATTATTCAATGTTAAATTGTTTATACGTTTGCTACTAATGTTGAGCCGTAAATCCCAACAGCACCGAAAGAAAGTTGGTATTGCACCCTCATTCCAGCTGAAATTGTACTTTGGGAACTTAGGAACAATCTAGAATATGCGGAGGTTTGTTTACTTGGTCTGGCCCAGCCTTTCGACAGGCTGCACGGTAGCAGTGGTGTCGTCAGCAGTGCTTACCTTGCTACCGCATGTTTTGCCCCTCCCAGTGCATGGAGGAAGGCAAGGACACCATCCCAACACCCCCCGAGGAGTTCCACGTGACTTTCGTGACGCCAACGTCGGTGCACCTCGTGTGGAACGCGCCTTCGGGCAACGTCAGTGTTGTCGAGTACCAGATCAGATATGAGGCCTTCAACGGCACGGTTCCCCCACACCCAACAGAATACACGCAGGTAAGCAGCTTAGGGAAAAGAAAGGAAAATCAATTACCACTAGTACTGCTATTATGTAGGAAGAATCAGAGTGATTATAAAATCAACTTTTAGCCCTTTTGTGTCACTGTGAAACACATTGTCTGTAAAAGAATATATCCAACAGATTGTCCGAAAGAAATTGGAATTGTTTGCACATCTCCCGCGACATTCCTACGTGGCAAAGAAGTTTCGTTGCAAGCAGAGATTGCGTAATGGAGTAGTTGGCACTGCGGCAGACAGTGTCAACGTCTCTGGGAAAATATGTGTTTATTAAAGAAGGAGTAAAGATTGTCTAGTGCGGCAGCATATTAGGAATATATCTTTTGAAGCCTACGAGTGGAATGAGGGTCGAGCAGTTGATCAAACGAGCCGTATGAGCTTTTGCGGCACATAAAATGGTGAACTAAAAAATTCTGCATTATGTGGGATAGGTGATAGTTAACCCGCAAAAAGAAGTAGCAAACGCTTCTAAAATGCTCAACCATTCCCCTTTTTTGTTTTTCTTCAATAAAATGCAGCTGCTACCACTACTACTCGATGTGTAAGGCATTTTGTGTTGGCATCGTTTACCCTAAATGTTCAGAGCAGAATTGCACGTAATATTCTTGTAGACTAAAGAAAGCAGACATGAGGATTTGTTTAGTAAACTTGAGTGTAGTCTGTAGGATGGGGCAACAGGGGATTGTTCATCTGGTGCAGGGGTCTCCAAACGTTTTGGCTATAGGAGGCCAGATTGGACACCTTTTGCTGTCTCGAGGGCCAATAAATAAAATATAAAAAGTAATTATTATAAATTAGGAAGAAATTAAAATGATTATACTAGGTAAGGATATAAATTTTAAAAAATTAGACGTTTCAGAGTGGAAATTTAAGAATACCAAAGGGGGATAAATACTTGAACTTTATTTTATTATGACACACGATAATTGGGACCCAGAAAACTTACCAGGCATAAATCAAAGCACATAGGAACTTTGCCATGTTCACGCAGGGCAGAAGGCTATACTCGTTTTTATTTCAAGAACCATAGTAAAAAGGTGCCGTTTGGCGTGGCTTCAAAGCGGATGATGTCTGTTCGCTTTATGGGACAGTTAATGCTTTTGCAATAAAAAGTCTGGCTCCTTGTGGAGCACTACTAATTTTTCCCCTTTATGTAAAGAATTAACATATATGTTGGCACATTTTAGATTAGATACATGTTACCTTATCAATACATGTTTCAAATGCCGAAAGCATCGCTTCTTCTGACAATTAAATCCTGTAAGAACTACTTCTCGCTGCATATAAACAATGTGCAAAACTTCCTTTTTTCTTGAAGTGAAAACGAGTATAGCGAGAATGATAGAACTGGGGTTACTCACAATATGCAGTAGATATGACAAAGGACAGTAGCACAATGTACATAGGAATGCAAAGGAATTTTACCACACGAGGTTACCCAAATATGAAACGGGGGACTAAGGATGGTGAGGCTGGTGATGACAATGTCTAATTAATAATATGACGAAAGGACACACTTTACTCGTATAAGCAGTTTTCTTTTTTTTTTTTTTTAATTTTTGTTTATGTTGCGGCGCCATTTCATTACGTGCACTTTTGCACCAATAGCAGAGGGCTTGCTGGAAGTGGGCCACGAGCCAGGCTTCATTAAATGGACCGCAGCCAGCCACGAGCCGGTCAGAAGACCTCTGCCGTCTGGGGTTTAAAGACCCCTGATTTAGTGGAAAGCATAAAACATACAGAGGACCAAACACAGACGCTCGTCACAAATATCATATTAAGAGGTTGTTTTGTTGCAGGAAGTGAACGTCACTACCACCATGGCTATTGTTGACAAGCTGACACCAAAGACAAGATACAGCTTCTATGTAACAGCAGCCAACGAACAGGGAACATCCGTTCCATCACTGATTGTGCTTCTAACTACACCAGAGAAAGGTGTGGATGAAAAAGGCATACAGAGTGAGTTTTCTTTTTCTGTCATTTTCATTCTATCCAGATTTTATTTCAGCGGTGCAATGATATATATTTTATATTACATTGCACCTAGGTATGAATATGCATGATTGCTTTTCCACTTTATTCTTCATATCACGAATCTACCTTTCCTTGATGGTTGTCCCTAATCCATATTTAGAAAGAGAGAGAAAGAGAGAGAGAAATAAATTATGTTGTGAAGAGTTTGGCAGCCTTAGAAACTGTGTTAAGTAGATATTATTTGAATCAGACCAATGCAATGACAGCTGCTAACATCTGTTTTCTCTACAAGCGTCTAATGCCTGGATAGCACAGATCTTTTGAGCTGTTTACCAGTCATCTAGAAGCTTCATTTATCCTGTCATGATTCTACTCCACCTTTGGATTTTCCCAAAATCAGATTTACATGTATAACACATTATATTTGGATTAATTTTTATCGTGGCTGTCTGGTCTGCTGTGGTATTTTACGTGAATAAATGTCTAGCACTCTGCTGAATTCCCAAGAAAAAAAAAAACAGGTAAAGCACTGACTCTCGACAAGTGTATTTGGGGTGCATTTATTTTGCGAAAGCAGGCTTTAGTCAAAATTATTACCTAACCTCAGCATAGTGAACATGATATGCAAACCTAGTTTGTAAGCATATAGGTATTTTGAGATTAATGCAGACAAAGGTGCTATAGTGTAAAGACAAAAGTCACCACATTCAGTAGTTTACAATGTACCAAGGACAAATTGTGTTCCTTTGAAGTACTGTATAATTAGAAAAGAGCATGAAGTGAGTTCACGTCATTATCTATTTCTCATATCTAAACCAACACTCACTGTGGGAACAACATCAATGATTTCACATCTCTAGTAGGCACATAATATAAATAGGTTTAGTGGTTAATTTACACGTATAGGCTCATGCATCCTTTAAAACCGCAGGCACAATCAGTCCGCCATACGGCGTTGACGTCCTTCACGCCGCTGTCGACTCCATCGCGCTCAAGTGGCTACCCCCGCTGCACCTACCGCTCAACTCCAACCTGAGCTACGTCGTTCGCTTCGCCCCAGTCAACACAACCGCGGACCAGTCGGCATGGATGAGCGTCACAACGCCCTTCACCTCCATCATCATAGGGAACCTGACGTTCAACACCCAGTACGCCCTGTCGGTCAGTGCCAAGTCTGGCGGCATGACCAGCCCCTCCTCTGAGGTGGTCCTGGCGTGGACAGACGCGGCCATCCCGGCCTTTGTCAACCTGCCCCTGGTGATCCCCAACGGTCCCATCATGGAGGGCATCAACATGACAGTCATGTGCATCGGGGTCGGCGTGCCCACGCCCACCGTCTCGGTGTACGTCAATGGGAGGCTCCAGGTGCAGCTCCATCAGCACCACGTGGCCATCACGGTGCCCAGGGTGTCCCGCAATGTGACCAAGGTGTCGTGCTTCGCAAGCAACGGGTACGGGCACGGTGCCCACAGCTCGGTAGACATCCACGTCATCTGTGAGTGGTCCCCTGTCTCGTTTTAACCCTTTCTTAGTTGGTTTGCTCGCATCATACTTAATTCAATGGTTCTTTGGCCATCGAAATAGGTAATGAGAGGTGTATGTATGTATTAAAAACAGAAAAGGACAAGTGAGGCTAGCTAATATATGGCCCCATGATGCAGGTACTACTCTAACACCCACTGGCTTGGCTAACTTTCGACCGAAAATCTTTTACAGCGAAGCTGTTATGCGCTAGGATCTGGGAAAAAATGTGTCCGCGGATGTTGACAGAAAACTCCCCATTGGTTGTTGCGAGTATGAATAAATACAAAAGAGGGGGCAACCAGTGTGAACCAGCCTTCCTTGGCATTATTAGATAGTGAGGTCCTGACCTTTTGTTATCATCTCTAGGCATCGTCCTAGAGGTCGTCCTAGACTAGTCGTCCTCGAGGTCGTCCTAGAAGTCATCCTTGTTTTCGTTCGAGAGGTCATCATAGGTGTCGTCCTCGAGGTCTCCTTAAATTCGTCCTAGACGTCGTCCTTGAGGTCGTCCTAGAAGTCATCCTTGAGGTCGTCCGAAAGGTCGTCCTCTAGGCGTCGTCCTCGAGGTTGTCCTAGAAGTCGTCCTTGAGGCCGTCCTAGACGTCGTCCTAGAAGTCGTCCTCGAGGTCGTCCACAAAGTAGTCCTTGAGGTCGTCCAAGAGGTCGTCCTAGTCGTCCTCTAGGTATCGTCCTTTAGGCCTCCTCTAGGTCGTTCCTGAGGTCCTAGACGTCTTAAGAGAAGTGCTTTTTTCGCACAAGGGCGAATACACAAATTTGTCGGCTCTGATCGATGCCCTGTCATACCTAAAAGGCAATGCAATTTCACTTCATAATCTAAAACTGAAGCTGTAGCTGCTGACGTATCTGGTATGTTATGTTTTCTTTTATGGCAAAGACTCCGCCATGAGATTACTTTTTAGTAGGGACCTTGGACTGTTGAGCCCTTAGTAAATCCTGGTTTTACGACGGTCGTCCTGTGTAGGCAAGAATGCATACTATTGTTACGTGCTGGCAACCGCTAGGTGCAGGCGTTAAAAAGGTAGGAAGCTATTTATAGTACTTACAAAAGGGAGGCCGGTATACATAGCGGTATAGTCGTCCAGGAGCACGGGGACACTCTTCCCTTTTATCTCTCTTGCCATCTAATAGTCCTCCTTTGGCACAAGTGCCGACGTAGTTACTGTAGAATACTACGCATGTGCCCATTCCACACTAAGCGCCCATTCCCAAATTTGTAAGATCTGAGACAATATGCACAGTACATTGATATGTAAAATTGACGACCATACAAGTGCCCATCCCCCATTTTTTCGCGATTATCTCTAAATTTTGAGTGGGCGCTTGCCCGGTATTTTACGGTATGTATTTTGGTGAAATACATTTATCCGGTGATCTGGGACAGGAAACAGATTCTTGTGGCAGCATCTCTGCCTTTTATGAGGAGTACCTAAGCGACGTGCAGGCCCCACCAGTTTACCTCTTGTTCCCGCCTTGCAGCCAGCCCCTTTGTGACCGTCCCGCTGAAGAAGACCTACACGGAGATGGGTTCCACAGCCCGGATGGTGTGCGAGGTGTCGGGGCACCCGGAGCCCCGCTTCCTCTGGTACCGGGACTCACAGCTGAGGAACCCGCTGGGAAACGACGAACACACCGAGTCCCTGTCGAGCCCCGACCCCCTGAAGCCCCACTACTACCAGTCATACCTGATTGTCAAGGGGGTCACCAAGGAAGACGCAGGGACATACTTCTGCTCGGCGGAAAACCAGCATGGGTCCATGGCGGGAACTGTCACGCTCTCCGTCCTGGAGCGGTCTTCGAGGAACACGACACGTACGGGTTTCTTCTTTCCGTCCTTTGCTTTGTCATGCAGTTTGTCGTTGGCTTTCTGTCTTCCGTGCTCGTGTCATGCAGGTGCTGACCAGAGTAGGCCTTAGACTTTCCGGTATAAGGCAAACTTGAATGTTGTAATTTACTGGAGTCTGTGCTGTGCCCTCACTCTTACCTGCCTCCGTCTGTCGGCCGCTGCTGCGCCAATTAAACACCTTTCGTTAGCAGACGGCCGGAGTGGGCAGCGAAATCACACTCTTAATTCTTTACTCTTCGCTCGGGTGATGTCGTTTTTCGAAATTTTCATGCACCAGATACACCATATTCGGCCACATCCATACAAATCTTTGGCTCGATATGACCTGGGAGGATGGACTTTAGAACCGTTCACTTAAATTGATTAAAATTTTCAGGGTGAATTGAACGCTATTAGGAAGGGTGACATATAAAGTTTCAATCTTGTAGTTCAATTCCACAACATACAATGCCTAACAAGCTCCAGAAAAAAGGTCACTTTATTAGGAAATGTGTTAAAAAAATTATAATTGCAGTGCACAAAAGTTTTGTTTTAAAGTGAAGTAGAACAATCATAGGTAAAATTAAGGTAAAAATTATGTGTAGAAAATGCAATTCTAGGGAAAAACAATAACTAAAAAAAGAATTCAACAAATTTTTGTGTTTTATCATTTTCAGTTTTCATCGTGATGGAGTCGGCTTTTTCAGCTTATGAGTACCTTAACTTATTCCTCAGGAAATTTCATTTCAAGACACCACCAAATGTAGTCTTTACACTTTCAGAATGTCAGATATGATATATTTTCTTGTAGAACATTTCCTGCCAAAAAGTGAAACTCAGAAAAATGTGTTTCAAGTTTCAACTTTAGGTTTGTTTATTTTGTATGAATCCCAGGCCCACAAAATTCACCTGAAGCATTGCTAGCACCTTTCTCTTTGAAACTTTGTTATTCCCCTGCTAATAGCTACTAGTTTGCATCATTTGTAGGCGAGCCAACTTTAGTAGCAGGTATCCAGTAGCGTAGCTAGGCCATCCAGCCTCTGGAGCCCTTATGTCTTTCCTAGCCCCCCGCCCCCTTACTGTAGAGGTTGTAACCAACCATTAAAGCGGGAGGGAGGAGGTGCTGGGTGCTGCCAAAGGTGGGACCCCCCGCACGTGACTGGGACGCCTGGTACCAGGCCCTCCTACCCCCGCCTCGGTTGCTATGCCACTGCAGGTCCCTCTTGATGATAAACAAATAAACTGCTGAGAACTAAAAGGCAAATGATACTAAGAAAAAGTGGCAAAGCAGCAAAATGATCTGAAGTGGAAGGTACTGTTGAAGGGGCGCTACTGAAGATAACACAATATTACATCACCTGGCCAGACCAATCATAAGCCCTGTTTCAAGTCTCACCCAGCTATATTGCACATACCAAATTTTTTGTATTTTTTCCGTTGGGACGTATATGGGGTTCTTCTGGCCATTGATACTTTTAAACTTGGAAAACTTCTAGAGGACGAATCTAGAGTAAATTGTGCTTTCAATGAGGGTGAGATGTTGTGGTGATGTTAAACAAGTATGAAATAACCCTAAATAAAAAAAATAAAAAAATATTGTTCTTTACTGACTCTGAGGGCTGCTGGCATGCCAAAAAGAATTTCTTGTGATATAAACCTTGCTTTTTTATGTATGAAAGTTTCTGAAACCATTTTTTGGAAGTTAATAAATGCAGACATATCAGTTTTGAAAAATATCTTTTTATCTGAAAAAAATTGAATTCCGAGGTCATATTCCCCCCCTCCTTAAGAAACCATCTTATGTGGTTCTTTCAAAAGGCCAATGATCCCTTTAACTCTCACAGTACTTAGTTCGCTGACCTGAGCTCTACGAGTGAAATGTTGCAGAAGATTTTAGTACAGATCACTATACATTGCGCAAGACCTTGTTTAAAATGGCCGTGGGTTAGCAAATTCATCTTTGAAGAGCTATTGAACTTGCATAGTGCTGTAAAGATCAACGGTGGCTTTGGTTTCCTGCAGGTTGCTGTGAAACTATTGGGGTATCCCGCCATTGCATGGCCGCCTGTACCTTCGATATTGACATCAATTTTGCTGTCAACCGTCCCCAGTGCATTCAAGATCTGGACAAACTGATGCACTGTGCTGCTGGTGAGCTAACTTTTTGCACAGAATCTTTGTATGGGTGCATAAGATCAACACGTTGGGAAGTTAAGACGACAGGCACCCCTTTAGTAATGATGACATTATAGGGTGAGCATTCTATTTTACAACATATTACCCACATCTATAGTGAGTGACAAGAGATTTGTTTGCACATTTATGAGCCTCTGAGAACACAGATGCTATGATGGAAGAATGTGCAGAGACACACAAGAATTTTCTAATATGGAGCACGACATCAAGAGGATGGCTTTACAACAGGCAATTCTGAAATGGGTGTTTGTGCAAATACTAAGCCATCATCCTTTATTATGATGAAGTGGCAAAAAAAAGGAAATTGATTGTTGTAGTCATGTAAGAGTCACAAGGGCTTCTAAGTACTTGGCTATACTGCAATGCTAATGGCAAAATTACTCAGTCTCGCCTGTGTGATATTTTCTAATTGAGTGTTGAGCTTGTGTCGCAGAAAAGCCGACGTCGGGTCATGACATTGCAGCCGCATGACCTCGCGCAAGAATTTCGAACAACCAACAACATTCACGTGAAACATGATGTCACGCGTGGAGTGAAGCTTGTGATTCAAGCATGACATGTAATGCGAATTAAAGGTTGCCACATCTCTCAAATGGTTTCACTTTATAAAGTAATTCATTTGCCTTAAGGAAAAAATTTGAAGAATTTTAGGCAGGATTCGAACCTACGACCCTTTGGTTGCGAGCCAGACACACTACTGGCTAGGCCACGCAAAGACACTTTTATGGCTTGGGAACGAGCGGGAGTTTATATGTTTAGCTGTCGGGTTCCACTCTTAAAGGAGAAGCTTAAGCGCCCTCCAAATTTTATGGCACGATTTATATATAAACCAGTCCATTAATCTCCTTCTTTATGCTGCAATCTCCAATAAAAGGCAATGCATTCTGAGCACGCGCAGTATCTCTCCTGCCGAACATCGGACGCTGCACGTGCGTCCACAACTCGGTTACTCGGCATCTTTTGCCTGGGTGATAAGTGCCGTAAAAATGTGCATTATTGTCCCAAAGCAAATCATCCAGTTGCCCATCTAGCCAATCTTGGTTCTGTTTCGCAGATGGCAGTGATCACAGGCAGTGTTGCCGGACCAAAGGAGTCCCCACTGGCTGCCAACGCTGGTGCGTGGGTAGGCCTGTCATCCACACCACACAGTGTGCCCTGGCTGCCTCCAGGGAGATAGTGGCCTGCTTTGAAGAGGGCAAAGGTGAGAGCATTGCCAAAGGCCTCGGCATAACATTCGTGGTGGCCATGGTGCTAACACAGTGCTTTTTAAAGCCTGCTTCCCTGTGAGCTACCAACAAAAAACACATTATCATGCCTTCCCCCGTTCCACCCCCCACACACTTGGCTTTCCACGATGCCACAAGCTTTTCGATTTTCGTGAAGAAACAGTAATACACAAAATTGATGCCAAACATTTTATTTTGAATAGTCGGAATGAATCAGCTGAACCAGAAATCCTTGCGAGAAGAAACTAAAAATGCATAAGGAATGACTGTTCTTAATGACTAGAGTGAGCTTGTTTGTTAGAGCACACATCCTCGAAACCAGGGTGGGGTTTGGACACCGCACCTTTGAGTTCCTGCTCTATGCCAATCTGCGACCTGTACTAGTGCTTTGTTTTCATTGGCGCCAGCATACAAAAAGCCAAGTTCACATTTTTTTAAGTTCCTGAGCCGCTTTGCAACCTTCCCACCAAGTATGTCACAAGCTCCCCCGAGGTTGAGACCAACAGTTTGAGAAACACTGTGCTGCTAACAGATTTTCTTTGTTTGCTTTTTTCCCCGCTGCCCAGCTATGCTGCCTGGACCGCCCCAGAATGTCAAGGTCCGGCAGCTCTCTCCAAATGCGGTAGAAATTCGCTGGGACCCGCCCATTAAAAATCCGGATGTGGTTCAGTGGTATAGGGTACTCTGGAGACATGTCGGATCTCAGAGCATCAACAGGGTAAGTGTGAAAACTATTTGTTTCAATTATGGCTGTTTGTGTGTCAACCACTGAATGGCAAAACTATACAGCAGTAAACACATAAGGCGTCAGAGCATACACTTTAAAGGCCTTGAGGGTCAATCTGCAATTCTCGTTTGAAAAACAAATGTCTCATGACATCACTTGATAGCCTGGATTCAACGATGTGCTGCACGACCTGTTGTCAAGGTTTCGCAACCTACTTTGTGAGCGTGGAAATCTTGCTTGTTGGAACCAGGTGACAAAAAAATGGGTATGCGTTTCTTTCCAGAATGAAACCTTGAAGGCACCCTTCAATTTGACAGATCTGCCTACGGGCCTCATCTACGAGTTCCTGGTGAAAGCAGGCAACCACTACGGCATGAGTGCAAGCACCCTTCCCGTGGTAATCCATTCGTTAGGTCAGTGATCCTTCTTTCCTAATGAAGTACATATCATAGTCTTTTATTATTTATTATCTTCACATTATCCTTCTAAGCAGGTATCACTAAGCAATCTCTTTTTCCATAAACTTTTGGAGTGAAGAGTTTACTAGAAACAATGCTATTTCTTTAATTGTATCGGCTATTTCTGCACATTGTAAAAGCCACCCTTTGTCTAAACTAGAACACCAATGTCGTTGCATACAATCTGGTCTTTGGGGCAGATCTCTTATATAGTACCCCGGCATAATGATAGCAGAAACAGATGGCAACCCAATAAAGCTGCAAGCGATATAGCCGCCTCAGTGGCTCCAAGGTGAAGCACCGGCCAATGCATCCCCAGCGGCGAGTTTGAATCTCGGTTGAAGCACCCACAATCTGACGGGGGATTATTGCAGAGAAGGTGCCGTGCAACCGAGATTTTGATTGCGCATCAAAAGATCCCCACGTGGTCGAAATTAATTCTTGGTGCGGGGGCGTGCCAGATGCCCTTCATTGGTTTGGTGCATAAAATCCTCATATTTGAAATTTGAAGCTGTAAGTGACGAAGTCAGTACACCTAAACAGTAATATATTAACGAGTACGTGTTCATCTACTCCTAGGTTCCAGTTACCAAACCGGCCTGAGCATGGGTGGAAAGATTGCCCTAATCCTGGTCTTGTCCGCACTTCTGCTCGTCATTGCTGGGGTCCTGGGCATCTTCTACTGGAAGAGGTGGAAGGCCAAAGCTCCAGCTTCGGGTGTCTCCTTCGAGAACCCGACCTACCTCAAGGACGGAGTTACACTTCAGGTAATGTGTGCCATCCCTTCCAAATGGCTTTTTCTGTGCCATACATCGCATGAAGTTGTACACAACATGTGCACACTGTATTTACAAAAATATGTTAGGTGCACCGATATAGCACGATATGCGGTGCAGATCAGCTTTGACTGGAGTATTTACACATATAAGTATGATTTGGTACCTTTTGCTATTTCTTCAGTATTTTATTTGTGCTATTCTTTGTGGATCCTTTGTGCCCTTCCCATCAACTCTGCTCCTTTGGCACATATAAATGTACATAGTATCAGGCACTAGTTTCATTAGTGGCAAATGCATGGTTTGCATACCAAATAGAAATCATGTCAAGGAAGTGATTTCAAGTGGAATCATAAAAAATTACTATAATCGTTGAATCAAAAATTATAAAGCCAGAATTGTTAGAGGAACCTCAATCTATTTCAAGTCTGAAGTTTACAAACTTTGTACACATAGTGCAACACAAGCCTGTCAGGCTCAGTACATAAAGCTAATATTTCTGTAATTTCAAGAATAAGTACAAAGCTTAGAGACACGGTTTTGAGACTCTCCACAATGATGCTGATCCTTATACATAGTGTTCTGGGCTGTGTATTTTGTGTGACATCAAAGTGCTACGATAAAATAGAATTCACAGATTGGACACAAGCAATGTGACAGCACTTTGCTCGGTTACATACACCGCACAACCAAACACCTAACTTCGGCCTCAAATCTATTTTCTGCACCAACAATAATCACCAAGCTCTAAGAGTACAAAAAGCGTAGCTCATTCTTTGCACTTGTATTTGTCTCTGTGGATTGTCAACCCAAACACATGGTGGTGGTGAACATTGTTGGCGTCTGTGGCAGGGGAGCACATCGGATCACTCTCTGTGCTCACAAATTCACTGCGATCTAACACCATTCATACTACCAATGCCATGGGTGTTGCTTCAGCACAGTTCAGCCGTGCAACAGGGGGAGGTGCACTGAGTGGTGGGATATAACTGATCCTAACTTAGAAAACCTAATTTTTCAAATACTTCTATTCAGTGATTGAGTCAAGTACAGTAGGCTCGCAATAATTCAAACTCGAATATTTCATACTTCTGGTTAATTCAAGCAAATTTAAGATTTTGGTTGTACAGCTGTGTTTTTAATGTATACATTAGCCGCTTAATTCGAACAGCGTTTTCATGTAATTCATACTTTTTGTTCTCGCGGCCCCGTTGAGTGCGCTTTTTTCCGAGCACCGGTCCACTGCAGAGAGGCGACACCCCTGGAGCTCCACGGGTGTTGCTCGTACTCAACGGGGCTCAAGCGGGCACACGAGCAATGAAAGCGGGCACCACGTGAAAATTTTCATAGCAACTTGCGCAGACACTGTAGTGTGGCAGCATGACATAGGTTCAAGTCACAGCACCCGTGCAAGTTGCTATGAAAACTGCTACGCATTGCCTATTTTCATTGTTCCTATGTCCCCTGCTTAAAGGGAAACAAGCGGTTTTGTATTTGAGGAGAAACACTTAAATCGTCTTCGTTTGGTCTTCAGAATCACGAATATGGAGATTATTTCTTCAATTTGGTGAAGGGAGGCTGTAGAAATTTCCAACGTAGCCCCTCCTTTCCGGAGCGTGGCGTCATATCAGAAGTTTTTGGAATCTCGGCTCTCACACATCTTCAGCGCCTATCAAAGCTATGTATGTGCACTCTTCCTATTTTCAAAAAGGTCAGCAAAAGATGTCAGGACTGGTGTAAGTGCGGGGAAATATACCTGGCAAGCTTACAATTGCACGCACTGCCCACACGAGCGGCACGCGCTTGGCGGCAAAAAGATCCTAGTATGACGTAACGACTTGTCACAGGTTTTTCGTATTTGATCGCGTTTAGTTACATCTTCGGCGAAAACGAACGTGATATTCAGATTCACCGGATAAAAAAAACTCTAGAATTTACCTCTAACTTTTTTTCAAGAACCTTTTCAGCTTGTCTTTAATAGTCCACATTATTGTCGGTGACAGGTCAAGATCAGAGTGCAAGCTCTTCCTACTTTAGTAGTGCGAACGCTGGAGAAGAGGCGACCTCCTCTCCACCGTTCACTCTGCTAAAGGGAAAAGTGGTGGGAGGAGCTCCCACTTTATTCTCGACCTGTCACCGACTATAGACAACTTCTTGGCCTGATGAACAAACCTAATTAAGTTTTGAGTTGTCATATGCTGTTTAAACAGTCCATGATAAACATTTCTGAGGGATAAATAAACTTATGTCATACATTTCACAATTGTTGCGTGGCATACCTGCCCATGATCAGTAGGCCTATGTAGAGGAAATCATCAAATATCTACTTTGCATGTGTAACCATTTATATGGCAAATCATAATTTTATCTTGCATCATATTTAGATCAATTTCTGATAAATCAAACTTCCGATAATTCAGACAAAATTCATGGCTTTCTAGAGTTTGAAATAATGAGTCTACTTGCATTATTATGCAAATGATTATCTTGAAGTTTGAAATATCCTTTTCAGTTAATACTATCACCACAATACAGGGGCTGTTCTGTTTGGAACTGCTTTGTCCAAAGCATGCAAACTCGAGGGAACTAAACACACTTTTTGTGCTTAGGACATTAAGTGATCAAGCTTTGAACGAGTTTGGTACATACTTCGGAGTTTCTCAAACTTATTTCCCACGCATTCTATGTTCCAGTATTCGTGCAGCTATTACCTGAAATGGTATTGCAGTGGTGCATCCCTACAGTCTAACAGCAGTGTATGCCGACATGTAATGCGCGAGCCAAACGAAAGAAATGGCTAAAAAATGGCTTTATCTTGTCGTTTGTCTGCAGAACACGAGCGGAGGAGGAGGAGGGGGAGGAGACAGTTCGTCAAAGCCGAGCGAACCGGTTGAAAACGGCGGCCACCGGAACGGAAGACCACGTGCCGTCGAGAACTGCTATGAAGACATTCGTGCTGTGAGACTCTCGTCGTGATGATTAGGAACAGTTTTTGTCATCGCCACTCCATCCAAACCTCCCTTTAACTGCTCAGCCATGGCAACACAGCAGTCAGCAGTGGGTAGTTGCAGAGAAACTGTGATCCTTTCAAAAGCCCGGTGACCAGCATTTGTCTTACTTACAAAACGCTGCAAGCCCCCACACGGGGGGACGCCGCCGCTCAAGGTTCTTCAGAAACTCTTCTAGGCTTGAGGTGGCTCGCGACACATTCGATTCAGCAAGGCCATCAGAACGACAACTGCAAGTCGTTGGAACCCGATTGTACATGTGCCTTCCCACCAAGATACTGCATCATTCTTTGACACAATGGGGTATGTGTTGAGGGCAGTGCAGACGGCCTATGGAAGGCGGTAGCTAGCACGATTATTGTGAGAATAATGGCAATAGTAGTGTGGTGCTTTTGCAGGTATTTGTTGATCTTTTGAGTGTCTTTTTTTGTTGGAGCCTAGCTCAGGACGTTGAAAATTTTATGAAGCACGCTCGCTCCAGGTTCACAAAGTGCACTGGTGTGTTGCTTTAATTAGAGTCTATCTATGTACCCTAGCTAAAGATGGGTCCTATTTTCCATGTGTGAACAATATAAATATTTTCTTTACTTATTACGAATAACTTTTTCTATTTTTTACCTATGCTCCATGATGCTAGGCCATAAAACTGGTCGGAGAATGGCCACAAAGTTTCGGTACTTAAGTAGGCCTCCAGATGGCACCACGTTCTCTGTAGTAGCTGCTAACAGCATTTTTCAGTGCTGGCTGTAAATATGTGTGGCTTGTGATAACATAGAAAAGATTTATTACTGAAGAGTGTTAAAGGCATTCCATATTTTTTATATACAAGACTTTTTGTTTCATCAATTTCAAGAGCTATAGAATTGGGCAAATAGGAGCTTGTTGTGGTCTCTGCTAAAAACGAGTTTAAAATATCTCATTCATCATGCAACTGTCATAGCCAGCTAGCTGTTCATGCACCAGATTACGCTGTTATGTAGTAGTTTTCTTGCAGACCTTTGTTTTTCTCCCCGTCATTAATTTTATTTTAGTCAATTAAAATTTCACGTCGGACAGTCACTTCAAGTGCTTCGAATGGCAGGCACACCATGCACACCATGTCCAGCACCTCATATTATTTCTGTGTTTTGCAATCTTGAGGTACTGAAACAAAGCTGGACAAGTCAACCCAGATGCACATGACATATTATGCAAAATGTTCCAGTGAATCCCTGTTAACAAAAAGACGAGAAAAATAACCTTTCAGTTGAAAAGAGTATATTTTTATTGAATGTACAAAACTAACGAAGAAAAAGGGCATGCCTGTTGCAGTGTGCAACATGTTGTGTGAATGAAATATGTACATACTGTCACAAACAAAACAAAATATGAAATGCAACCACCAAGACCATGCAAGTTAGGTTTGATGGCAAGCTTTGATACAAATGCAAGTGTAAATAAAGAAGTGAGGGTGGGCGCTACACTTTTCCATCAATAAAGCATGTTTCTTTCAACAACCAGCTTCGTTTCATGCTCGCAAAAACATAGCAAAGCAATCAGAGCCACTCCTTGCTGGGAGTCACATCGACCTGCTCATGCTGCTGCCGTTTCTCGTAATTCTCCAGGACACTTTCGGGGATCTTGTCGTATGCCTTGTCCAGTTTCGCGCCACTAAAATCAAACCCAGGGTTTTCAATTTGAAACTTCTCTAGGTCCAGTTTCTTCATCATCTCGTGCATCACATAAGGATCTGGTGCATACTGCCCTTCCAAGAGCGAACCCCACACCTTTTCCGAATGAGCAGGTTCAGATTTCACAAGGAGAATCAGGATGCGCTCTTGTTCCTCTATTGTCCACGTTGACTCGTCGGCGACCACAGTGCGATGCAGGTTCCCGGAGAAGAGGGTCTTTCCGTGGACCGTGCACGTGATGCGTCTCGGCTTGATCTCCACCGAGACGTTCTTGCCACGGGTTCCTTTCGGGACTTGTACGTGGACGAAGACTTCGCCGACCGTCTGCCACCAACTGCCCCACGGAGTCTTGCAGGGGACTGCCCCACTGCGTTCGTCAAAGTGCGACAGGGACATGGCCCCCTCTGATTACTTGGCGAAGGGTGCTTTCTGAAATGGAAAGGAAAGAAAAGCATGCCGTGACTTTTGGAGCCTAAAAGAATGGGCTGAAAATAAAACTTTTCAACTGACTGGGTTGCAAAGGATAGGGTGGTTGCATCTGCTACATACAGATGGCAAAGCCCGACTCTGGACACAGCTGGCCAGTAAGTATCTTCACACTGTTCCTCAAAGGTTGATCTGCTCTATACTTTACGACGGAGCTGAAAAGTTTGATTTCCTTTCTTTGCATCTGGCAACAGGACAAGGAAAAAGCCCCTTATGCATGAACTTGAGGGACAAAATGGGCATTCGAAATGGATACAAAATTGTGACGTTCAGGAGACTGATCGGTAGGAATCGAGGAATTCTTTTACTTGGGGACCACCCCACTCACTTTCTTTCCCTATAAATTTAACCTTTAAACATCCTCAAATATTGTTACTTCTGAGCACTTAATACAACAGGTATTTCCATCTGGGTCACAGCTGCCAGCGACAGAAATGGAGATAGTGGACGAGGGTGACTACATAAAAGTGTCTCCGGGCGCGTTCATTGCTGTGTTTGTGCACTTTGCAAAAGCATTTTCTGGCTCGTTACAGTTATAATTAGCATGTGCTGGCTGGACTGCAATCTTTGTAGCCTCTCTGATTGGAGAAGTCCCCTTCGCCTTGAGTAAAGGCCCGTTCACACTCTTGCAATTGAGTACGACTGAGAGAGACGAGGCCTGTTGAAACCTCTTAAAATTTTTTAGGGCGAGAGAACACACTGGCACTCTGGTGCCATCTATGCTGTCACCCTAGAACTGCATTCCACAAGAGCGAAGGTTATGCGAGATTTCCGAGGTCAAATGTGCGTAATACCTATAAAAAAAGGCTCATATAATGTTGACAAAAGTTTTTCGAGCCAAGAAAGAAAGGATAATGCGCGAGAGAAATTGAAAATATGCCGAACCGCCAAGTTTACACAGCTGCCCAATAGATGGCGCCAGTGTGTCCTCTCGTGGCAAGATTAAAAGGTTCCAAGGCACCCGGTTCTAAGAGGTCGCAAGTGTGTGAACAGGCCTTAAGTGTCGGTGAAGAGATAAAAAAACAGACAAGCACATACACCATCTCAAAACACAGCCATCTTTTATGTGTTCCCGGTCTCGAGTTTTTAAAGCGATAGCTTTATGGGCGACACTTTGCAGGAATTTTGCTGTCAGCATTTGTCTGTCGTCGCAGCAGAAGTGGAAAAACCCTTCTTCTCTCTCTTCTTGGTACGAGAGAGAAGTTGGGTGTTTCCATAGCCTGTGCCACGAGAAGACGAGAGCCTTGACGACCCATGCATAACAGCGCGATGAGGAGGAGTAGCGTCGGCGGATCATCTTTCCGTCATCTGCTAATGATACTTCAAAACGGGTATTTTCAAACATAGTTTTCACAGACATCACTGCTGGGGCTTATGGGATATGTCGCCGCCATCACCAGGTACTGACATGATTTCGGTTTCAGGCCGCTGCTGCATCGTTTTCGGTGTGCATTCCTTTCTTTCGTGTTATGAACGCTTGCAGTCACAGTGGTGCAGTAATGCCGATGTGTGCAATGTTTGGTTGACGCAGCAGAAGCAAGTCCTCCACAGAGGAGAGTAACCCAATGCCAAAAATAAGGCTGCATTTTTTGCCGATAGTGATACACCAACAGTTTGAGCGCACAATACTGCTGTCCGAGAAACACCAGAGCTTCTCATTTGCTCGCATACACCGGAAAGATTTGAAGAACCCCGGCAATGACCAAGTCAGTGGTCGTTGTTTCGTTACAGGCAAGGAACACATGCGTCACCCATAATAGGCACCCTGCAGATAACTCGGTGCCGACACACGCGTCTCTCGTGGCGGCGTCGTGCGTACTCATCGGGAAGCGACCTCGGCAGTCGCAGCTCGACTGCAGTGGTACACCAGTGGGTGTTGCAAGGTCAACATGCCTGCTTGGGCCACGGCAGGGGACACATCAGCAGTGAAACTGGGTGCCGTGCGGCTCTCCGCACAATGCAACAGCTGGCGATACGCGGCAATATTTGTGTTTCCAAAACACATGAACACAAAAGCCCGTCGCGCAATGCACACAGTTGCTGGGGCACCGATCATAGAGTGACTGGCAGTACTTCGCTTTAAAATGCACTATTTATGCCCAAAACGTAAATTAAAGTAATTCAGATTAAAAATAAAACAAATAAAACTGGTGCAAACGTTCCTGTGCTGCCATTCTATTACTATTACAGTAATAATGTCGAAGAAAACATTACCGCAAAACACATGTTCACAACACTAGCAACGCCAAGTTTGCTTTAATTTCCTTTCTAGCTAATCAAGCTGAAATAAATAAAAAATAATTGAGATTGTTCCAATGAATAATTGTGAAGACTATAAACAATCATTTAAAAATTCAAACGCAACATGTCCAGCTTCACTGAGACAACTGGAGGCGCACGGGGTGCCAGTCCTGAAAAAAACATACCGCGGAAAGTATATGAACCCCTGAATGCCGCATTCAAGGGTCCGAAGAGGTTCAGATTGAACAGAGAAGGCTAACGTAAATCGCTTGTATGAGACGCGACCAGCTTTCATGAAAACTTAACGCTTTCGTTCGAAAAAATGGGGAGATGTTTCAGGAAGTCACAACGAATGCAGTAATTACCAGGCGTTATGACCGTGACATTGAAATGAGCAGTGACAAAGCGTTATTTGCGAGCACCATAAAAAAACGTTATGCATGGGAGTGAATACTGGTGTTGGGCAGAACTTTTGCCGAATCGAAAGTTCGGCGCCGAATCTCGGGATTCGGCAAAGCCGAACTTTTGCCGAACTTTTCTAAAGATTCGGCAAAAATGCATTGTTACCAGACTTAATGTTGATATTTAGTTTTTTCTGGCAAAAAAAGGTTTTATGTTTTTTGCTTTGTTTTTAAACTTAGATGCACCACGTAATGCATATTGACAGTTATTACTAAATAAGGTGATATTCTACAAGATAATTGTATCGGCGTCGTTTTTGTGCGTTTACTGGCAATTTTAATGGCTTCTTGCAGAAGTTGTGTGACAACGAGGTTGGGTAGAAGCAAGCGTCGCGCAGTGGCGCAGTCACGAATCACGCTACGAGAGTTTCGGTTTTGAGGCATTATCAGCGCAAGCCTGCATGCATGTGTACATTCTTAAAATGAAGGCAATAATGCTGCATTCTAGCTTTCTCCGACAGTCAACGGTTTGTGCGTGCAAGAAAACGAATACAACGGTTGCTGAGCCTTCATCAGAAGATATAATAATATTATTGTAAATATGCATGTTTTTCAATTTGAGTCACTTGACGTCAGCTTTGCATGAAAGTGTGCGTCCCATATTCACAATGTTTCATTTTTAACCTTTAAAATACTAGTTTCTGGTGTTAGGACACACACAAACATTTAGGAAAATAGGGAGAGTTAGGCATGTCGGATGTGCAATGTTGAGCATTATAGTTCTGTGTTTAGTGTGTCATGCAGGTACATCCAGGTACATGAAAATCGTGAAATAACGCTAATTGAAAAAACAATATTATTTTGTTTTGGCACACACTACTTCTGAGCCGGAAACGGAATTGCTATAATTGCGAGGAGTGCTTTAAAGTAATTGCCGGCCAATGTTTCAACTACCTCGTTGCATCACTGGAAATGTCAAAGGAAAATCCCGTTATCCAGAATGTACCATGGACTGTGTAAATTACTGGTCGATCTTCTATTCTTGAGGCAGAAAATTTTGAAGAGAACCACATTTCCTCACAAACGCAGTTACCACGTTGCCTACTCCACACCTCGCCTTAACTGCTGGTTGTACTACAATGCACGATGGTAACCGCACGACTGCACAGCGTCCATTTGCAATCCATGGCCCCGTCGCATTCTCGCGCATGCGCAGACATTTGCCGAATTTTTGCCGAATCTATGCCGAACTTTCCTTCAAAAGTTTGGCATTTGCCGAACTTTGCCGAATCTGAAGTTCGGCAGATTCAGTCCATCACTAGTAAATACCTACCAATGCAGTCAAAACTACTAACCCAGCAGAGAAATTCCGAAACACAAAACATGTTTCTTCGTCTTCCGGGCGGCATTGAATGGCTGGCTCGACAAACATGACGTCAAAGGTCTCCCCGGTACAAAGCGCACCGTCTCGGCATCTTTTCTACATCCCTCAAGTTAACTTGTTCATCAGCTGTGGCAGTAACATTCCAGCAAACAGATTCCCTACCTTGAACTCAAACCATTAACACCAAACCAATCTCGCTCGGAGTCATACCGCCGCTTGTCAGCATCGTCGCTGCTTAAGAAGACCTGCCTGTTGCTAGTTGAGACGTTGATTTCACAACACCTTTTGTGTCACTCCTGAGAGTTCGAATAACTTTGCAGACGACTAGAACGTCCTCACGAGAGCGTTTGAGACGCACACAGCACCGAACCCAAACCAAACCAATGCAAACGGGCGCTGTGCAGTAGTTCATTGCTCATGTGTCCCCTACTTGACACAATGGCGGAAGCGCGGGAGCTGCAGCGTGAGCAGCGGCGGAGCCCTGCCGCTCTCCTTACGCAGACTCAAAAATGGCCGCGTGCGGCGCTGTTCACTGGGGGATTGGTAGCGGCTCCTAGCGGACGCAGGGTGCCTATTCATGGATTGCTAAAACCTTACATTCATACTCTGTGAGCTTCACTTTGCCACAGCAGCTAAGGCAGCTTTACAGTGTCTGGTAGTGCCACGCTGCAGGGACTGACAAACCCCCTACTAGATTACGGACACCTGCTGCTGTTCTCTGCATTTACCTTTGTGGCAGAGTTTCCTCATCTTTGTGGTGTTGGTAGCCAACTTGTGTTGATAGCGTTTCAGCGGCAGCGCAAGTTTGTACAGCTCAGATGCTGGGACTTTTAATGCCTCAAGTACAGGCAAGTCTTTTAAGGGGCTATGCAACAATTTTAACTTCGAAAGAATTTGCAGATTTATATTTGTACCTTGTTTATCTCACCAAGAGGGATCGAGAAACCGCCTCATTGTTATGAAATACTGCGATTCCGTTGAATAATAGCAAAGAAAAGAACAGTATATTTCGCGATTTGCAGCCGCGGCGCCGCGGAGTGGCTGCAAATCGCGAAGTTTTTATAACGCGCGCCAGTTATTCGCCAGAACGTCGATTCGCTTAAATGGCGCTGTCGCAGAAATGTCATTCGCTCATGTGATATGGACCAATAAAACGGGTTTTTCACTTGCGATGAAAGAGGTAGTGCAAGATCCTCACAACTTCTGTTGAAGAAGCAAACTTTCCGAACGTCGCTTGGGTGGCTTAGAATTTCGGTTTCACACGATCAACGGTCGCCTCCACGGTACACAGTCACATGTTGGTACATACACTGTGATACAAGGGCACATAGGCACATAGGCACACAAATTGATTTTGGGCTAGTTTGAGGGTTTAGCTGGTTTAGCCGCTTTCGGTCTGGTGCACAAACACAGAAGTGTACGAGCATACACAAGCCAACACAAAAACACAAACGTACAGTACGTCAGCGCCAGTGTAGTCAGCGCCTCCTGTCCCAAAGCCCCAAAGCTCCCAAAAAGATAAACCAGCCCCCCCAAAAGATAACTGGAAAAAAAGATGGAGACTAGCGTCATCTTGCGTATAAAATAGAAAGTGAAATTGTACTACATAAGGCGCAATGAATGACTGTACTCCAACGTCAAAAGAGGACGCTCGCGACGTGTACCTTAGAGCAACGCTTACAGCTGTTTTTATAGTCCATAGATATTTAAATGCCGGTCATCCGGCCCCTACGCCACTACCGGTTGCTCTTTGAACCCCTTATCAAGGGCGCTGCCGCGCTGCAACCTGGAGTAACTTTCAGTGACCCACATTCTGACGACAGCTGTGCACGTAAAGGCGATCGCGTTCGATGCCTTCGCGACCCTAGAGTCGCGAGAGTAGCATACATTATCAGATTGCTACGTAATGAGGCACTGTGCAATCACGTTGTAGAAAACATAGAAAACGCACGTGAGCCTATTTCGCTTCCCACTTCCCGTGATGCCTCGAAAGCACTTCCTTGCGCTTCCCACGCACACGGCGGCTAACGAAAAAAGACGAACATTCCGTGAGCCGCATTTCCTTGCCCGCATTTTCGAAGGGCGGTTTGTTTCCTAGCGTAGATTTGCGACGAGGCCGACCGTGGGTGAATTTGACGGTACGTGATGGGTCCCGAAAAAGATGTCGACCAGAAGCCAACCGAGCCCGCCGTTGGCGAGGTAAGAGCGCCGCAGCAATCTCCGCAGTTGGACGCGGCACCAGCAGCACTCCCTCTCGAACCCCTCACCAACGTTGGCGCGCGTGGCCGCTCTGCCCAATGCGCCCAACGTGCTGCCGAGGCGACATTGAACTTAGGCCGATACCACGCCCGCGTGGTCCCGTTCGCGTTTGGAGGATAGATACTAGCATTTGGTCACAGGCTTTTAGTTAGCTCGTTGCGTGACCAGAAAAAAACGTGGCATTGATATCTTTTGCTGACGAACTAAAAGAGGGAGAAAAAAAAATGGTGTTATCGACATTTGCTAAGTAGGTCCTTGAGAAAGTGGTTATTATCACACGCGGGCTCTTTTGGTTTTTCTTCTTGGCAATAAAGCGAATTGTTCCGGTTTTTACGAGTGTTATGAAGGAGAAACTTTATGGAAAAGTCAGTTTACCGTCAGCTTTTCCCGCTTACACCGCGGCTCTCGCTCCTCGCAGTCACTGGAGGTTTTTCCGAATGGGACAGTCTACTCCTTCGCCTGTGGGCCGCGAAGTTTACGACGGTTGACGACACGACGATGCGGGGCACTTGTGCCGAGCACGATACAAGTGGCGCGAGCTTGGCCAGCAGTAAAAACTGCACATGCCTGCAGTTTCGAATGCGACGCCATCGCGGCACGGAACTTCGTTCTGAGATCGTCTTTTGAGCGACGTTGTTGTTCTGTCATTCCAGAAGGCTGCCACCGCACTCGATAACCAGGCAAAGGCTGCTGCTCCTGACGTTACGGCTACCACTGGTGAGGCCAGTAGAGATGAGTTCTTTTGCTCCCTAGTTTTTCAATACTTTAGCTCCATGTTTCAGAAAAAAAAAAAAAAAAAAAAAAAAAGCTTTCTGTGTATGGTTTTTTAAAATATTGGGTGCTGGAAAAAAGCAGGCAGCTGGATTAAGTTCTTATTTTGAACTTTTTTTTGTTCACGGTCCACTCATTGAAAAACAGTGAGTAGCCCAATACACATCTGATCCCACCACACCACAGTCTCTTCTGCATGGTAAAGTTTGGCTGCTATGGTCATGAATGCCAATAGAGTTGCACTTGGACTGAAGTAACTGAGGAAAGGACGTCTGGAGGCCCTAGAGTGGCTGCTAATTTGGCAGCGTTTGATTTGCTAGCTCTAGTCGTTTGTGCCCTGGCTGTTGGTCTCGTGGACTCGTGCGAGCACCCGCGCGCTAGACAGTCTTGCAGTAACATAGCACGCCTCTTGTGCCCGTCAGATGAGCCGGCTTGAGTGCACGCACTGGTTACGATGATGTAACATTCCCTCCCCCCTTACAAAATCAATCGGTCCCGTTGGTCTCCGCATGCGGGTTAAATGCCTGGGCAAAGGTGTACCCGACTCAACTGGCTCCAAGTCACCGTGCTCAGTCAGGCACGTCACCGGAAGTGGCCCAATCTTTTGATGTTGACTGCTCCTCCTGCTCACTCGTCTCCACCTTGCCTTTGGCCTCTTGCAGGGCATGTGTAGTGCCCCATTGACGCATTTGGTCCAGGTGACACCGCTTTTGCACACCAGTAGCCACCTTTGCCCTGGCCGAAACTCTCGCAAACAAATGCGCATTCCTGGAGTAAGTGACAACCTGGTGCTCGAGGTCTGTTTGATCTTGCCGCGCTCGTGTTCTTCTACTACAAAGTAACCACTCAACCTCGATCTGGGTTGAAAGCCCATCAACCTCTCTGCCGGTGACTTGCAGTCTTTGGTTGGCGTCGATCTGTATTGAAATACGAACTTCGAAATATGGTTCTGCAGGTTGACTTCCTTGTTTTTCTTCGACCCTTCTTTAATAGTGCGCACCATGCACTCCACTAGCCCATTCAACGTTGGGTGATATGGGGCCGTGGTCGGGTGACTCACATTGTTGTCCTGTAGGAATCGTGCCATCACTCCACTGTAAAATTGAAGAATGTTATCCGATACCACTGTGTACCAATTTTTCAATCCTCGTGTCTAATCCTGGGTACCAAAAGATTGTTTGAGCGAGATTTCATTGCTGATATTCCATGGTGAGTGTCGTGCAGCTCCCTCAGCATTACTGTCCATGCAGCTTCTGGCAGAACACTGATGGCCCCAGCAAATCAGATTATGGCTCACCGAAAGTTCATCTCTTTGGAGAAATACGGCAATAGTGGCTGCTCCTCCGTGCTTAACCTTGACAGCCACCCACCCTAGATCCATTTCTTCACTTGGTGCAGTTTCTTGTCGTCCTTGTTAGGGTTGCTATCTGCTGTGCCGACAAAGACCTGTCATCCATACCTCGTGTATACAACATACTCCATGGGCTCTCTAGTGTTGTCAACATTAGACCCCGGCACGGTGGACCCCGCCAACGGCAAGCGACTTAGAGCGTTGGCATTCCCATTTTGCTGTCCTTTCCAATATTCAATGTTGTAATGGTATGCCACGAGGAGCAGCACCTACCTCTGTACTCGGGCTGCCGCCATTTGTGGGATAGCTTTCTCCAGATGAAAGAACGCCGTCAGAGGTTTGTGGTGTGTCACCAATGTGAAGCGATTGCCGAAGAGATGATATTGAAACTACGTCACTCCAAACACCAACGCCAGTCCCTCTTTTTCTAGTTGGAAGTAGTTGCGATCAGCTGGTGACAATGTCCTTGAATGGAACGCTATTGGGTAGTTCTTTCCGTCTCAACGAAAGACTGTCGGGTGACGCGTCTTTCTAGTCGCAATGGTTTGCAAGGGTTGTAATGAACCAGAAAATCGGCCTTTGTCATGGCACGTTTGTCTGCTGGAAGGCTCTTTCCTGTTCCAATCCTCACTGCCATGGCATTTCCTTGGCCAGCAGTCGATAAAAGGGAGCCCACATGGATAAAAGGTTAGGCAAAAACTTTGTGTAATAGAAAGGATTTTAGCTGGCTCACAGATGTTGGCCTTGGCACTCCTGTCACCGCCTCGAGATAGTCTCGCTGAGGATGAAGCCCTTCACGTCAATCTTATGTCCCAGAAACGACACTTGTTTCTCTCGGAACCGGCGCTTGCCTTGGTTGAGCTTGAATGCATTGTCCTGGAGTCGATGAAACACCTGTCGGAGCATCGAGGTGTCATCCTCGTTCTCGGTGACAGTGATATCATCCTGGTATACCTTAACACGAGGCAGTCTCTGCAGGAGCAGTTCAATGCGTCATTGAAACAACGCTGGGGCGGACGCGATGCCGAAGGCCAGTCGGTTGTAGCGGTACAGGCCCTAGTGTATGTTCAGCGCTGCCATCTTCCAAGCCTCCTCGTTGAGAGCAAGCTGATTGTACGCGTTGCATAAATCCAACATGCTGAAGACCTCTCCTCCGTAGAGCGACACAAAGATATTGTTAATCTTCCGCAAGCAATAGTGCTCCAAGTGTGCCGCCGGATTTACCGTTGCTTCAAAATCTCCTCACAGCCTTATGTCACCGTTTTTCTTCGCTACCGGCACGACCGGTGAGGTCCACTCCAATGTGCGGATCGGAGGAAGTGCTCCCTTCTTTACTAAGCGATTAATTTCCAGACATCTTCTTTCTGAAGTGCGAATGGCACCGGTCGCGACTTACAAAAGTGGGGCAATGAGTCTTTTCGTACAACTTGACAAGGGGTCCTTTGCAGCAGCGCAGCTTCTCCTCTAAGACCTCTGCAAATTCTTTCAGTTCTGTCACGGAAGTTTCAGCGTGTACAGTGTTAACACAAAGACCCAATCCCACATCTGGAGCCGGCACACTAGCATTGTGAAATGCCTGATTTGTGTTCCAGCCACGCAGAGGTCCTTGACAGTCCACGATGACCAATGCGCTGTCCACCAGTGCTTGACCGTGTTGTACCTTCATGGTAATTCTGCCAATGTCCGGTAGTGGCCCCAAGAAGTATGAAAAGCGAAGGGGAGCCTTCTCCAGTATGCGCCACCACTTGCAATGCTTTTTGAAGACTCATGGGTATCGCGCTCACTGGTGAACCAGTATCAACAAGCATTCATAGCCTCCGGCCCTCTCAAAGCAGATCCCTTTCCATTGGTCGAACCTCTTTTGGCTAAACTGTGTGCAAGCAAGGCTGATAGAATTTCTTCCCAGCTCGCTTCCTTGTCAGTCATCCAGCACGTATGCTTTTTACTGGTTGGTGCGACCGGACTTCGATGTTCTGGCCAGGTAGCCCTTCTTTCCCCACTTGTGGCACTCTGTTCTGCAGTGGCGACATTTGTCCGCTGAGTGATGGGCACCACACCTCTAGTAAGAGGCACGTGTACCTGTTGCACTGTTGCCTCGTCTGGTAGGCCCCAGATTACTCCGATGAGTTCGTACAAAGTGTGTGCCACTCACCCCATCTTGCGAAGCTGTTTTCTGCATCACCTCGACGCTTTTGCCGGCAGTCTCGGAGGAAATTGCAAATTCTTCTGCCTCTTCCAGGCTCAGCGTCTTACGAGTAAGCGAAAACTATCGTGTTTCCGTTTCCGGTCTCTGCTATCAGCGCTCCTGATAAAAGGCGCAGCGAGCTGCCGCGCCGCAAAGAAGCAATTCGTCAGTCACAAAATAAAGATCGCTCCCGGCGGACGAGAACTTGTCTTCCGGGCACACGCATGCACACAACTGGCGACGAGGATGGGATGCATGCGCACAACAACTGGCGACGAGGATGGGATGTTTTTCGTTTTTTTCCACGGTGGAGGAACAAGCAGATGAGGAAGTTTTCTACACACTGAGGTTGGATTCCATGCCAGTGACAAGTCAAGAGATTGCAAGGCACACCGCCCGTGATTCCACTCTCCGGCTGGTACTCTATTTCACACGGAAAGGTTGACCGTCCTACATCGGCGACGCCGATCTCAAGCCATTCTTCCACAGACGACATGAACTAACGGTTCATCAGGGATGCCTGATGTATGGCATGCGTGTTGTGGTGTCGCCCAAGCTGCGTCATCTGGTCATCTAGGAGCTGCACGAGGGTCACCCGGGCATCGTCCGTAGCAAAGAGCTAGCCCGCAGCTATGTCTGGTGGCCATCAGTTGACAAAGACCTCGAGAAGTAAAGCTCTGCCGGGAGTGCCAGCAACAACGTGCATCACCCGCAAAAGCCCCCTTGCATCCCTGGGCGTGGCCGTCGAGACCTTGGCAACGAGTACACTTGGACTTCGCGGGTCCTTTTTGCAGCTGGATGTTTCTTGTAGCTGTCGATGCCCATTCCAAGTGGCCTGAAGTCTGCCTGATGAAGTCTACGACCGCTGCAAGCACAGTTGCCCAACTACGCAAACTTTCCAGTCGACATGGGCTTCCGGAAACCATTGTCAGTGACAATGGTCTGCAATTTACTTCCGAAGAGTTCCGTTCTTTTCTCAAGATGCATGGCGTGCGCCAAGCTCTGACCGCGCCATACCATCCCAGCAGCAACGGACTCGCAGAACGTTTTGTACAATCTCTGAAGAATGCCCTTCGAAAGGCTCCGGCGTCAGAGTCTGTTGCCGAGAGTCTGAACAAGTTTCTGCTGGCCTACCGCACCACCCCTCATACAACTGCTCAGGAGACTCCGGCCTTCTTGTTGATGGGAAGAGCCCTTCGTCGCGCCTGGATGCTATGACACCATCACTCGAAGCCTTGATTTCTGGATGCCAGTTCCAACAATCGTCTCATCGGGGAGGAGGTGTGGACGTGCCGTTTTCAGAGAATGACTGCGTCCTGGTGCGAAACTTCAGACGGGGACCCAAGTGGTTGAATGCAACGGTGTTGAAAAGAACTGGGCCCGTTTCTTACACGGTACAAGTTACCACGTCGCATGGAGTGCACATCTGGATCACTTATTGCCAGCTCCACCCTCCACAAGCAAGGCTCCGTTTGAGTCGGATGACGAGCTGTCACCAGTATTGCTGCCACCTGTCAAGGACAAGCCAGCTCTCGCAGTGCCAACAGCAACAACAGCCACGACGACAGCAGCGACAGCAGCACAAATAAGGGGACAAGTAACCTCCGCGGAGCTGTCGCAACCACGCTACCCACCGAGGACCCGGAAACCACCCGACCGTTTTTAGTCCCGGTTAACTACTCTCGAATAAGAGGGGGAAAGTGTCGTGTTTCCGTTTCCGGTCCCTGCTATCAGCGCTCCTGAGAAGAGGCGCAGCGAGCTGCCGCGCCGCGAAGAAGCAATTCGTCAGTCACAAAATAAAGATGGCCCCCGACGGACGAGAACTTTTCTTCTTCCGGGCACCCGCATGCACACAACAAACCGCTGTGAGTCATCATCCTGGAGGCCACAGACGATTTGGTCTCGTAGCATCCGGTTAAGGGTCTCGTCAAAATTGCAATCCTTGGCAAGATGCCTCCCAGGTCTGCGATGAAGTCTTGAATGTTTTCCCCTTCCTCTTGAGTAAGTGTAAAAAACGAGTAGCTTGCTGAAATCTCCTTGGCTTGGGAATTGTAGCATTCCTCGGCGTGGCTCACGACGACCTTGTAAGTTAAGCTTAGACAGGTTGACCTTTTTGACAAGTTGCCCTTTCTACAAATTGACCTGCAACGAGTTGACCTATTTGACGAGTTGGTCTCTGATGAGCTGGCTTTTGACATGTTCACCGGATCGCTTGGAGTGCATCTTTACTTAGTTCAGCAACCTATTCTGTCCCTGTATTGAAAATGGTCCCAAAGTGGCAACAAATGACATCACAAAAGCCGGCATGTCATGTTGTCAGATGTCGCAATCCTGGTAATTGGGCGTAGAAGTTCTGAAAAAAAGAAAGCATGAGCAAATGCTAGCGTCACTTTTGTCGCGGCATCCTCGTCCCTCGCTGGCGAAGCTTCTGTGGAATGTCACAATGAAAAGTGACCTGCAGCAAAATAGGTGTCTGCCACATACATCACCGATGATGTGACACCGTTAGGACCGCGGCCGGCGACAGCATGACACATCTATGATGTCATTAAGCGGAAAACTAGAAACCACTTATAAGGACGTAGTAAACGCACCGGACCACGACTCGTTTCATGCTTAATAACGCAAACGCAGCGTCTGAAACCTGCTGCTGCTGTGCCATCTTTCAAATTCCATCTGCTACCAACACGGCAACTCTAGCTTTGCCTTAGCTAGGCTTCCAAACAGACAGCGCTATGCTCAGTCACCCCTTACCTCGCTCTGTTTGGACAAAATTGATTAATATCTCGGGCCCCAGCGTCCACCGAGCCTCGTGGGAAATGTCAAGGGGTCGCCAGGTGACCGCTTCCCAATCTCAGCGTCAACCTCCGCAACGGTGCATCCGACATTAGCGAGCCTTGCAACATCCATTTTAGCAGACGGCACCCTGAAGATGGTGTTTGCCGTCAACTGGCTTCAGATGCTGCATTTGAGCGTTTTTCGATAGACTTTTTTTGCCACGGTGACTATAGGACAGACTTTATCATGCAGAAGGAGATGGCAGGGTGTCAAAGTCAGGTGTACACTTGGGCTTTTTTGCTGTGCTTTTCAATAAGCGTAACATAAACAAAGTTTCCCCTCTGCCCTACTAGCGTGGCAAAGGGAGTGGTAATGCAGAATGTGATGTGGACGTGGTGTGAAGAGCTAGCAGAAGACTACTGCCGAGGAGTAGTGTGTGCGCAGCCACACGTGGCACTTGAGGAATCCGATGCTACCACGAGACTGCAGCTTTCCTTGTTGAGTGTCCGCTCAAGTGAGGATTTGGGAGCACACTTGAAGACTCCGTGCACACGACTGTCCACGCAGCCCTGTGTCGTGCACGGTAAGAGAGTGAGTGCTCCATTGGGGTTTTTTTGGATGTCATCTTCTGCAGTGGCAATGTGAATGCAACCTTCTCGGAATCTGCTTCAGTGCGAGACACAGTAGACAGAGCGTGCGAAAAACAAAACAATTGGAACTCGGCAGCACCCTAGTGAGCCTAGATTAGAGTTTGCAATTAGTTGATCGGGGTCACGTGAATTGCGGGTCACATTTGCAGTACGACATGCTAGGAGGTGGCAAGGGAGTCTATTATCTGCAAGCGCCTCCACCTTTCCCCCTGCTTTCCTACTCTCCACACAATTACACAGCACATATGCGGTGCAACCAGTCTTTGCAGGAGGAATCTGCCATTAAATTGTGCTCCCCATTGGTTTGAGATGGTCCCTCTCTTCAATCTGGACTAGAGAGCCTGGATTGTAGAGAGGATCCTTCTGAAATCATGGACAGCATTTGAAATGTAATGAAGGATGCCTCCAGCAAAGGTGGGTCACAAGTGTGCACGTGCTGCGTTTTGCGTAACAAGGAGGAAAGCAGGCGGAGAGGCTCGCGAACAACCAATGCGTTTTTCGCCTCCTTAGCTTGTATTGCAAACGCGGCCCATGAACCACGCAATTCCGATCAAGCAGTTGGAATCCCTGTATTGTAGGCTCTCCACAGTGCCAGCTCACGGCAAGAAAGAATGAAACAAACTATTTCAGCCCGTTATGGCAAAGGGAGCACGTCTAAAGTGGTGGGGGCTTTTCTTTCTCTGCTTTTCTGTCGCTCTCTCTTGCGCACTCTTTTTCTGGAGAATTCTGGAGCGCACGATCGTTTCTTGGGGCAATTGTTTTACCCCTGCACTCACGGAAGAGGTTCAGTATCCAATCAGTGAGGAGACTGCCACCGAACGGCGTTCAACTGGCAGTCTGTTTGTCAACTTTCGTTGCTAGCACCTAACTGGGTAGGGTTAAGTGTCAGTCATATTACACATTCTGCATTAAAAGAGTTAGACATAGGGCTTAACTTGGATGCCTAATTTTCTCCAGTGCCGAATATTTTGACGAGTCTTACACGAAAAGTATGTTTTTAGCTCACTATTTGAACAAAGTTTTGTGTACAGCAGCATGGGACCTAACTACCAATGTCCTTTTTGTCAATCATTATCACAAGTGTGAACAGAGGTATGGTTCAGAATGGCCAACGTTTGAACGTTGGAAACAAAAAGGAATTGCCTCCCCCCCTCCCCTGCACTTTTTCTACACTAAACTGAGTCATCTTGCTTGTCGTCTTTCTTTCTTGTCATATTCTAATTAATACATGTCCTAATGACAGGCACACACAAACCGCCAAAAAACCTTGAGTATTGAACTCAGGTTTAAAGACAGTTTTCTTCTGCCAGTTCTGAAATTGTAAAAGCCAGAGTGAATTCGGAAATTGTTACCCAGATTGGAAGTAGACGACTGTGGTGGCAAAGAAAAATATCAGTTCAAAAGGGTGATTAAGGAGACAATTAGGATCACGAGCGCTGCAAATTGTATAAGCATCCCCTCTTTACCATTGAATGATGACACGAAAGCATTTTTGTCTGTTTAGTCTCGAGTAGGTTGTGACTCGGGTAATTTTTTTAATGTTTTTCTCCCATGAGCAATTGACATTCGAAAACTGTCTTTAGACCTCTGTTCAATATTCATGGTCCACAAATACCTCATTCCTGCAAAACGTCCCTAATGTGGCTCACTAGAGAAAGTCTAGTGAAACGTTAAGTTTGTTGGCGGGGAAGGGGGGGGGGGGGGGGTTAGAAAACCAAGAGCGGCAACCAACAGGTACAGGCTGCACTGCCCAAAGGTTGATTAGAAGAGCTCGCAAGGTCTGGCACATGCAAGTTGGTTCTATGCCGTTTCATTTTAGTATGACTATTACAAAGGTGCTTCACATGCACTAGGCTTCGGCAGTACTCTCCATTTCCCAACGGATGGTGCCACCATTACTTTGCTTGTGACACTTCACGGTCAAATAAAAGTTCCACAAACTGCCAGTTTAAAAGTTTCGTCGGACTCACTAGTGTGACCATCATATTTTCTTTACCTTGCTTTTGTTGCAGCCGACGTCACAGAAGACAAAGCCGTGAAGAAAGAAACCGACAAGGTTCCCGATTCCGAAGCCAACGAGATAAACATGGAAGACGTTGCCACTCCCAAGAGCAATGGTTCATACTTCCCGTCACCAATTTTGCCATGCGATTCATAGGCCCAGCGCGTTTAAACTGAACCCATGTTTTGTGTTTCTTTCAAGGATCTTCAGATCAGGCGGCCGCATCCGAGGGCAGACGCAGGGGTTCGAGGCAGAATGGGGAATCTGGGGAAGCACAGAGAAGTGAGCAGTTCTTTTTTGGCATTACAGCTCCTCAAGACCACTTATACGTGGGGACATGCCAACGACATCTGTCGGTTAGACCAAGAACACTACCGATCTGGATACATTCTATGCTTCATTCTTTCCCCGTGGGCTCGATATAATTCTGATAATATTATATGCGACAGTTTCTCTTGTATAGTCCATAGATTCAAACTCACAAACATGTCGAAACTTTCAATATAGTTGTAGGTAGATAGGAAGTGTTCCAGTGCTACCCGATAGGTGGCGCCATTGTGTTTTCTCATCGTAAATGGTTGCACCGCAGTTCATTGCATTCATATGCAACTGTTTGAACAAGCCTCTACTGGCAGATAACCACTATTAATGCTTGCCACTACTGTAACGGTGAATTCCCCCAGCCCCTCGGACGCCCAAAAAGAGGAAACCCAGAAGGGACCAGAACGGGCACAGCCAGAGCGAGCCAGAGTCTACGGACAGGGAGGGCGGCTCAAGGCCCCCCGGCGGACAGCGCAGGCAACGGGACCGGTCCGACGGACGGCCCAGGGTGGACATGGACGGTGGGACCCACCTCTCTTCTCTTTCTCTCTTAGTTCGCAGTCTTGTGCGGCTCTAATAGGCCTTCCGCTAAATCACTCTGGCACTGAGGAACATGCTACAAGCGCTGTTAAAGATGCTGTGCGTACAACAGATCTCCGTTTGGCGTTTTCGAATCCTGGCTGAGGTACCCGCAATCTGACGGAGGCTTAGTGTGGACAAGGCACCACAAAACCCTGGTGTTGGCGGCAGATCAGAAGGTCCCCTGGTGGTCAAAAATAATCCTTAGTCCACCTCTGAGGCATGCCAAATGCTCTTCGTTTGTCTGGCGTGTAAAACAACTGAATTTGACATGCGCCACACATGCTGGCGTCTGCGACGGTGACTGTTTTGATGCAAAAATTTCAAACGAGCGGCGCTTCGCTCAAGCATTTCTCATGCCCTATTTGGGTAATTTACCTGGAACCTTTTGTACACATTATAAACTGGGAGTCGGTAGTAACTGAAACGGAACCAAATAAATCATATGGTATATTTTTGGACCTCCTACAAAAGTGTTATGAGGAGTCATTTCCATGGCAAGAGTTTAAAAAATATAAAAAGTAAAAAAAACCTTGGATCTCAAGTCAGTTATATAAGCGTATAAAAGAGCGCAATAAATTATGATAAGTTCGTCAAGACAAGAGATATCTCAATATTACAGGAATTTAGGAAGGTGAGGAACAAGCTCAACGCTGATATCAAGAAAGCTAAAGCTCAATACTACAAAAATAAGTTTAATGCAATATATAACAATCTGCGGAAAGTCTGGCAAGCCGTAAATGGATTTGCTTCTAGGCCTTGTGCACATGCTCCAAAAGAACTTACAATCGAGCGGGTTACTTACTCGGGTCAGTCTCTTGTAGATAAATTTAATTCCCACTTTCTAGAATCCGGTTGTTCTACTATGCCCTCAGCGAGAACACCTACATGTGAGTCTTATGTTGGATACCCTTTACATAACTCGGTATTTCTGGCACCTACCACTGAACTAGAAATAACTACTACCATTAAATCCTTAGGGAATAGCGGTGCCTGTGGAGAAGATGTGCTATGTTCTAAGCCAATCAAAGCAGTTTCCTCTTTCATATCTACTCCGCTTTCGCATATCTGCAACCTTATTTGAAGTACCGGTATCTTTCCAGAAAAAACGAAAATAGCGAAAGTCTGATTCATAAAGGTGGTCCCCAGAATAATATGAATAATTATAGACCAATATCAGTACTTCCGGTCTTTTCTAAAGTAGTGGAACGCGTTATTTACAAACGTTTAAGTGACTTCTGTAATAAACATAATATTATCACAAACAACCAGTATGGTTTCCAAAAAGGTAAATCAACTGAAATGGCACTGCTAAATATCAAAAACAAAATCATAGACAATATTGAAAATCAATGCTATACTCTGGGTGTTTTTTTAGATTTCAGAAAGGCCTTTGATTCTATAAAACATGACATCCTACTCCGAAAGTTACCGCTGTATGGAATAAGAGGCAGTGTGCTAAACTTGATAAGCAGTTACATGACCTCACGTTTTCAATATACCGTCCTCAATGATATGCGCTCTCCTTTAGCGAAAATTTGATACGGTGTGCTGCAGGGGTCGATTCTCGGGCCATTACTTCTCCTTCTTTACATCAATGATATAGTAAACATCCCACAAACACCTAACATAATTTTATTTGCAGATGATACGAATGTATTCTTTACTGGTAGCTGTTTGGATAGCATAGAAAGAGAAACAAATAATTGGCTGGAGCAACTTGATTTATGGTTAGGCTCAAACCAGTTAGAGCTGAATACGGCAAAGACTAAGTACATTATTTTTAGAGCAAAAAATAAGCCCATAACTAGCGAAATTAGCATATCTTTTCAAAACTCGAATATTGAACGCGTGGAATCCTTTAAATTTCTTGGTGTTCGTTTTCACGAAAATCTATACTGGACTTGTCAAGTGAACGAACTCCGAAGGGATATTTCTGGATCAATTGGTTTAATTTGTAAGCTAAAATACCTTCTTCCAGCCTGGTTAAAAAACAACTGTATATATCTCTGATTCACTCGAGGCTGCATTACTGTTTATTGGTCTGGGGGACGACTACAGCAAGTAATATTAAGCAATTATTTACATTGCAAAAACGCGCAGTTAGGTCAATTGATAATTTACCTTGGACTGAATCGACTTCCCCTAGCTTTATTAAACATGGAATATTAACGTTAGACAATCTTTTTTGCCTAAAGGTCGCAATTTCAGTTCATACTCAGATAAACACGAATCCCGCAATATTTTATGAAACATATTTATTTAAGCAAACAAATTACAATTTGAGACACCAGCAGTTTTCAAAACTAAAATAAGAACTAATTACGGTACACAAAAAATGTCCTACCAGATAACCGATCTTTTTAACAGAAATGATTGTGTATTCGAATTAGCCCAGACAATTGCGTCCATGTTTCTTTTCAAAAAATACCTTACGGTATACTTCAATGTGCCTAGCGTGTATTCCTAGTATAGTTCACATCAAAATAGATTGTACATTTTTTGTGTCTCATATTTTTATCTTCTCAGATATTGTTTTATTTTTGATTTATGCGGTTTTTGATTCATTTCCTGTGCCCTGCTTCTGACTGCTGTAATGGGGGTTGGTACCTAGTCGGGTGATTCGTATTCGCCTTTTGTCCCAACCTCCCTGACAATTGTGTCAAAAATAAAAATAAACAAACAAACATAAGGCAAGTGCTGACAGCATGTGTACTGCCTACGTTCTCAGCATTATCTGGGGTGCTTTGGTAATTTATATAGGACTGTTATCTGATCAAAAGCAAAAGTTGTTGTCCCAGTGATACAACTCTTTGTTATTTGCACGATTCGTAACGCATTCCCAATTCTAACGTGCGGGTGTGCTTAAATCTTGAATATTGGAAATGGAATTTAATGACAGTTATATTATACAGGTAAAAACCACGAGGTGGTATGGTGACCAGTGGTCTGCAAATCCTCTCAATTCAAGCTCATACTTGATTGACATGACCACAGTTTAATCTGTATAGACTTTTGTAGCAGAAGTGTTGAAAACTGCTGTAGTTCCTGATTTTTGTGTACTCTGTTTTTTTACTTTGGCAGCCAAGCAACTCATGGGACCTACAGATATAAACATATAGCTTTGTCTCCTCTATTCTTTATTGCATAGGAGTCATGTCAACCAAAGACTGTTTTTGTTGGAATATAAGGAAAGTTCTTGTTACAACTCGACTTTGCACTTTCATTATTTTTCAGAGAGCATCCCGGAGTCCCACCGTTATGTTTGGGGTAAGCAGAACTTGCTGTTTGACTTAGGAGGCCTCTCCTGAATTGGTTTATAATTGGGTCAGCCATTTCAAAGATGCGACGAGTCACTCGCTTTAGATGAGCAATTTAGCCAGGGCAGTACAACCGCTAGCCTGGGGCTTTAACGTGCACCACGCAGTAGTGATACACGACCGCACGCCGGTACGGTGCTCATCCAGATCGAAATGGGCAGGGGTGGGGATTGAACCCAGGATTTCTGGGTTCTGCAGCACGAGCTTTTGCTCCACATGCTCAGAGTTGGTGTGCGCCGACCCACTTGGCTACCGATCGCCCCTGTGATACATAACCCACCGATCCTGAATTGGTTATGTGTCATAAATAGGGAGGGTTCTTTGTTTTCGGATAAATCCGATGAAGTCCGAAAAATACTTGTCAGTAAAATTTTTAATGGTTCGGATCGATCAGAAAAACCTAGAATTTCGAGGTCACGATGGCAAAGTAAAAAGCCAAAAAGGACAATATTTTACAAATAAAATTTGTCGAAGAACAAAGCTAGTGGTCTCCCCTCAAAAAAAAAAAAAAAAAAAACAATTCAGTTTTTCTACTATTTACAAAAGGTAGTTTCACATTTATCTTGTCAAGGTTCATTAGTATAAAATTGGCCAATGCACTTCTGGGCATGACAAAAAGCTACTGTTCAGGTTTCCAGTTTGGACCTTACTATTTGGGCTTCTTAGAGGGAGGGGGGGAGTGGTTTTTGTAACACTGAAAGATGTGAACCTGTAGTTTCATAGGATGTTGAGGACAGCTGAATGTTTTATGGGTTGGAGATTTTGAAGTACCGACGCCTGTTTCCTAGATTTGTTTCGGGACAGTTTACTGCCAATCGCAAGGGTGCCAGTGCCAAATGCAACTGCAGAAATATCTTGTTATTGGTGACTTTTTTTATGAATTTAGTGTGTTTTTGTCTGGACAGTAGTATTAATTTCTATGTTGAAAAAAAAACAAGAGCAAAGTAAAATTAATTGAACCTCGAATTTCAAAGAATGCGTTGAAAAACTGAGGGTGAGGATGAGACGAGAGTGCGCAGGGACGTCGGAACACCGAAATCTGGTTCGAATGATTAGTGGGTAGACCTAAAGGTAGCCGCTTTCATCTCTATTGCACTCGTCGAACTCGTTCGAATGCGAGAGCCAAATGGCGGGCGCCGGCGGTCCGCATTCAACGAGTGCTGTGGAGACAAATGCAACTATCTTCAGATCTAGGTACCTTTCAGTCATTGCAATCGGAGCTCGGCACTCCGACGTCCCCGTATGCTCTCGTCTCCTCCTCCTTTCTCTTTCTCGTCGCATTGGGAATCGAACAAAAATTAACTCAAAAATACCCTTTGAATTTCACAAAAAATAATCTCTGAAAACACAAAATCCTAATCATAAGCAGCCAAGGGTGTTTAATGACTGGGCAAACATAGCTGCCTTGTATTATAGGCTCTTGCCAGTAGCTTCAATTTCTTCAGCGACTTGGGATATTATTTCTAGGTCTAAATGGCGATTAAATAAACTGGGCAATGAATGGCATTATACACGGTATGGTAGCATAGCTTCATTTGGAGAGCAATAGAAAAAAATGGATGCATCTGCATGTGGTGAATGATGTTGATTGGGGCGAAGCTCTGGTGGTGCTGATGATACTGATTTTATTGTTCATAGGTAGTGCTGATGGTGCTGATTTTTTTTTATTGCTCATAGGTAGTGCTGAGTTCCTGGTTGCGTTTCGACTTCATTTTTACTGCTTTATGGTCGGTGAAATGCAGAGCCAGTGGTTCTTCTAGCGGATCAGCTCGGATCCGCTAGAAGCCATGGTAACATATCTCCACCGCTTAAGGGGGGGACATGGCCTCGGAATTAAAGTTTCAGAAAAAAATTTTTTTTTTTTTCAAAATTTATATGTTTATGTTTATTAACTTCCAAAGAATGGTTTCAGAAATTTTCATTTATAAACATGCAGGATTTACTTCAGAATAAATTATTTCAGACATGCCGGCAGCCCTCAGAGTCAGCAGGGAGCAAGTTTTTTGTGTTTTTTATTTAGCGCTACTTCATACTTGTTTAACCTAGCCAGAACATCTCACCCTCATTGGAAGTGCCATTTACTCTAGATTTAGCCCGTAGAAGGTTTCGAAGTTTAAAAGTATCAATGGCCAGAAGGACCCAATACATCCAAACAGAAAAAAATCTGAAAATTCGGTATGAGCGATCTTATTGGTTGAGACCTGAAACAGGGTTTACGATTGGTCCTTCCCGGTAACATGATATTGTGTCATCTTCACTAATGCCCCTTCACAGTACCTTCCACTTCAGATCATATTCCTGCTTTGCTGCTCTTTCTCACTGTGATTTGCCTCTTAGTTTTTGCCAGTTTATCTGTCAGGGAATGCCTGCTGCAAAAGTCAGCGTGCCTGCAAACAATACAAACTGGTAGCTATTGCCAGGGGAACAGGGAAGTCTCAAAGAGGAAGGTGCTAACAATGCGCCAGGTGAAGTTTGCCTACCTCGGACTCACAGAAAAGAAAGAAACCTAAAGTTGAAACTTCAAATGCACTTTTTCTCACTTTCACTTTTTGGCAGGAAATGTGGTAGGAGGAAATGTATCATTAAACATTTTATAAAGTGTAAAGATTTAATTCAGTGGTGTCCTTGACTGAAATTTCCTGAGGAACAAGTTAAGGTACTCATAATCTGAAAAAAGTAAATTCTTGCTGATAAAAACTGAATATTTTAAAACTCAGAAATTTGTTAAAATCGTTTGCTTTTTTTGGGTGTTCATGTTTTTCTCTAGAATTGCATTTTCTACAATTAATTTTTACCTTAACTTGCACTATGGGTATTCTACTTCACATTAAACCAAACATTTTGTAGATTTAAATACATTTCCTAATAAAGTAACTTTTTTCTGGAGCTTGTTAAGCATAGTACCGTAATATCCCGAGTCATCGCCCATCCTCGAGCCATCGCCCACCCCATTTTTTGGGCCAATATCGATTTCCGAAAAAACACCGAGTCATCGCCCACCCCTTCAAATACCCCAGCGCGGACTCTGCGATCCGCGAACACTCATCCTACCCGAATGACGCGGCCACGGACCTTACAGTTGGAGGACGTCCGTGACAAAGTAAAACGAAGGAGGGAAAGACACTTCTTTTTGTTTACGCATTTCCTCCGTGAGCGACCCCAAAGTGGTCGTGTATCTGTGCGAAAAGAAAGCGATGGAGATAACAAAATAAGAGTTTGTTAATGTAACCGCAGAGTGTTAAGTCAAAGTCTGTCTCCGCCGAAGGTCACCGCGAACCCGCTCCTTCTTCCCGCCCGTCGCGACCGCGGTTGTGCAATATTTTAGGCAAAGCCAACGCGTAAATAAAGCTTTGCTGGAACGCCCTACACAGACGTTTGCAGAGCGTCCCAACCGTGCATTGATAGCCCACCGTGCACGGACGCACGTATGTACGCACCAAACAAGAAAGTTGCGCAAGAGCTTGCAATTGACAAGGCGCCCAACTTGGCCCGACGCCAAAGTATTTGCCATCGCGACCGCCGGCTTTCCCAGCATTGCTCTTGGTCGCTTCTTTGGTCCGCTCGCTGGCTCGTTGCGCCTGGTCGGTTTTTCTATTTTCTTGTAGACTTTTCTTTCTTTTTTTTTTTTTTTACTAACTAGGAGAACATAGTGGTGACATTCTTTCACGGAACAAACGTTCGCGCTATATGCAGATCGGCAGTGTTTCTAGCGCCTATGCAAGCAACGGACTTCGCTATAGTAAAATATTCTTTCGTGCGCATTTTTTTCTATAAAATAATGAAACTAAATCGAGTTTTGAGTTTGATGTATCTCTTGTGCATCAGCGCTAGATACGAAGAGAAAAATGGGCGGTTTTTTCCGCTTTTTTTTCAAGTGTTTGTGCTCACCCATCGAGACATGGCCCACCCCACTTTTTTAATGAATTTCAGGCGGTAGGGGGGTGGGCGATGACTCGGGATATTACGGTATGTTGTAGAATTGGCCTATAAGACTGAAACTTTAGATATCATCAATCCTATTGGGGTTCAATTCACCCTGAAAGTTTAAATCAATCTGAGACAATGGTTCAAAAGTTGACCCTCCCAGGCCATGTCCCCCCTTAAGTTAACGGTCCATGTCAGAAAGAGAATGTGCGGTATGGATAGTCGTTTTATAAACAGTTGAGCACTTGACCGCAGTGCCCTCTCGTCTATAAACGTTGAGCCAATGCATGCAAAGTTTAACGCGATTATATATGCATTTGACCGCAGCGCCCTCTCCTGTATATACGTTGAGCGGCTACATGCAACATTGCATCCATGACATCCCCAGCTCTCGAGTTGCTACCACATCTCAGAGCCCCCTACTCGTCCCGCAGTCGTGGCCGAGTCGTTAAGGCGATGGACTAGAAATCCATTGGGGTCTCCCCGCACAGGTTCGAATCCTGTTGACTGCGCAAACATTTTTTTCTTTTTTTAAGAAGACAGATGGGATGACAATCGATGTGAGCACGGACGCCGGACGGGCAAGGCTAGACCCTAAGAAGCTTCGCCCCTAAAACCAAAACAAGGATGTCATGCTCTACTTTCCATTGTGGTGAATGGTGCAAGCAAACCATCGTCATACAGCATAAATGAACTTTGTAGTGAATTTGATGTGTTGGGGTCTGTATCCGTTTGTAAAGTATAACTTTCTCCGACTCACCAGCTGACGATGTGTACAAGCGTTCCCTCTACGTGGGAAACATGTCTGCGCACGTGACAAAGGACGAGGTGCGAGCACTGTCCGAAGCCATCAGGAGCGTCAGATTTGTCAACAGGTCTGTCGGTCACGAACACTACCTTTTGTATGCTTCGCATAGCGGTACAACCATTCCTGCTGCTGTGGGGCTTAAGGCTGAACTCCATGGGACGAATATGCTGCGAATAACCGACAAATTTTCCCGGCGGCTTTTGCTCTGCGCGTGGAATCAACACAGTGGCTGCTACGTTACGCGCAAAGCGAGCGTGCCGTTGGGCAGCGTTCGCCAGTTATTCATCACATAATTCGTTCCATGGAGTTCAGCCTTTAGTGATCATATTTGCGTGCGATGTTCGCTAACTTGGTTGTGGTATTGGCAAGGTGGGTGACAGCATCTAATCTTTCCTTGTCAGTTGTGCCGGGTTTCGGGGTAAGTATAGATTGCAATTTTGACTTTGGTCACCTCATGTCGGCTGTTTATACTTGCTTCTTCTTTTAGTTGTTCTTTGTTGTATAGTCTCACTTTAATGCCACTGCATGTGTAGCAACTGTATAATCAGTAGATAGCTGAGTGGTTTTCTTTTTAGGTATTTTATAGAAAACTGCAGCATGTCATTTTAAACTTCGTGATATTGCCTATTCCTTTTTGTGATGTTTAGAGCCTGCTGAAAACTAGTTCCCTAGTAACATTGTCAGGGCTGCACCCGTGCTTGTATTGGCGACTACTATTGCACGTTCCAATAATGCTACAGTAGTTGATGGCTGCAGAACTAATGTCACTTGCATTCCAAGCCTCCCGAGCTGTTTGGATTGAAATACAGCCTCTTGCTAAAGATTGTGCTAGAGCAGTATATAGGAGGATTTTATAGTCCAAGCCTAATTTCAAAATCCAGAATAGCACCAGCCTGCAATTCAGATTTTATGAATATCTGACTTGCTGCATATTTTGCAGACTGATGGAAGTCACTGTATATACCGATGTATAAACATACACGAGATGTCTAGAGGTAGCTGATATTATAGATTTTGCAAAGCAATTTATTTTTTGACAAGTCTTGATGCTGAGGTGGTTTTACTTTGAGAAACCTGGAAGCAAACTTAACTGCATTTTAGATACCTCGAAGTTTGTTCCGAGACTGCACGCTTTCTTGCCATTTTGGGGCACGCATTATGTCAGAGTCTAAGCTTTCCAAAGTTGAGCTGCCTGCCACCCCGCAACAAATTCACCTAAAGCATTAATTCTCGATCATCCGATGTGCCTTGAAGCGTGCCTGAAGGGTGGTGACCGTGCCCCTTTCCAGAAGGAGCGCCTTCCTGGACTTTGAGAGCCCCGAGGTGGCGAGCGCCCAGATGGAAGTTCTGCGTGCCATGGAGCTGAAGGGGCAGCCCCTTCAGGTGGAGCCCAGCCGGCCGAGGGGCGCCACCACGGCCAAGTCTGACCGTATGCTCTACGTGCGGGGCATCCCCGACGAGCAGGGCATGGACAAGCTGGGACCCCTCTTCCCGTCCGCCTTGCTCATCGACCGCAGGGAGGGGTCAGTTGGCCGCGCTCTGCCTAGCCGCCGATCTCGGCCTTGTCTTGAGAGGGAAGTTAGGTGCTGTCGGAGCGAGGCATTGAACTAGCGCTGGTGTCAGCGGCGTAGCCAGGAAAACTTCTCAAGGGGTATTTTTCTTTGCTCAAGCCGATAGAAAGACAAAAAAAAAAAGAGCAAGAGAGAGAGATATTGCACAAACACAATTTTAGTTACTTTTTTCCCGTTTCTTAGAAGACAAAAATTCAACCTTTTTTGCCACATCTCGTTCATCCAATCTTTAAAGAGAAAAACTTGTTTAACAACGAAAATGCACAATCATAAAAAATAATAACGGGCTTTGAACAAAAAAAGTCCAGACAGGCTCACAAAATATTCCGGTGCATGCACTTCTCTGTGAAACACTCGGGTATCCAATGGCTGAAAACCGCAGAGGAGTGTCAGAGAACAGCGGAGTTTAAAATAAGATTAAACATAAAAACTGCAATGGGTACTGGGGCGTTGTGCAAGTGAAGCATCACGTTCATTGTCCTGCCCAAATTACATTTTTCAGAAATTATCATCCCATGGTCATGATTTGGGTTCTTTCAGTTCTTCGTTGTCGTTTTATAAGAAAGTGGCAGAGAAAAGTACCAGTTTCTATCACCTTGTGTGGTCTAAACATTTAGCTGAAGGCAGCATCGGTAGTTAAAAAGTGAGAAAACCCTTTTGAGGCTGACCCTGATGTTGCGGTAAATGTTCAGAAGCGCAACCTCTATACTCCGTTCACCCTTAAGCTGAGACTAGAAGCTCCGCCTTCAGCGCGGGCTTTCTGCCCTTGCTGACACAAGTGTGAATGTGAAGTATGTGCAACCAAAGCTTTGCAGAAGCCTGTGAGCTCACGCTGAAGGCGGAGCTTCTAGTCTCAGCTTAGAATGGAGTAGCAAGTGCTCCTGGAACATTAAATCTCTCGGGTATGACTTCAGTCCTCGGAGTCTTAAACGAACATCCCGCTTCAGTAGTGCTAAGGGGCATGGTGTCCATGATTTGCAGCTGGCAGTTTACATTAGGATACAAGGCCTCCAGGCAAAGGCAAATATCCTGCACCGCTGAGACACACTAAACGGTGCAGTCCCTCCACATCTGTGTCCAAACCAGACCTTCCCCGGGCAGTTTGTTTAATGAAACGAATGCTCTGCACAGGCTGGAGATTTCCTCGGAAGTCGAGGCTTGCGAATAGAAAGCGACGTCATTGGCCACAACATTGCTCTCGGCTAGGGCAGATGAGGCTGCGCGACGTGAATGTGCAGACTCTGTTGGAGACATTGATGACACGCTTGAAGTTGTAGATTAATAATAATTCTTGAAAAAAGCATCAAGCAACAGCTTGGCTATTAAAACCAATTTTTGAGTCTATACAGTGCGATCCAGTTATACCGATACCACATATAATGATGTATTGCTTGTAACAATCAGTTTCTAGAGCTTGTGGTCTAGAAACGATCAGATTCTAGTCCAGATACAACGATAATTGTTTAAAACTATTGAAATTTGGGGTTTTCTCATTATTGTTATAAGTGCATTGCACTGTATAAGTAAAGGAAATTTCACGACTCTCGTGCTGAACTCATGATTATAAACATTTACCCACTGCAGGGCTTAAGGAAGTCAACTAAGTATGCTTGGAAACCAAATGACTATGAGCATTTCAAAGTTGGCTTCAACGGTGCTTATGCCACTTTTCTCTCTCTCTATTCTTTATTTTTTGTACATTTTGATTGGTGTGTTATTGAAACTAAAGGAGTACAGGCAAGTAAACCCTTAAAAATAGAAGACTGGGTAAAAAGAAGAAACACTAAGCTGTTTGTTATTTCGTCATTCTGCTTTCTCCCCCTTGTAGGGTTTGCAAAGTCAGAGTATTGCAATTTTGGAATTTTGTTTCACTGCCCTGAAATTGTCGAGTCTTTGAGACTGAGGGTGGGGGACTTTAGTCAAGCCGCCTGCATTCTCCGAGGAGAGGCCAGTGTCCTTTGAGGTCAGGATTTCACGGCTTTTGTGTCGTCTGGAGCCGAGTCATTCGCACCTGCGAGCCTGAAGAAATGCTTTGGTTGTTAACAGGCCAAGTTTGGCGAGAGCTCTTCAGAGAGCCGTAGCCAGACTTGTTTCTCACGAAGTCCATGGACAGCATCTTCATCTTCGTTTTGCTTTGGAATGTTGTTGGCCCGGCCCCTCGCCGTAGTGGGTTGTTGAACAGAAAGATAAACACATGGGATTTTTAATGCCTTAACAAAACAAGGCAAAAAACAAAACAAGAAGACATTGAAAAGGGGAAAGAGGAAGACCATGAAATTTTTTGGGGAATATTTAAACCCTCAAACCCCCCCCCCCCCCCCCCCCCCCCCCCCCCCCGGCTGCGCCACTGGCTGGGGCTTCAAACTCAATCGATAGCCGAGAAACTCCTCCCGTTCTCGGCATTGAGCGGTGAAGCAGGGCAAGAGCCTACGGACCTTGTAAACAATAATGTGCATGCTACACAGTGTTTGGCTCGTAGTTAAGCATCATTGGGCGTTTCAGATCTGCTATAATAGTACTTAAACAAGACACATTACATAGAGGCAGCAATGGTCAAGCAAATCTGGGATATCAGGAAATGCGCGAGGGTACTCAGGGAACCTCCATGTTCCTAGAAATTCGGTTTGAGAACCAGTAACCGCAGTATTGTCGGCAGATTTGATCGATCGCGGCACATAGTTCTGACTCTGTCGGTTGCGCTGGCACCTCTTGGGCAGCCGTCTCTAGACTTTTGACGATTCTTTGTCGAGGCATTGGTTTACTTTTCGAGCTGCTTCCAGTGGCCCGTACTGTAGGTAATACGAATCTTGACTGTCAGCATTGTCCTACGACGTCTGTGTTTTCAGACTACGCCGTAAAAGAAAGAAGCAAGAGATGCATCAGTTTGGAGAGGTTTTGTTTGCACCAAAGATTGCGTAGGGGAAGCGCCTTCACACTTAAAATATTAAAGGGATAAGCGCAGGTTGCAGGTTTTATGTGGATACGGATGCGTGTGAAGTCGCATCTGTATCGTCAATCAATAAATCCACCTGCGACTTGGTGAATTTTAAGGATGGGCATTGCTTCAGTTATGTTGATTGCTTGCGTTTCTCTTGCCTCCTGTTGCCTGCAGCAAAGTTTTGCTGAGATTCAAGGATCACGAGTCTGCCATTGCTGCCATAAACGAAGCCATTGCTCAAGGTGCAGATGACTGCAAGTTCAGCTTTGCTGCTGGTAAGTGCCTCTAATCCTGTCTGATTTTCATTGCTTTGTTGTACGCTTCTATAGACAGACTCACAAGCTTGACGTCACGGAGCTGCGGCGGCGCTGCGATCGCGCCGGAGCCGGGGGGTGTGGGCAAAAGCGCGCACGTTTCGCATGGCCGTCATAGCATTTCAGCATGCCGCGAAGCTGTGTTGCCGTTAATTGCTCCAAAATGTACAAGAAAAGCAGCAAAGTGAGTTTCCAGAAGTTCCCGGCAGACTCTGAAAGGCATAGAAGGTAGATAATATCCGTGGATCGAAAAGTATGGTCGCCTCGCGCGAACGACCGTTTGTGCGGCAAACACTTTCTTGAAGGCAAGTGCAACTTCCAGTTCAATCTCCGTCCCGAGGCTTGCTTATGTGCAGGGAAACCGTTGTCTGATCGAGACCACACGGATTTTGTTCCCATGGTGTTCGCGCACAAAGCACCGGCCAAGCGCTCGTCAGAGGCTCGTTACGCCCGTGCTACCCAGCAGGAGGGGAACGGCGACAGAACAGCAGTGTTGTCGGCGTTACCGAAAAAAAGTAACGAAATACGTTACTCGTCATTTGCAAATAAAAGGTCTGCGTTACTGAGCTACGTTACCTAAAAATAAAAGGAACGCGTTACCGCTACCAATAAAAAGTAACGCACGTTACTTCTGATCCTGCGTTACTTTTTTAAATTATGATTTAACACATTTTACGGTCTTGACGATAGAAGTAATATATCAAGAAACATTATGTTCATGCAGGAACTGAACATAATTACTTTATCTCTTTTTACGGTTTCACCTAAATACTTACGAGAAAAAACGCACAGAAAATCATGGCTTGACGCTTAAAACACGTAAAAAATTGAAGTGTAATTTCTTTAAGACTTGGGAAGTAGTAACAAGTAACGTAACTCCGTCTCTTGAAATAGTAACACAAGTACGTTACCCGTTACTGTGTCGAAAACGCAACGAGTGGGCTACTACGTTACTGAAAAAAGTAACTCGTTACCAACAACGCCGTAACTTGTAACCTGTTACCGCCAAGACTGCAAAACGGACAAAGCGTTACTGCTTGTCATGCTTTGTGGTCATGAGGGCAGGGAAAATATCATACCTTGACTTGAAGACGCTGTGTGTATTTAATCAATTAAAGAATACACACGTTTCCGCGGACCCACAGGCTGCTGATCCCGCCGGCAGTGCGGAAACCAACTCAAAGTAATCGTAGACCTCGAGAGACGTGTACGCCTGCACTGTGTCGGCCGTGAGCTGGCTTGGCGAAAAAACTAAATAACCGACGACGTGAGCCATCAACGTCGGTGGCAGAAACTTTTTTGTCGGAAGTCCAGCAGGTTTTGTTTATACGGCGTACGGATCCTCGTTGTCAACGCCGTCCACGCACAGTTTGTTTCGATACCGTTGCCGTTCAGGCTCGGGCAACGAGCTCAAATAATCGGGCATAGCATACGACATACGTTGTGAGGAAATACGACGCACAAATAAAGATACAAGCGTCCCTACAACGTCAACAACGAGCGCACGCCATAGAGCGCAATGGCAAAAACACTGAGAGCCGGGCTGCTTTTGCCCACATAGCTACCACGCATGCGCGGCCTTCCGGCCGTGTTGGTAAACAGAGCTGCTCCGCGTGTCGGTCTATACCTAGAGTTTACTACCTTCAACATATGTGTGTTTTGCTGCGAAATAAATTAGCCCCTCGGGGATAGATAGCTCGAAAATCTGATAGCTTACTGTGTCAAGACTGGTATCATGCTTCGTGTGCATATCTTTTTCTTTTTTTTCTTTTTTTAGATGTCTAAAGTAGGAACGTTGGATGTGGTGTCTTGAAAGGGTTTGTAAGCTACTTGTGTAAAGTCAAACTGATTTTCAGATGCGGAAGTTTTGGACGTACCTAGTTATTTGGACAACCTTGTGGGGCAGTCACTTGCCCCACAAAGCTAACTTATAAGGGTGACTGAAATTTCGGATGCTGTTCAACTTGTTGCTCGATTTTTCCGACTTTGCCCGCGTTGCTTGCTCCCACTGTTCTGTGTTTGTGGACTGTGTCGCTGCCATTTGGTTTTGGCTTGTAGCCTCGATACCACAACCACATGCAATAGAGAAGCTGGATTGCAGCTGTCACCGGTTTCCAGGTCCAGTTTTGTTGCTGTTTGGTAGCTGTCTTGGCCACCGTCTGCTCACTTGCTCGCCAAGACTAGACTGCATTACAGTGTAGACCAGATATAACGTATGTCGCGGGAGTTGCGAAAATCCACACTACAAGCGGTACCGCGCTATAACCAAAACATCAATTTTTCAGGCCAAAATACATGCCATGAGACAACTTACCTTTGTAAAAGAATTTATTTTATGTTAGATGAAAAATAAAGCTTAGTTTAAGGAAAGTCTTTATTTCACCAGACTAGTACAGTTCTGTCTCAAGTGTCACACATTTTGAAAGAAATGAGCGGCTTTTGCCTGGCGCAGCCTTTTAACGGCGTCGCGGGTTGCGGACGGACGTTGCAAGCGTTCAGGATTACTAACCCTAATCACTTTTCCCCGGAAATGAAAACGCGTGAAAATTCGCATCCTTCATACGGTACGCGCCAGTAATACCTTGAACTTGAGCACATGCATGAAATGCGCCAAATAAGAAATCCGGGCGATGTTCGAGGACACAAATGCTTAGAAATCACCACTGTAGTCGAAGTAAACAAACAGTAAACAAACACGATGACCCGGGCGTTTCTGCCGTCTTGAGAGCGCCGCCACGACATCCCCGCACGAGTAGGTGGATCTTCCCTTCTAGTACGTGCTGGGTGATCATAGCGACACACAACGAAAATTCACAGTCGAGGATGGCGTTTTTACGCGGAACGATGAGATGAACGGCCGTCTACTACGACGATCACAACCGACGCCATGTTTGCGGATGGAAGCAGCCGGCCCACGACCAGCATGCAACGCGCGCGAACACTTCTCCTCGACCTGCGATTGGTCTGTCGTTGCGGTTGTTTGTTGCCGATTCACACGACGGACTGTTCTAACGCAGCGAAGGGACGCACGCATGTGAACGACACGTGCGTGCGTCCCTCTGTTGCTATGGCAACTGAAGCCTCTCTCTTCGCTTGTCCCCGCTTCTTCGAGCAACCTCCTTGCCCCGCGAGTGCCGCTTGCAGCTCGCGCCGTCAGCGCTGTTATCTAGTGTCGCACAGGGAAGCGTGCTCGCTGCTCTGGTCGTCGGCGCGGTCGGCGGGCTGTGCCAGAAACTGCACTATAACCGGTATTTCCCTTCGCGCGCCTGCATTTTAAGCGGTATGCAGGGGTGGAAGCGCTGCGCCAATTGCGCCACCCTGCGCCAATTCACTTCCCTGCGCCAGCCTGCTCCTAAACGCAAATTTCAACTTTTTTTTTTTTTAGTGTTTTCTTTAAATTTAGCGGAAAACGGTTGGCCACGGGCCACCATGTGGTCTGTACTTTTGCTTAGGTGTCACTGCGGGTGACTCGTACCAACTCGACTGGGGCTCCGAACCATGTGTAACCTCAGGGCGAGGCGTCGATTTTAGTTCATCGAGAGTGCGATGTCGTTTTTTACTACAAAGAGCTTGATATACGAACACATCGGTTTGGTTTCGAGCATAGTTGGTTGGCGCCAGATCAGTGGTTGGCGCGGTTGGAGCGCGCATGCAGTTGCCCGTGGTCCCGATTTGCCGTGATCGTCGGAGTTGGTGCCTCGGCACCGGTGGGGTATACCTTGGCCATTAACATGAGCAGAAGTATGTGGTCTTTACTAGCTTTACCTGTTATTTGGTAGCCTACCATATTTGGACGCTTAGCCGTGAAGAATCGCGAGCACAGGCACATCCGTTCTCGAGCTCAATTTGTCTTGTCAAAACGAAACCAAAACCATCATTGTGTAAGCGAATGTGCACGCTGTCGTGTGTTGTCTCCCGCCGTCAGAGACAACACACGCCGCCGTGTGTTGTCTCTGCCTGCTGCCGGAATGGTTCTCAAAGCCTTTCCTTTGCATAAATTGCCAATATTCCATATTTCAATGCAATAGAAATAGAAAGATGTGTATGTATGTTGCGTGAAAATTATTCTGGGATGTGCATGCATATATTTTTGCTACATTTTCACATTTAGAAACAACAAATCACTTTTAGACACCTGTTTGACCTCCGTGACCTGCTCCAAAACCTACTTCCACGGCTACAAAACTTATATTTGCTGCTCCCGAGCTGCTCTAAAGCGAGCCTTTTACTGCTCCAAAACTGCTCCAAAGTGGGACTTTTGCTGCTCCCAGCCCTGATACAAAAGGCTCTAGCCCGCTTCCACCCCTGGGTATGTAATTACATGGCGTTCTATGGAAGGCGAACCGGTGGTTTAAGAAAACCGCGTTATACCCGGTCCTGCACTATAAGCGGTTACGTTGTAAGTGGTCTATACTGTATAGGGACTATTCACTGGCGGCCATAGCTATGTACACGACTGATGAGCGCGTGTTGATAGCGAGCTTGCACAGTCCTTTTGCAACGTGCATTCCGCACCTTTGAGATTGCCGGTCTTGGCAGCCTATTAATGTGAGCTCGCTCTGAGCATGCGTTCTAAACATCACCCTCAGATATGGTGTCTAGTGAATACTTTCTATAGTCATTGCCTGTCTGCCATCGGGCAAGCCCCACCACCATTCCCATGCTCCTTGGGTTTGTGCATGCTTTCTTCCAATGGTCTCATAGTGATGCAATCTCGGTCGGGGAACACAGCCTTCAGGTAGCACCAAGTGGTACCAACGGCGGTTTCGAACAAAGTGTCACGTGCAGCACAATGCCGGTGGAGAGGGAAGCCGCGATTGTCAAAGGTGCACGGGCAAGGCGGTACACGTAAAGTGCCGACTGAGGAACCGGTCGGTTCCCACGTCTACGAAGGGGTTGCGACAAGACAAGTTGTCCGGGAGTGCTGAGATGTCCGTTTGCGTCCCTCTCCTCTTTCCTTAATCATTCTCAATTGGCACAGGTGCTGACACTTGGCCATATGACATAGCCATTGGCCCATTGACCTTTTTTTATACTGAAAAAAAAAAAAAAAAAAAAATGACCTATTTTTTTTTGTTACTCTTCACGACTAAGGTTCGCACTTTGCCTTTCATTGTTCGTTGCCTTTTGACATATTTTTGTTATTTGTCGCTCATTGTACATCGCCCTACATGAGTCCTTTATTTTTTGTTGATGGTAGTGCAATCACAGAAAGGATTAGAACAGCAGTGAGGTCCCTTGATTCCGCCTCCAGCACAAGCTTCATACCGCCGTGGGGTGCCGGTCGTTGAAACTGACGCTGCGTGTCAATTTCACCGACCGCCGACACGTTGGCGCGCACTCGGCTGGTTCTGCTCGTCTCTTCGCCGACGAACATGCCGCCGCCTCCAGCATGCACATCGTCGGCGGTGCCTCTGCTCGTCTGGACACAGACGAAATGGCGCCGCCTCAGGCATCCGCACGACAAAGGGAGCGGATGAGTGGCTTGCATGCTTTTGCATTCACAACTCATAAGAAGTGCTTAGGTGTACCTCAAGCTTTTTTTGTTGTGTTTGGATGAAGAATGGCCGAAATGAGCACCGAAATCCTAAACTGCCCGGATCAGTGTGTCTATACAGAGAATTGTAGTTGGCACTCCAGCATGATTTTGACACTTGATCAAACTATGTGCGACTGTGAATTGTGCGAAAAAAAATCGGCGGGGAGTAAGGCTGATTCTAGCAGCCATTCCGGAGTGGCTCTTACAGCAAGTGCCGCCACCCTTGGGAGTCGGGCGTGCCGTGCGCCGGTATACATTTAAGTTGCAAATAGCTATCAGTAATACTTGCTGGTATAAATAAGAAAAAAAAAAAACTAAGTCTACAGAATGGCACAATGCTACAGGTACAGCCGGCTGAACTCGTAACAAGCCAAGGGGTTCTTGATGAGATTGTTTTGTTTTTGTCAGCGGTGGAATGCTTTGGTTCGATTATAAGTCGACCCCCTCCCCCCTACTTCAGGTTTTCATAAAATGAAAAATAGGTCAACCTACATTCGTGCATATAAGGTATGCAGAAGCATAGACTCCGGGGCGTAGGTAATCAAATAACAATGAAAAAAAAAAGAGCAGGTTGCTATGTTTGTCAAGATTTATTTACTTGAAAGGGGATACACTTCGCTTCTCGACTCGTCCAGCTGCGGCGGTGCATCTAGTTGTCTTGGCAAGTGACATGGTGGCATAGCTTCTTTTGTCGCTAGATGCATTGCCTTCAGAATCTGGCCAATGAAAAATGGAAGACGCACCATATTTTCTCCTAAATGTACCTACTCCGTGCACAGAAAACATAATTTACAATTTTAATCAAGCTAGGACTATCTCGGTTTTCGTTGCGAATTTACCAACGCTTGCATAAATAGTTGTCACGATTGTGTCATGCAACGTGCACGCGCTTTAAAAGGCGCTTCAATCCAATCCAAGTCCTCCCGTTTCATTGCCATTTTTGCTTTGTGTTTCCTTGACTTTTGATGATCTTGAAATCCTTGAAAAGTCCTTGAATTTTACATTAAAAATTGTGTACAAACCTAGAAAACCTTTAGTCAAGTTTTACGCAGGCGGCTACAAGTGGTCACAGCACACCCGGTCAAGCAGAAACTCGAGCGTTTGAATCAAGCTTTAAGTTGAACAGCCAGACGTCGAAGGAATTGACATTCTGAGACTTGTTCCTCTCTCTTCCCACGTGCAGCCCGGCCCCGGTGGAACCGAAGGAACACCCCCCGCCCAATGTACCGCAGGCCCGGGGCCAAGTTCATCAAGCAAGAGACTAGGCAGGACTGAAGAGGGGACCCCCGGTTGAGCTGACTTCTTTCATCCACGACATGCAAGGTGCAATAGCTGGAAATTGACGAGAGCATCAGGGTGATGTTAATCGCTGGTCAAAGTCTATAGATTGTTAAGTAACAATTAAAAATCTGTTGTTTTTTCTTAAGTTATTTTATATGTTTATTTTGTTTTTATAAGGATAAAAATAAAGAGTGCCTTAGCAAAAGCTGCGTGGTTCATTTCAGTGGTTCCAGGTATCTGTTGCGGTCTGCTCTGTCACGCCGAATCGGAGTAGACGCATACTGCTACAGTCTGCTCCATGGTCCTGTTGTGTTGAAGGTCGGACGTGGAGTATCATATTCATTGTGAGGACCTTTGTGAATATGGCCAGCGGTTGTAGTTTTGAACCCTGCCCCAAGGAGAACTACGTATACCACGAGTCCACTTTGTTGCTCATATTGGTTAAGTTTGGGGGCGAACCTACTTGCCGGGGAAATGGACCTTACTTTCCTTCAGCATAATCTCCTCAGAGCTCTATGCATCTTGCAAACACCGACATAAATTGCATAGGGCTTGTGTGAACACATTGAATGAAAGTTGTGCAAGTTCCGGGGCTTTGTGGGTCCTGAAGGTTTTGGCAGGGCATTTTTTTCAGAGCTATCTTCAGCTTGGGGAAGAGCAGGATGTCTCCTGGGGCCAGATCTGGGGAGGATCAAGTAAGGAGAATGCTGAAGCTGAACTGCCCCCTTTTTTTTTTAGTCTAGAAGATAATTTTACAACTGACAACAAATGTTTAAGGGGCAGTATTGTGAAGATTCTAGGAGCCTTGCAAGGCTGCACACAGACCAGAAAACATGTTTGAAGAGGATCTGATTTTGCACATGCTCATGGACAGCTGTTAAAGGCATAAAACTATCTGGCTTACATTGCGATTTGTGTTAAGAACAGTATTGCTAAGTGGAGAATTACATTGAGACCTTGTATGTGTGTGCACGGGGTCGTATGAGGGATGCCGGAGACTCATTTTCCTATCTGGAGAGAAAGTTGTCTGCTTCTTGAGCAGGAGTTGCAGGGATGTCGGAACAACACCGAGCTCAGATGGACTTTTATTGGAAGAATAGTGGGTAGACCTCAATTTCTGGTGCCTCGAGGTCTACCCACTATTTTTTTTAGTCTGCCAATAAGAGCTTGGCGTTCTGACGTCATCGCAGCCCCTGTGCAAGAAGCAGACAAACTTGCAGTCCGGATTGTTCCGAAGTGGCGCTAAGAAGTAAGGCATTCATATTGTTACATTCCAATTCTTATTCACAATGATGGGTGGTGACAGGAAATGCCTAATTGCATGCTTTCATGGCTACTGCCCTTAACAACCGTCAACGTTAGATCTGTCGGTTTACAAGCTCCACAGAAGAGCATGGTTTGAAAACACCTTTTCTGTTGCCTGCTTGCATGCAGGTACGGTTGGATAGCGATCCTATTGCCACCAGTAGCACCTGGTCACCATAAAATGTGATGGTCATAAAATGTGGCTTTTATGGTCACCATAAAAGCCACATTATAACCCCTTTCCACTGCAGGCAAAGTGCATCCAACGTTCCACCAGTTCTGTTTGTATGGGCTGGGCTGATAGCGTAGTGAGTGTTGCCGAGCAGATGTGCTGCGGAAAGGTGCCCGGCGTTCTAGGAAGTTTGACAACCGACTGATCTACAAGGGACGTCCCTCCGAAAAGTTCTCATCCCTCCCAAAGCGCAAGCAGAGACTCTAAACTTTTTACAATTAGTGACACCAAAAATTCTGCATGCACACGATTCGGGTTTCTTGTGGCGGCCACCAACAGGTGGCAATCCGCACAGTGGGGCTAAAAAGAATGTAACACGTTCGATGATTGAATATTTGTCTCGGAGTGGTCCAGCTCTGGCAGGCATTCACAAAGACATGGTGGCAACGTAGACAGGTGATGTACGATCCTACAGCACAGCGAAGAAGTGGGCCGCAAAGTTCAGTCGACAATGGGAAAGCCTTGGAAGATGACCCCCGCCTTGGCAAATCTGCGGAAATGACTGCTCAAGAAAGCCTAGACTGTGCACTACGAGGTAATGGCGGAGCGATGAATAAAAATGCGCACCATTGCAGAGGTCGCAGGAGTCTTCAAAACCACAGTATCCAACATCTTGATATGCACAAAATCTTTACTTTGCCAGATGGGTTCCAAGACTGCTCTCATCTGACCAAAAACGCACCCACCACATCACGTCCAGGGATATTTAGCTGCTCGGGTCAGATCCCACAAGCTTCCGTGTCCAATTTGTGACTGGATGAAACCCGACAGCAAAACCCGGTCTAAACAGTGGAAATGCCGCTGCTCTGCACTGCCGAAGAAGGCTCAGACTGTTTCATCAGCAGGCAAGGTGATGGCCTCGGTTTTACGGGATTCGGAAGGCATGCTGCTCGGCGATTACCTTCAGAAAGGGCAAAGCATCACTGGGAACTACCATGCAACCCGATTCATCACCTGTGGGATGCCATCAAGGCCAAACGATGTGGTATGCTCCAGAAGGGGAGGCTGTTCCACTGGGAAAATGCACCCCCACACCACACTGCTGTAGCAATGGCTGCCATGCACTCCTGTGGCTTTCCTTTTGTCGACCATTCATCATACTTGCCAGATCTCACCTCACCAGACTTCCATCTCTTCCCCCAACTAAAAAAAAAAAAACTTACTGATGTTTGCTTTTTCGATGATGACGTCATTGATGCTGTGACCTGCTTTTTAAAAAACCAAACTTCCTTTTTTTTTTTTTTTTTTCAAAGGGGATCCAGGTATTGGGAGCGTTGTTGGGTACTGTGTGTGTACCTCAAAGGGGACTATGTCAAAAATGTAATGTGTAATTCACCTGTTGCCTCCTGGGTCAGGCCGACAACTTTTGGGACGCCCCCCTTAGTAACATTGGTCGAGGGTGAGGGAGATGGATGAATTGATAAGTGAAGATCAAGAGAATGGTAAGTTTAGGTGCTCTGCAGTTGGCAACTCCAAACATGCTTTCTGAACTTCGTTTCTTTGTACATCAATCTTGCTGCCAAGATTTACCGATCTTTGTTGCACATGTGATATAGGAATGTGTTCGCTTCCTGCCTCCCTAACTTCCACTGGATTGAGTGGCCTCATATGGAGTTAGGTTATGTACCGTAGAAATTGTGATCATCCCCATGGCAGTGGCATTTCTTGGTAGCCTTGCAAAAGCATGCGAAATACATGAAAACCTTGTAGAAGAGACAAGACATCAACGGTGACAGAAAATTAACCAATTTAATCTAGGATGAACTAAATGTATCGAGCTCTAAAACTCGTTCGTGGGGACATGGGTAGGAGCTAGATGAACCTGCATCTAGCACAAAAAGTTTGTTCGTAAGCTGTCAGTAAGACCAGAAAGGGATTTTTTTTTTCTCACTCTTTGGTGCAAGCATGGCAAGGTAAGCCGTAATGGGTGCTTTGTTATCATGATACCTGTTAATATCGCTGCCTCAATCTCCTGTTCAGTGCGATGCCGTTCTTTGTAGTACCCTATGCCGACAGCACGCGCTCGCAGGGACAATACAAAAATCGCAGAACACAATGTCGCCGCAGCACAGCGCCTAAATGTCTGTCTGTCTTAGGGTGAAGACATACATTGTTGTGCTGAATGTGCCAGCGCGTGACGCTCTCACGCACTCGGTGCGTGACTTGGGCGGTAAAATGGCGTCTATGTATTAGCCAAAGCTACGCGCTCGAGCTGAGTGGCACCGGATTGCGCGCACTTCAAAATGCCTTAAAAAAACGATTGGGCGGAAAAATGGCTGAGATGTCACCACTCAAGCAAAAGCGCGCGTGTGTATGAAGGCACTCTATTGCAGGGTAAAGCCCCTGGGTGTGTTAGCCTTTGTCTCGCAAGTAGCGTCAAATGCGCCAGTACACGAGAATCGTGTCTCGAGCAGCCCTTGAAAGAAAATGGTGGCGCAGCACTGAAATATGAGCGGCCCTTGGAAACAATTAAATATCGACGCCGTCGACGGGGCACCCGCTCGTGGCACGTGTGGTGCGCCTGCCACATCAATGGTTGACACGGCGGTACATGTTGCCTTTATTAAGGGGATTAGTGCAGGGGGGACACGCGCTACACATGAGCGTTCGGAACAAAATGGCCAGGTATCACCCTTAGCAAAGCGCACGTAGGCAGCCTAGTAAGGTTAGAGTTGCAGGTCTGCCATTTTACTGCAAATTGGCAAGTATGCAAAGGTTGTGTATTGCGCAGATCATGCCATCTCCATTGGCATCTGGTGGCCATGGGCCGCTGTAAAACCACTTCATGTGTTCGCCTCGTTTAGAAGAAGCGTCGAATACATTCAAATACGTCAGCGCATGAGGCGCGACCCGTGCTGTCCTGGAATCAAATGTGTGCGCGGCACTTGCTCGTGCCACGTGTGTCGGGCGTTCGCAGAGCAAAGGTTATCGGTGCTCGGTATGAGAAACGCGATGCGTGAACTTTATCAAGGGGCTTTAGGCAAGATTGCTTTAGGTCGCGTAGGTTCGTAGATGGCGCCTACCTGCGCCAAACTTGTTGAATTAGTACATGGATGTGCACCAACTGGTGCCCCATGCGCGTAAATACGTGCAGCCTGCGCGTGATCATAGCTTTGGCAAGCTAGAAATGGCACGGGCCTTCCCACAGTTCCCACAAGCAAAGTCATGGCGGCGGCCAGTCGCCTTGCTCGCAATCGTGGTGCTCGCGCTCGCAGGTGTTTGCGTTTTTCTTGCAAGTACCGTCAGATGTCCGTGGTGCAGTATGGTGCAGTATTGATTAGTGATGGTGACAGTTCCGCCACGTTGGTTATTCGTTCTTCCTGATCAAATCGAAAACAAAAGCAACTTCAAGTCTCTATTCTTCAAATACTATATATCAGTAGGGTGGTATGAAAAATAACAAGTATACATTTAAATATGCAAATTATTGAGAAAATAAATGAAAAAAAACCGTAAGATTCTTTATTTTTGTGTTTTCACCGCGAAATAGGTGCTTTCTGTTCGCTAGGTGGTGTGGCTGATAACCGATAAACGTTTTTCATGTCGGCGATAATAATGCGTCTGGCCACGCTGGTGACACTGAAAACGCTTTCGGCTTTGTACTTTGCGTTTTCTTCTCGCTGGCGTTGACGCTTTTTTAGCTCCTCTTGTCTCGTCTTGTCGGCCGCGTGGTTGACACTCGAAATAACTGCTAATACCTTCGGAAACGGTCAATTTTGTTCAGAATGAAACTGAAGAAGAATCAAGCAACGCCGCCCAAGCCCACCAAGGTGAGTTGACATTTTTATTTAGCTTCTTCATGTCATAAATCGCCGGCATTTCAAGACCACGTTTTTTTTTTGTTTGCGAGCATCCATTGATTTTGGGCGCTAACCGAGAACTGAGGGAGAACGAAAGCTCGGTGATTCGCACCCGAAGCAAATGTAATGCGCCATTACTCTCGCGTTTTATCTCAGTTCTAGGACTTTTCTCTACGAGTTGGCAATAATTATTGTCGAAAATGACCGCTTCACTAAACGCGCCGAACGCGCCTCGTTTTCCTAGGTTGGTGGAGGGAAGCCGAGAAAGTTGCCCAAACCGGCCAAAACCAACGATGACGACGCTGTCGAATCGGACACGGAGGACTACTTGAAAGGTACGACTCTGCTTCTTTTATTTGTTATGCAAACAACAGCACGGGAATCAAGTGTAATGGTGGCGCGGATTGTCGAAGATGCCGGCCGTGAAACACGGGAACAAAGACGATTAAGGTATTTGACGCAGCATTACGTTCTTTCCTAAAGTGAATGGTGATAAGACACCCGAAGATGATATGTCGCGTCTACAGTTTTGCCTGTAATTTTCTAACTACAAAATACGTTGTGCCCGAAGCACAAGAAAAAAAAAAGAAAAAGAAAAGGCCGGTTGCAAGTTGCCATGCCGGTTGTTTGGTTACCGCCGTCGCTCATAGATGGCGGTGGCTGTCTGGTATTTGCGACTTTTGAATTCGTTGTCGGTTTGATCTTAATTCTGGCCCTCTTGCTGGGATGCGTCTCCGCTACTCTAGGCCAAGTTCTTGTCCCGCCATTTTATTCCAGCCATTGCGCTTTAAGTTGTGCAATACCGAATAAGTAGAATAGGCCTAACGTTTTTGTTCCAATATTTTTCAGTAGCTGCACTCTTCGCGCAAATTTATTGAGTCACTCTAGCGATAGGTCACGTATCTCTCCCTTATTAGTTTGGGCGTTAAAAAATAGTTTGAATGGACCACTATCTGAATGTCATTGGAGGGTTGTCACCTGCCTTCAAGGTGTGTGCTGCTGATACCTGTGAGCCTTAAGATGTCAATTTCCACCTAATTGTGGATCATCCTATATTTCCACAATCGCCTCCTTCCCCCCCCCCCCCTCCCCCCCGTAACGCACGCACACATTTTATTTTTTTAATTTAGTGTAGGCTGGAAAAGGAAACTGGGACAAACTGCCAATGAGGTAGTTTTAACAGATCTGAAGATTTCGTAGAACAGAACCATTTTTCAAACACTTTTATCGAGAGGTAAGAGTTGGGGATGTTGCGAACTTTTTCAAAACAGATTTTTAGGTCAAACTTTTGGGGTCAACTGGTCCGACGCACCTTTCAACTTTTAACCAGATTCGATGGACGGATGGATGGATGGTAATGGTGGTGCAAGCTGCTGCCCTTTGTAACGGGCAGCAGCTTGCACCACCTAGCCTAAAATTTTGTCATCCCCCCCTTTTTTTTTTAATTTGTATAAATTTTATTATAACACAACCCCACCCCCCTTTTTAAAGTGATCACATTAAAGTGGCGGTATGGTGCCTGGATCGCATCTCCGACTGGTGTGTTTAGCGTCCTACCCTGCCCATACATCAAAAGTGGTCCTGAAGTGGCAACAAATGACATCTCAGAAGCCGGAGTGTCATGCTGTCGCATGTTGCGATCCTGGCGGTTGGTCGTAGAAATGTTGGCAAAAACCACTGGCGAACGCGCGTGTCGCTGTCGTCATGGCGTTCCAGGCGTCCCAACTTCCGGCTGCTTTAGCTTCCGTTAACTGCCGCATTGGAGAGCGACCTGCAGCAGAGCAGGCGTCTGCCACTTACACCACAACTATTGGGGCACCGCCGGATTCGCGACCGGCAACAGCGTGACACTTTTATGACGTCATCAGGCGGAAATCGAGGGTCCACTTTTTTGGACCCGGTAAACACACCAGTCAGAGACGCGTTCCAGATACCGTTGTGACTAAAGCCCCTTGATAGAAGCGTTTTTACAAGTACCGCCAACCATTGTTGTGGAAGCGCGCGAGACACGTGCCATGAGCAGGGTCTCCGCCGCCATTCGCTTCCAAGGCCCGCTCATTTCAGTGCTGCGCCGCCATTTGCTTCCAAGGGCCGCTCGAGACATGGGCCTCGTGCACTCGCGCATGTGACGCTACTTGCACGACAAGCGCAAAAACATAGAGGGGCTTTAGTTGTGACGGGTTCGACTTGGTGAACAGTGTGGCCAGACCTTGATACAAGCAGGCCTAGGTTTGGAGAATCTTCCTTTTTTTTTTTTATGCAAAGGGTTATTTTAATTTTATGAAAAGCTTCAAATATAAAGAACTAATTCTTATCACTGAAGTGACTAGCTTAATTTTTGTACTGTATTAATGAAATAACCAATCAGTGTTGCCCTTAATTCATTCCTTAGCCATCACCACCCAATCCGAAGCAAACTGGCCAGCCTGTCAGGCATGCACATAGCAGTCGAACATTTGTCAAACTTTTCACAATAAGTTTTAAAAAGTTGAACCTGGTCAAACTTGAACCTAGACCAATTCACGACAACCCTAGTAACAGTACACCTCCTGGAACGGCACACAAGCCACATAGAAGAAAGGGGGGAGGGGTGTTGATGAATGTCTTGGAAATGTTTTATACAAAAACTGTTTATAACACCTCAAGTTTTGGTTTCAGTTAATGTCACGCCGAAAGCAGCCAAGGTCCCAGCAGCTGAGCTAGGTTCCGATGAAGACGACCCCGAGCTCGACGACGAGGACTTGGATGATGAAGACGAGTTGGACGAAGAAGACAGCCTCGATGACGAGGAGGGTGATGAAGACAGTGAAGGGGGCAGTGACGATGAAGGTGAGCACTGGTTCTTGCGGAAGGGGAATGCAAAGCAGTCTTACGTCTGGAAATTGTTTAGCTTGGATTTATTATTGAAGAGACCTTACAAAACGCCAGCGAACTCTGGGTGCCAAATACGTGAGCGATGAAAATAGCCGTCGCCAGGTAGTTCACAGCCTCAGTGACGGTTGTTTTGTGAACTGGCGTTCAACACCAGTTTTCATCGCTCGTGTTTGGGGCATTACCCTGTTCTTTGAGTGGAAGATTATTGTTAACCAGCCCAAGTTTTTTCTTGTTAGTTGCAGTCACAAAGTTTTAGATTCCTTTGCTGCAGGTGCAATTATTTGTGGGGAGGAGGGGAAAAAACATACTGCATTTGTATTGTTTCATTAAATATGACACACATAAGATCCATGCACAGTGGCAATAGGGACCCCTTTTGTACCGTACAGTCTGGGGATCCCTTGTTAACCCACGATTAGTATTTGGAGGAGTGCTTAAGTGCCGTAGTGGGGTGAATACAACGGTCGTGCCGTTCCAGTGCCCCAATTGGTAGCCGCAAAGAACAAGTCCAAGCCGAAGCCAGCTCCCCCAAAGAAGAAAGCGGGCCAGGAGGAGAGCGACGACGAAGACGAGGAGGATGATGAGGACTTTGATGAAGATGACAGTGAGGATGGTGGTGAGTGGCCTGCCTTTTAGCTGTTTTTGTTTTTTTGATCTATTCATGGTTTTGATGCTGGCTATGGAGCAGCCTTATTGATAACTAAGAGTGCCTCTGTGCTTTTTGAGAAGCTCATTTCTGTTTGTCATCGATAGCTTGAGAGTGATGGGAAGGACAGTGTAAAAAAACAGTAGTCTCCACCAATTTGAAAGACCCACTCTGAGTGCGTGGCCGAGACGACAGCTCGCATGTTCGGCAATTCCATGCTGCTTCAGGAAAAGAAAAGGCGCTTTATCAGTGCCCGTCGAGATAATTTGGCTGCTTTATTGAATTTCGCTTCCCTTGGGGCAATGTGGAACTGTCCTCGCACAATCGGACACTGTCTCGGCCCGGCATTCCGAGTGGGTTTTTCATATTTTCACACAGTTCATGTGAACTGCATCACTGGAAAATCCTCCCTGTGGCATTAAAGCTGCAGTTAAATTTAGCTTCCTGGCTTCTATTAGGGTGCTCTGGATCAGATCATGGCAACGCTTTCCCATCATTTAGTCTTGCCAGGGTCTCGGTGGCTCTGAGGTGAGAGCGCCGGCCTACGGATCCCCAGGTGGCAAGTTCGAATCCCGATCAAGGTGCCCGCAATACGACGGAGGCTTATAGCGGAGAAGGCGCCGTGTAACCGAGCTTTCGGTTGCACGTCAAAAGATCCTTAGGTGGTTGAAATTAATCCTCAGTCCTCCGCTGGGGCGTGCCAGATTCCCGTTGTAGGTTTGGCACGTAAAACCCACAAATTTGACTTTTTTTCTTGCCAGGACCCCTGCTTTTATTTGGTTTGTGCCCGGAGATGTCTTGACGGAGGGCACGCCCTTGTGTTACGGTATTGCAGAGGACGAAGCTCCCAAGGCCAAGGGAAAGCCGCAGTTGAAAGACGGTGGCAAGGCGGCCAAGCAGCCAAAGAGAAAAGGAGAAGAGCCCGCTGAGCAGACATCCAAAAAGCAGAAGCTCGGAGGTGCTGGTTCTAAGCGGTCATCACATTAAGCTTATGCGCCGGTCGCAAACATTGTGCGCCATCCCCACTGCTGCATCCATGCTAATTGGCTTGTCAAGGTTGCTTTTCTACTTGTTTATTCTCTTTTTCTTTCTTTAATAAACGTTAGGTGTGTGTGAATGCACATGTCCCTCCAGCACTGTGTATGTCTTCCTTGGAACACTGCCCCACAGTAGTTTTAGGTAGCGGTACTGTAGTGGTTGTCTTGGACTTGGTATTTAACCTTTTTGTAAAAATTTATCTTTTTTCTTTTTAAGGATCTTTTTAACTTGGTAGTATTCTTTTATCTAGTAAACTTTTTTCAATACATCCCAATAAGTTTTTTTAATCATAATTACGAAGTGCGCACCTCGAATCTTGCCAGGAGTCACTTTCAATGTATTATGCCTAAAGACTTACAACACGTATTCTGCTCGTCAGGTAGAAGTTTTGTCCCCTTGCAAAATTTCCATTGCACCAAAAAAATTGAGACCAGTTTCGCTCGTATCCTTGTTGGATATGTACCTTAAGGACCAGTCCAAGATGGCTGCTGGAAGTTTGCCGTACCGAATCAAGTTTAGACAGTTTGCTTTCAGCTAACGGCCTCTTGTGTAGCATTGAAGACATGGTAGTGAACATGCCCCCTTTTCTTGAATCCAGATGGCATCCCAAAGTCCGTCTACATGGATGTAGGTAAGGGTTTGGACTCTCTTTGTTTACCAACGAGTTGTGATGCCCGGCCTAGACGCCCACCCGGATGGCACTGCTTCTCCCCGCAGATGAGTACGACAAGCTGTTCCTTTACATTGGTGACCTGCCCCCTGGCTGCACAGCTGCAGACGTGAAGGCACTCTCTCCAGACATTGTGGACGTGCGCACAAACGTCAAGGCGGGCGCGAAATTGTGAGCTGCATTATTTTTTTGCTTAAAACTAACGCCTTTTCACTGCAGCCAATTTTATAGATGCTTTGAAACCAAGTAAGGGGCATTCTTGGGGATTTGGATTGAAGTATAGAAAGCATTTAGGGTTGTACATACATTGAAAGGGAATTAGTTCTGCAAACTCCAATCTTGAAGAGGCTATGCACTTATTTTTCACTTATGGAATTATGAACTTAGTTTGAGCATCTATTATGAACTTCCAGTTCGAGCAGCAAAAGTGCAGAGCAAGGTTGCCCTTATTTGTGGAAGTACCCAGGAGGTGTTTTGAAGAGGAGTATGTAGCACTATTAAGAGGAAAGTGCCCTGTTCTTTCTTTACCCCGTTCCTAAAAGTATAGAATGGACTGATCTTGCCAGTCAGTTTGGTTATGCTGGCATAACCAAGTGGAACTGCTGTGCCATTTCGCACCAGACTAGATTGTCTGCGCCATTATGCACCAAATCTCAAAACGTGCACCAAAGAATTTTTATTTTGTCTTGGATTCGGTTTCTATAGACTTGATTGGCAACAATGAGGGTGTTTAGCTTGGTCGGGCTTGCAATCCTTTGTTTTGTTTATTCTCCACATGTATCCCGAGTCTGAAGCGCGCATAAAAACTGGGGGGTCGGATTCCAAGGACTACACCACCTGCAACTGGATTGTTATTCTTCAACCGTAAGCTGTTAAGCAAGTCGGCCGAGGTGACGTCGAGTCGCTAAGCGTTAGATTGCCTGAGGCTCTGCGGCCCGGGATCTGGACGTCGGCCAGTTGAAAACAAATCGCCAAAAGATTCCTTTTAGTACTTCATCGTTAGAAGTTGGAACTGCATTTCCGCAAGATAAATTGTGATTTGATAAAACTGTAACGCGGTCCGATCTGAAACCTTGCCAGCCAGCAGCTCTCTCACGAGCGGTGGATCTGCTCGGCATATTTTAACTTTGCTCCTGCTTATTGCTTCGAGTACGATAACTCTATTAATCGTAGTCTGCTGCTTCGATATTGAGTTAACAGTTAACAGCGCGATACGAATCAGTAGCAACGGTAGTCCTCACCCGGGGAACGACGCGCGAAGTGGCGTGTTGTCCTGTTGGCACTCCCGTCGAAAAAGGCAAAATAAAGACAAATACTACATGTATACACAGACACACACACAATATAAACAAACACATTCAGATGAGTGAACCGTATTTAATCCAATGAATCAGATATTTACAGTTTTCAGGAACCTGCCGAAAGCCAAAATAACGGCGGAGCCAGGATTTCGACTTTCGGCGGGTTGCTCAAAACTTTAAACCTTTGATTCATTGGATTAAGTACTGTTCATTCATCTGCATATGTTCGTTTATATACTCCTCGGAGACCACGTACAGTGGTGTGAAGTGCCCGTGTTGTGTGTATATATATATATATATATATACATATATATATATATATATATATATATATATATATATATATATATATATATATATATATATATATATATATATATATATATTCAATAAATATCGCACAGAAGAGAATAGAAACACTTAGAAGCAATAAAAAAATACAGTTGAATGGATAAAAATAGGTAATGGAATTGAAACACAGAGGATTAAGAGGAGGCAAGCGACAAGGCAGAGCGGCCAGGCGAGGGACAGTCTCTTTCACAATCCCTCGCGTGTGGGCCAGGGCGCTTGGGGGATTTCGCAAAAGGTTTATTGGGAGAGTCAGGCCAGTGGCGGGGTGATAAAGGCGCTAGGAAAGAGAAAGGGGGAGAGCGCCGAAAGAGGAAGGCGGAAGCAAAGAGGGAACAGCCACCATTTTTGTGCAACACGCTTTTGGCGCAGAGCACTGGTGAAGCTATGCGTCGCCTGCTATGGGCCAACTTCTTTTTCATCTGAATAAAAGTTTGCAGTCATACGTGAGAAAGCTTGAATTGTTAGTTTTTTTCACCCAATGAGGAATACTACTATATCATTTTCTTGCCAAAGCCAAAGAAATTTGGATGCCAATCTTATGCATTCCACCGGGCGAATGAATGAAAATGGCGGCCTTCCCCGCACAGCTGGGAACAGCTGTGTATTCATGCGCGTGCTCTTGTGCCTCTTGCGCTGATTGGCTCACTTGGGTGGGGAACATTACGGCGGTGAAGTCATAAATGCCAAACTCTCCCAATATATGGCTCTGGCCAACGGGGTGCCAAAGCACCATACCTTGGCCAGAAGGGGAGGCAGGGGTCAGGAGGTGGCTTCACTCTTCCGATCCGCCGGGTAGTGACAGACCACCTTAATGCGTCTGGGGCGGGGCGACTACTAGTCGCCCCGCGAGCCAGAAGCCATAGAGACAATTTTCCTCATGAAATCACGGGGTGTTGAAGAGGAAGAAATTTATATTTACGATCTTGCCACACAATTTTCGTATGCATGACGCCACCATAACTTTGGTTCACAGCAGACTTGTACATAGTTCAACTAATCTACTCAAAATTACTGTAGTTTAACTACTTTTTTAAGTAGTTTAGCAAATTTCAATTACATTTTGATTTTGGTAATTAGTAGTTTGCTTGAATTACTTTTTCTGAGTAACTTTTAACTCAAATTAAAAATTACTTAGTGGTGGCTTTGCTTATAAACAAATGTTCCTGCACAAAAGCAGATGTTGGAAGATCAGCTGATGTTTACAAAGAGGGTGAAACTTGTGGTGTAGGCAAAAGGGCGGGGGAGGGAGAGTAGTTTGAGCGGTCCGAAGCTCCCTAAAATTTTCGCGAGCCCCCAACTGCAACAACCCTTCTACGAAGCTTGTGGAGCAGACACACGTTGTAAATGAGGCCGGGTAACTGCGGGATCAGCGCCGAAGACGGGTTTCGATTTGTCCCGAAGCTCAAGGAGACTTGAAGCATTTATAAAAAGGGCATGTGCCTGCTTCTCCCCGATGTAGTGACTCTTGCCCACTACAGGAGGTGTTCACACTGCATTCTTACTCAAAGGAGGTAGCAAATTGCAGCACCCGCTCTGAAGCTCAGCCGTTGCTCCTGTATAGTTTGCACTGCCTTTTGAGACGTCATCTGGTCATTGCTCTGAGTGAAGTAATGGAGGCTATAAGACCGATACAACTAAAGGCCTTAAAAGTTGATAGTATTAAATAGTTTGCCAGCGAGAATAAAACAAGTACTCTGTGGTGACTCACATTACTTGCCGCCATTTCCGAAAAAGAACTGATGCACCTCTGATTTCCTCTGGAGCAATGCATACCGGTTTAAAAGAAACGCTCTATAGGGGATGAAAGGGCATTCTGAAAGATGGTGTTAGAAAATACTTCTACTTTTCTTTGAAAGCACATTGTATTTATAGTACTGTACTTCAAATGCATTGCATCCATGTACTTACTACTTTCCTTGACGTACATAACTACTTATTTACTTTGTACTTTCAAGTAGTTTTTAGACTCACTTTACGCAACACTGTAAACAAGCTATAGTAGGTTACAAGTCAACAAGGTAGCGGCAAATGCCCCTCAAAGGGAATTGTATATCCCTCCGCCCCCTCCGCATCCAATAGCGTCCCATCGTTTCCGTGACGTTGCGGCCAGTGCGCGAGGAGGGTCTTGCCTTCCTGTACATATCTGCTTTATCTTTCGACTTTGACTTAGCATTGTTGAAGCCACGAGAGGGAGATTAGAGGTTCCCCCTCCGATGGATAGAAAGGCTGCTTTTAGGGGCTCCATTCCCCCTCCGATGAATACAAAGGTCGCTTTCTTAAACAGTGGGATCGGAGGCAAGTTGGCATCACTCTAGCCAATATCTATCCATTGAAGCGGAACAAGGATCGTTTCCAGTGAACTCCTTTTTCGACTGCGGAGAAATTTGAAACCGGCGCATCACGCTTGTGGGAGGAGCTTGTCCTAACTTCTTGACTTGTAACCGACTATAACAGTCCGCAGAATCAAGCTCGGGCAGTGCTAAACCTCAAAGGAGGAATGATACATCTGCAGTACATCATTGACCAAAAAGAAAATGAAATACAAAACAATTAGGCATGCAGAAGCAGAACCAGCTAATAAAGCATTTCTGTGAAAACACAAGCCACTTTATATTCGGCTAGGAGAATTTCACTAGGAGATTGAAACCAATTTACTTCCTTGTTAGCATAAAAAAAATATAAAAGCAACTTCAAAAGTAATTCACTAGTTTTTCGAATAGTAATTTACTCAATTACTTTCCATTTGAGTAATTTCTACACTACTCAATTACCTTTGAGGCTGATACTCAGTAACTTAATTACCTTTTCTTTAGTAACTTGTACATGTCTGGTTCACAGGACGCATGCCGCAGTGTATGAGCCGTGAGGTTGTTTCAAGTGCAGAGAGACTCAAGTTCTCTCTATGCATTGTGCGGTAGTATATTGAAACTGGCTAGATCTGTCCATTGTTTTGAAAAGGTGTGAGCAGCCTTCTACTTTTAGGAAGATAACTCATGAGCTGCCTTTTTGTAGTTCACTTGTATCACAATTGCTGACATCTATGCATAATCTTACAAGATTTCACAGCATTGTGGGAGGAATGGGCACAAGCATCTGACTTTCCAATGCACAGTGATTGATTGCTGCGCCAATCTGTACCAAGGGGCTATCCCTGCTACATCCTATTTTTTGCCAAAATATGGGTAATCTGCTCCAAACCTGCGCCAAAAAACCAATTTCGGTCGCCTTTCAAAACCGAAACTAAACTGAGTATCGTAATTGAGCATGCGTGGGTTATGTGGCGCAGGCAGCCGCCTGACACAAAGTACCCTGCATCAATTGTCCATCCGGTCTTGCATGGTTTTCCTCGGTCTCGTGTTTTCGTTGTGTAATGGGTCTTGTCTCGCATCTTTTTTTTTTTTTTTTTTTCAACGGTAGACGCGGTTGTGTGCGGACGCTCTGACGCTATCATGCCGGTACCAGCCATGCCGTCATGCTGTGGAACTAAACCACGTTTTTGCGTGGCAAAAGTTACTTTGTGAGCTGAAACACTCGCTCCTGAACGCAACGGCCGTGGGAAAACTATATTTGGTCCCTGCCTTTCAGTCACTGTGGTCGCGCAACGTTGGGTCTTGCCGTCCCCACATCGCTGCAGATATGGCGCTTTTTTAAATGAAACTAAGTACCGCCGCATTTTCATCGACATTCCTTTTTTTGTTTTAATCATACGTTACTAAAAAAAATCCCTCTTTAACTCATAGACTGTTGTGTCGAAGTATTGATTACCTATGTTTCTTTCGGTGGGCTTTCTTTCGGGAGGTACCCCGGTACGTGAAAAATCTGCCGCGAAAAAAAAGTTGGTGAAGAGAAGTGAGCTAAAGCAAAAAAAGCAATGTCTGCACGCTGAACCTGCACAGCGTGCTTGTTTGTCTCAAGTTCAGTCGTTGCACAAAGTGCTCCAAGAACATTTTGATTGTGGTTCGCGATGTCTTGCATCAATGCGATCAGGTTCTTTTTTTTGTGTGTGTTTAGCTTGTGCTACATTGTTTGCGGGCCTGGCAAGCACGCGCCGCTGGTCTTTTTTTGTCATATGCTTGACAGTTATATTTTGCATACAATTTAGGGAATCAGGTGGCAACGGAGCAGAGTTGCATAGTTTTGGATTCGATCGAACAGCCGTTGTCCTCCGCTTGCGCAAGGAAGCGCGCGCAGCTGCAAGCCGCGATCCTTGCAATGCATTGTATTATGTTTGCTTACTTTTGACGAAAATCTGGCACACCAGGAACCAGTAAAACGGTGGCTAATGGTTTTTCGGAATTGCTCGGCAGTGCCTACAGCACTGTACACTTGTGGGATGTCTCGGCAGTAAAAACACGAGCAGCGAGTTCTGTCACAACACGGCACATCAGAACGCGACACAACACAAAGTGCCCTTTGTTTGTCCAGCACTTAAATCAAATATTTTTATCTTTCTAAGAATATCTGCTCCAAAATCCCCTTTTGCTGCTCCAAAACACTGGTTTGGTTGCTTTAAAGGCCACGTTTGCTGCTCCAAAACACTATTTTGGCTGCTCCGAAAGGTGCTCCAAAATGGCTTAGGCCACTCGTATCACTGATTGCACCTTCCTTGCACAAGGGCTTGTACAAACCAAGTGTACTGCAGAACTAAGCCCACAACGTGCTTAACTCTGCAACTCGGGGACCAACCGTCGTTTGTAGACCTCGCGTTGCTTGCATGCAGGGGCTTCATGTTTGCCAAGTTCAAGAGTGAGGCAATAGCAGACAAGAACTACAAGCGCCTCCAGGGGGCCCAGCTGAATGGCCAGAAGCTGCGTGTGGGCTACCGAGGTGCCAAGCGGGAGGGCGGTCTTCCCACCAACTGGTCCGAGTGCCACTCGGAGCTGGCTGTCTACGGTCTTCCAGAGGGCTGCCCTCAGGACAAGGTGGCCAAGCTGTTCCCCACGGCAGTCAAGGTGGCAACCATGTCCTTGTGAGTCTGCCTCACTCTGTTTCCTGTATGTACGAGAGAGCTGTGGTCGGACGTGGTGTGTTCTTTGAATCGGTGACTTTGTCCAGTGGCTCTTCTGTTTGTCCTTCTTGCAGATTTGCAAAAATGGCAAACTCTGTCATACTTTGAAGGTCAATTGAATTACTGAATCATTGCACATACAGGGATCTAATGTACCTTGTTGGCAAATGGAGAAATCTAGGCAGTCTTGTTGCTATTATTCCAACATTATGCAAACATCTTTCGTAACTTGAAGGATTCTTCACCATTCGTTTCTTTGCAGCTTTACGTGGGTCAAGTTTGACAGTAAAGCCGACCTTCTGGCTGCTGTAAGGAATGAGTCGTGTCACAAACTGGAGGGACATCCTCTCAAGTTCGCCTATCACTTCAAACGTAAGACCCCACTGTTCAAAACTTTCTTTTCCTCCCTCAAGTCTGCTCTAAAAGACTGCTTCACAATGTCTCTCAAGACAAGATAAACATTGATAGTGCTTTCTTCATAGACATTACCATCAATGAAAGCAGATGCAGCTTTTGTTATGTACGTTCTGCATGAAAACTTTCCTTGATTGCACTATAAAGAACCAGTTATTTTAATGTAAAATTTAGAGAAATCTTACTGTATAAATTGCTCATAAATTGACTTGTAATAGTGGATACTGTCATTTGCCCTGCAAGTCAAAGCTAAGGTGTGACTCAACCACGAAGGAACATCCTGTATTTTTTACAAGGCACATAGGGATGGTTGTCAGTTTTTGGAGTTCATTAAAGGGCAACTTCGCTCAATTCCGAAAAATTTAGGCTTAGATGTGATTCCATTTCACAAAGCACTACTAAACAGCTCTACGTCTTTGGATTCGCAAAATGTGAAACATTATTTGTGTAATCCTAATTTAAACATCAGCTGATACCGAAACCGAAATTTTGGTTGCGTCAGGCAACATTGGTCTCGTGTCGTCAGAGTTATGGCCACGTCACGTCGAACCATGTGGTCTTGTGACGTTCGGCGGGGCGAGGGACAGGACACGCGACGCAGGCAGGTCGCTTCGCATGGCGTGGACGGTGATGGCCCGGGGGAGAGGGGAAGGGGAGAAGACGAAAGAGGAGAAGGGGAGCGGAGAAACAGACCGATAAGCACGCAGGGCAGCGCAAACTAACGCATCCGTGTTACGGAACTTACGGAGATCACGTGGATGCCGTTCAGCCAACACCGGGAGGAGAAACTCATGACGTCATCAATCAATTTCGCTCTGAGAAGTAAAAACAAACAAAACGTGAGAATGACTTGGTCATGCCTCTGACGTAGTGGCTCAATGTTGGCCGCTCCAACTCCGTCGCATTGAATTAGCTGACGATTGCGCCTCACGTCGCACGCTAGAGTTGGCAGATTTCGGCGTCTTGGCTCACTTGAAGGTGTGCTGGCCAGTTTATTAAATATATAGACAGAATTAGATCGTAATATCTGACATGGGGTCTTCCTATATGATACTGAAGAGGGCTACATAGTTTTTTAAATATCAAAAATGAAGCGGAGTTGCCCTTTAAGAGCATATGTATGTGTTCTTTTCTTAAAGGAGCTGTGCAACGATTTTAATGTTAAAAGAATTTGCATCTTCTACTTTTGACATTGTTTATCTTGTCACTAAGGACAGAAAACGCACAAAACACACCTTCTTTCATAGAAATGTTGCGATTCCACCGCGTAATCACAAGGCAAAAATGAGAATATTTCCCGACCTGCAGCCGCGAGCGGCGGCCATGAGAACCACGCGGCATGACGTCAATGGGGGTCTAGTAGAGAGATAGCAAGTTGTGCGAATACCTGCTCGATAAAAGGTAACTTTTCTATGAATCTTGTTGTTCCAACGTAAATATAAATGCGCCAAAACCTGGTATCATCGGCGAAGCTTTTATTATGCGGAGTTATAGTGGCGCCATCTATCCTAGGCCCACAAAACCGTCAGCTTTATTTCCAACCGCGAGCAGCCACCAGAAGCCGGAGGGGGACGGGGATGGCCGGACCCAGATGGGACTTTCCTCTTTTCACCATATTGTTTGCGCTGCGCCAGCCCGTGGTTACGCGGTGACGAGCGGATGAGATCTTGCTGCTCACTGATGGCTCTAAAGAGAGAACTTGACCGGAACCCCCATTGACGTCGCAGCGCATGGGACTCGGAAGATGGTGACCGAGTTGAGAGATGCCGAAAACCTCAATTTTAAAATAAAAACTAGGACATGCAGGCAAAAGCGGTTTTTTTGTTCCTTAATTCAGAAAAGTTGAGACACCAACTTCGCAGTTATTTAAGCAAAACACTGAAATTGTTGCACTGCTCCTTTAAACCTTTGCGGTCATGTGTCGGGCCAGGCCGGACATCGGAGAAACGCGCTTCCGGTCGGGTGTCAGGCGTCGCCCGGCACGTGTTCCCGCATCCTTTTAAAGGGGCGGTGCAATGATTTTAACACTGAACGAATGTGCAGCTTGTATTTTTTATATTGTTTACTTTGGCATAAGTAAGAGAAAAAGTGCCACCATTCCCCAAAATACCTCTATTTCGCTGCGTAATCGCAAAATAAAAAACACTTTTTTTCCCAACCTGCGGCCACATGGTGGCCGCAAATGGAACCTGTGGTGTGACATCATTCGGAGTGGTTTTTGTAAGTGATAGTGTTAGGCAATTGTAAGCTTGATTTAAGGTTAAGTTTAAAAAATCTTGTTGTTTAGGCACGCAGAAACGCTTCAAAAGCCTAATATTGCCGCTAAAAGGGTATGAATTATTTTTGGCGCCATCTACCGCAAGTCAACAAAACCTGCCGTCGCCGACATCCGTCGACGCCCGAGGCGCCTACGGTGGCTACACAAGCAACCCGGACGTTTTGTCTTTCCCTCGCTCGACAAAGTGCGTTGGTCGTGGTCCATAGTATCGTGGTATCGTTATTGTTCCTGGTGTCTCGACCTCGACTTCGACTTCGACTGCCCGCCGCTTCGCAAGCATCTTGCGCTCGACGTCGCTCAGGCCGTCCTCCCATGCCGCCTTGTTGGTCGGGAATCGGCGGGAGAGCGGGAGAGCGGCGAGCCTGGCGAGCCGGCGAGCGCTGGGGAAACGGAAGCCAGAAGAACCGAACCGGAAACCAACGCCACTCCGAATGACGTCACAGGCGAAGCTGGTGCCGCTTCAATGTTGAGTTGAGGGGTGCCAGAGATACCAATTTCTTTTATTTTTTTTAATGAAAACTAGGGCAAGCAGGAAAGAATAGTTTTCGGTACTTCGTTTTATATGTGGCCGGGATCAATTCCCGCAATTAATTAGCCAAAGTCCGCAAATCGTTGCACCGCCCCTTTAAGCATGCTCCTTCGCTCTTTTTGCTGGATTGGTGGCGCCATCTCTTTGAAAACACTTCATTCGCATCACTTTTGAAAGGGTTTGAGTTTTTTCTCATAGAGGGCAGGACTAGTCATAAAGAAAAAAAACAAAAGACATGTTTCGTGTCGTATGTTTTTTTTTTTTTGCGCAACGGAGGAGCGCGCTAGTTTTAGCTTCGCTGGCACAATGGTTACAGCTACGTTCCAGCCACGCTTGTTTTATGTAACTCTGCATGATGTTATTGAAAGTGACGACGATTTCATTGAAGAGGACGACTATATCCCTCCATCAGATGATGGAGAGGCGACCTCTGTGACTTGAGTGAAAGTAGTGATGAATATGAAGACACTACGCAAGACAGCGGCCACGGAGCCGTTCCACCACAAACATTGTTCCGGAGTTTGTACACAAACAATCTCCCGGACTTTCCTGTCCTTACATTCAGTGTGAGACGTTACCTTTGTACGCCGAAATAATTCTACTTTTCCGGCGCCCATGCGTACCAAATAGGTCCTGACCGGAATGACCATTAAGGTGGTCAGAGTATATCTGCTTGCAAAAAGTTAACTTATGCAGAAACCAGCAGTCAACTCTTGCAACATTAAGTTCTAACTACCTTTGATCTGTTCCAAAAAGTTATTTCGTTGTACAAAGGTACTCTAAAATGTGACTTTTCCTGCTGCTAACATCGTTAAAAAAAAAAAAAAAACTGGATCAATTTTTAATTAATATTGAAAACATTTCCTAACTAATACTCAGAAGGGGCAGTTTCCCACATTACTTTGCATGGGGCTGAATTTGCATGCAGCTGATGGTGTGAATTTTCCAACAGCCAAGATTCAGAAGAGAAAGAAGAGGAAGTCATCAGGGTCAGGCAAGAAGGGAGGTGACAAGAAATTTTCAAAATCGGGAAAGCCTGATGGGAAGCAAGGAAAGCCCACAAAGAAATTTGAGAAGCAAGGTGGACAGAAGTCTCCTAAGCAAGGTGGCCTCCAACACAAAACTTCAAAGGCAAAGTTTGATGCAAAGAGGCAGGCGGTCAAGAAAATGGCCGGATTGCAGAAGAAGAAAATGGAAAAAGCTGCAAACTAACACAAGTGGACATTTTGTTCTTAGCTACTGATGGGATGTGCATGAAGTTTAAGTCTTCCCCAGCATCGTCTCTCAGCCAAACATTTGACAAGACATTCTATTGCCACCTTTCACCATTTAAGTCAGATTTCTTCTTCTTTTTTTGAGCGGGTAATTAGACGATGTTCTGATTTTATTACCCACTGCACTTGTTTAGTCAATACGAAGTCTGCTCTGATTTCAGGGGCATCGTAAGGTATCTACTAGCGAAATACCGATTCTAAGTTAAAAATGGTCGTCCTCTTTTGAATGGGGTGCATCGTTCATATTTTGGCGACTATGCCAGTTTTCCCCCAGACCTTGAATGGTCATGACTCATGTTTGTCAGTCAAGAGTGGAGATGTCAACGCTGGGTTTTTTTCAACAGAGATGCATTCATGTTTAATCCCTAAAAAAGAAAAGTACCTTTACAAACTCCTTAATATTCAGGTTTGGCACCAGGAAATCACCCCATCATTAGTTTTAACAATGTCCTTCATGTGTACAGTTCCATTTCACATCTGCAGCAAACAATGCATCTGTAACTGATGTTAAAACAAGAGAGCATGCAGCTCTGCAATAAATCTCCGGAAAAAAATTTAGTACTGGTCTGTTATATTATTGGTGGTTCTGGTTCCATGTTCTAGTGGTGTGTCAGTATGCCTGTGCGGTGCCTATTAGTGGCGAGATGTTTCGGTGGCGCCCTCGTATGGTTACCTTTAGTGACGTCATTCCCTTACGAACAACAAGTTCGATGGGGTTTGTAATTAGCATGGCGGAAGCTTGAAACCAGAGCGTTCTTGAACCAACACCGTCAAAGTTGCAGTCCTCGCATTCCTCTTATTTCCATCCATGAGAACTCCTTTGCTGACATCATAGTCAGCATTCGGCCAATTGTGGAAGGCCGACCACCGCGACGCTTTCGATCGCGCACGTCGCTAATAGCCCGTCTGAGCTACCGTGTTTAACGTGGCATACGGCGAGCAAGTTTCTGCAGCGGGTGCAGTGACGTCACAGCGCTGACTTCTGGAAGGATAGTGGGTACATACGAGGGCTAGTTACCTTTGGAGTCTCCACACCGCGTCTCTAATCAGAGTCAGTGTTGCCAGATTGGGCTATATATACCCAAATTGGGCTACATTATTTTGTGGTTGGCTATGTGGCTATTTTGGGCTATTTCTAAAAATGCGGCGAGCTTTTGTCGAACCTCTGGTTCGACGCCGAACTTTGAGATTCGGCTAGTTATTTTTCAAACTTTTAATCGGTTTCGAAAAAAAAAATTGTATCTCTTTTGGCTAGTCCAGAGTAAAGCGAGGAAGAACGCTTCAAACTTCTACAATATTCGGGGTTTTCACAATGCGCAGTGAAAGGTGCGCATTGTTAGAATCCTTAGGCACCCAAGTTTGGTGAGAGGTGAGAAGTCCGCTATTTCACTGCTAAACACTTGACTACCTTCCAGTCGTTGGCCACCCCAAGAAAGGACAACACAATCAAATAGCATGAAAATGAATGGGTGACACTAATATTCTTCACAAAGAAAGAAACGGGTGGGGTATTGGTAAGGACCTGAGATATTGGGGTTCTGGTTTGAAACACTCAGTGTGCTGACTGTTCTGCTTCTGTATTTTCTTTTACTGCATGATCGTATCTCCCGGGCTTCACAATAAAGCTGTCTTTGTGTGTTTTGTATTTCTGAAAACCTACGAAGGAAGCGCCAGTTTTGTACAGATTTTCATCCTTTCGAAGCTTTTCTTTGGAAAGTTCACAAGTAACATGAGGTATACAAAAGGTGGTGCATCTGAGGGTTAAAAAAGAGATTGTAACGTGTACTGTATGAGAGTGCAAAATTGTCAATATAATGTTTAAAACATAGCACCTGCCACAAATTTTTTAATCAAACTTTGGTGGCAGGGCTGGACCATATTGAGGTTGAGCTTCAATTCTCTAATTACATTACGTGCCCTCAGGTGAAAAAATTAAAGTTAAACTAATTACCTAATTTCACCTTTTTTCTAGAGGCCAACATGGCCATTAACACCTCCCCAGGGCTTACTCTATCTTTTTAGCTGCAAATTTATTGCAGCTAAAAAAAAAAAACAAAAAAAAATGCCCCGTATATATATATATATATATATATATATATATATATATATATATATATGGGGGATTTCATCTCAACTCAGGCACGGATTTAGGGTCGAAATTTTAATTTTGACGGAAAAAAATATATGTTTTGGGGCAATTCCTATAATAAAAGAACACGCAAACGGTTATTTCGTCGGATTTTTTGTTCTCAAGTTATGGGCCGTTGAAGCGGTCAAGGTGGAAATTGATGTTTTTCCAGCCTATCGGTGGTGCCATATTTCACTCCATCCCTTTTCCCTACTTTTTACGCTACATCAATATAACTTTTTGGGAACACTCTAGACATAGGCTTTTTCATGCTAATAAAGTGTCTAGGTCATAACATTCTTAATGATTTTTTTTTTATTTGTCAAACCGCCTCTCTGTGACGATATTTGACGAAGTTCAGCAACCTGTGCTGTGTGGCCTAATCAACATATTTTTTATGATCTTTATATCACCGTAAAGCACCAATTATGCTCTTTTGAGTATAATTTCAATATTTTGCCACAAGTATATAATGCGCTACATGTGCCTGAAAAACGAATATTTCGAAAAACTAGCAAGTTTGGAATCGATTTTCTAAAAAAACCCACTTTTTATTTTTTTTTTTTCATTTTTTATTCACAGTTAGTTAATATAGTAGTCTATCAGGAACTACCAACATAAATTGTAATATATTGTTTGTATGGCCGCTATTAAGACTCGAATCTCGTACTATGAGCGTTTTGAACGGGACTTCGCACAGGCGCTTTGCTGAGCAGAATTTTGGCCAATGTAAAGTTTTCTATTTAATGTTAGTACTTACCCCAATATCTGAGCGTAAAAGCAAGTGAAGTAACGATATTTAACCTTACAATATTTATTTACTTGGCACTCGGGTGATTTGAAAGGTGTGTGAGCTTCGCCTTATGTATTGACGGAGAAGTACGTAACATCTAAACTCACGGACAAACTTAAGTCACGAGGGAAAAGTCTAAGTAACCTGGCATGAATCACTGCAAATAGAAATGAAACCTAAACACATGACTAACGCATTTGAAGCCTTACACGCCACGAAATGCTCGTCCTTACACGCCACGAAATGCTCGTTATTTTACGAAAGAGCCCGTATGTGCACAAAATAGACCGTACTTCCTAAGCGTCAGATACCAAATCGCACATATGTATATGCACTGCATATCTGTTTGACATAAGAAAATATGACAATTACATATAAAGTTCGGAATTTTAAACTCGAGATGCTACACGTAACCAGAGAAGGGAAGTAATATTTCATGTTGTAGCCTAAACATGTTCATTGGATAAAATATATCAAAATGTGTTGACCAAATGTCTCATACTCCTAATTAACATAAAATACACTCAAAGTTAATAGAAATATAAACTTTAAAACGAATTGAACACCGCCAAATTCCGTCTGGTTTACGGATAGACGACGCAGTACCTTTTCAATACTACACGGCGCAGCTCACAGAAAAACAGTGATGAACACCTGGGATAGGGATAGTCATCTTTCGACGTAGCACATTTCGAGACAATAGGTTGATGCGATTCTGAGCCAGTTTTCGCTTTGTCCAGATTGCAGTCAGTTCAGTGTCAAAGTCTTTGGCGCGTCGTCTGATCACACAGCGCGCACTCACAGGGGGACAAGGATGAACGCACTGTTGAAACGGTCCGGGCTTTTCACGGTCCCACCATTTAGCTCTGTCTATTCTGGGGTTTGGTAAACTCTTTCTAGGACCACATCACCTCCCCCTTCCTCCATTGCTTTGCTCCACACATGAGAAGATTGGATGCCTTTCGATGGGGTTACCTTCTCTCACCCCTTCCTTTTAAGCTCCCGATAACGGGACAGCTCCTCTTGGTCGATGAAGAGAAGCGTTATCCCCTTGATTTTCTGGCCGAGAGCTTCAACGAACGTACGCGCGTTAGTTATGGAGCTCAGCTCAGTTGTTTTCAAGTTATGCAGTGACGCATGATGCTTCCACCACCCACTCCATCGCACGCGCTTTTGCCGTGCCCTGACGCCGAGTATATCCACCTGCTGACAACAAACTTCTGAAATTCGTGTAATTGGTGCGATTTTCGAAATGTCTTGGAGCGCCGTCCGAAACATAGATTAGCTCCAAAAAAACGGGCAAGAGTTCCTCGAGCCTGTCTTCAATCATTGTGAGCGCAAAGAGCGCGTGTGCAGAATCATGACAGGTATCGTCACTCACGACGCCGAAACTTAGTGTTCCCTTCGTGGTCGTCGCAACGCAGGTGAAGATTGTCACCATCTTGGTTTTACAGTGGTATCCCTGCACTGCACGTTGGAGCACAATACTCCAGTTTTCGGCGAAATCAAAGTGGAGGACTACGACACGTGGCTTCACATTTGCTTTATCAAGCCATATTGCTCTCTGTTGTGCGCGCCGAATATAATAGTGGGGTATGTATTTCTTCGTCCACTTGTTGAGTTCGTTAAGAAAAGCGGTGGCCTCCAACTGTTTTTTCACCAACTCGCCACCAGATTCCCACAGTCCCAACTCTAATTCATCTTCAGCGCTCATTCCTAGCATCTCGAGGGATATGTCCTTCCGGTTCGAATAGGCTTCACACCTCAGCAAGAAGCAGTTTTGGGAAGGATTTTCACAAAGAAAAATTTTCTGGACGTCTTCAAAGGTCATGGTCTTCCCCGCCGCATTTGACAGAGATGTCAGACAGAGTATGAAGTTGGCGCAGCATACACACACACACACTCTTCATGTACAGGGTGTTTCTTAACCCACTTGGGTCGAAGAGAATAAAATTTTGTTAGGCCCATTTTTGACTCGGGATTGGCCGCCTTGAATTCTTTGTAGGTTTCCCTAGTAGATCTCGTCATAAATCGCTTCGTGACGAAGACTTCCTGACCATCAATAAAAAGCCTTACGACATCCTTCTTGTTCGGGCTTTGTCTTGAGCAGTCTTTCGCATCTGATGTGTAGTAAGTCAACGCAAGAGCGACATCGTTTTCGCTGAGAGCATGTCCTTGGTATGGGTCAGGTGACGCCCAGACCCCCATTTTGTTTTTCAGTTTTCTTGATTGGTCCAAAGCATGCTTCGTCACTTCAGGAATTGCTTTCAGGATATCTTTCTTTTTGAGGTTAGATGGAAAGAGAGTTAAGAGGCGGTAGCGTTCTAGCTGCGACGCGCTCTTGACGTAGGCTGCTCGTAAATTGCTGACCCAGTCGGAGCACGAGGAGCATGGATCTTCTTTGTCTGTGCCCGTAGGTTCTCCGTACACGTCACTTAGTTTACGATCAATTTTCTTTTTGAAGTCCGCGGTTATCTCGGATTTTTTTCGCTTAACATAGCCGGTACGACTTCGTGGGGTCACGCTAGAAGGGAGTTTAAGAGGTGTCACACTTACTTCGGCAGCATCAATTGCTTCAGACACTCCTTGGATCAGGGCTTCCTCGTCAACGAATGATCTGTCCGCTGGTTTCAGGGA